TTAAGCAAGAAACAAAAATTGACAACAAGACAATTTGTGACAATCCCATTTAAAATGATTCAATGTAAATATTTAATTTATTACTGATTTCGTTTGATAATGATGTTTGATTAGGTTTGATTATAATGATGATATTGATGATGATGATGATAAGGATGAGGATGCCGAGGATGATGAGGATGATGATGACTAATAGGAAGACCATATGTACAATTTTATTCCTATTGTGTTCAGATTATATGGTTAAATATAATAATGTTTTGTCACTATTCAAGTAATTGTAATGAAACATTAAATGTAATCATTTGCATCGAGATCGGCAACTGAATTGATTTTCCAGTTTCTCTCCTGATTATGATTATGATTAATCACTAATCATTTACAATCATTACGATAATTTCCCGTATCAAGAGTATATTTATGTTGGTTAATTGTTTCTCGCACTTTTCCCAAACCTAGCAATTAATTAAAGGCCCAACAATCAAATCTAAACACGTTACATTGAACCATTTTATTTTCTCGGCCTCTTAATTGTTACTTTGATTGTTACTTTTTTTTGGTAGATTAGTAAAGTAGATTTGATTTAGGATTATCATGATTAGGGATAGTAGTTTATCTGGATTGTGATGATTAACTTAATCTCAATCAGTTGATAACAATTAGTCATAAATTATGAATTAACTGCTGGTCGATCGTGAAAGTTTATCGTTTGAGAAAAAAAGTTCATTCATGATTATGATCTAATTTAATGGTTATTATTAAGATTAAATTGTTTCTATTAGTATTTAATCATCGATTTAATCATATTTCCAATAAAAATAATTCGATGGAAAAAAGTTCTAATTCCAAGTTATCGAACATTTAATTTCTCATCAAACTTTTCTTTCGACTTTGATTCGATTCGGTTAGTGACCAATTCAACTGGTTACTGTTAATAAATTTGATTGATTAACAGTCTGATGATTATGATTAATAATTAATTATCCTTAAAGAAAATTGTTCAAATTAATCACAAAACAGTTAACAATTAACTCTATGGGTTGACAATTCACTAGTTAATGATTAGGCTTAAAGTTTTTTCATCTAATTTTTTATCATAATTACAACTGTAATTAGTGAATCAACTTAATCATGATGATTAATTTCCGCTGATTTCTTATCAAATAATTGTAAACTCAAATGATTGATTGTTATCAACAAAACAAAACTAAATTGTCACCAGTTAATTATGATTCAAATGAGAGGTAACAATTTGTTATGGTTAATTAAATTGTTCATGGTGATGATTAAGATGAAATATATAAAAAAAACTGATTGCTAGATTAAGTTGTTGAAACAATTAATGATTAATAGCAAAAATTAATTAGTAAAACAATGTAATCAAATTTAAACCAGTTAATTGCTGTTTCTTGATTCACTAATCATGATTTTGAAACAATTTAAACCCAAACCAATAAAAGTAAACAAAATGTTGGCCAATACATTTAAATATTCAAATGATGAATAAATTGTGATGATGATAAACCAGGAAGATAATCATTATCTTCATCATTTTTCATCCTCAAGATGATAATATTCATGGGAAGATGATAAACTTTGCAAGAACAGGTTAAAAATGATCATCCTTATCCTCATCATTGTCTCATTATGGTATCATCATCATCATCATCATCATTTTATCATCATCATAATATGATGAATGATTTATTTACTTTGACAATTGAGACTATTGATTAACTTTTGTTTGAATTTTGTTTCTCAAGTGAAAAAAAGTTTCCAAAGATTTAAAAACCATCATGATAAGAAATCATCATGAAGATTATGATGATTACTGATGATAAAATTATTCATCATTATATAGTATTATCCTCTATGTATTCAACAATCAAAAGCGGATTTAAATTTTGTAATAGTTTATTTAAAAAACGGTACAATTTAAATAATGATTTAAACATCCGTTTTTAAATGTTTCATTATTAAATCCATATTTTATTATCCCTCTCTAATCCCATGATTAAGCTTAATCCATCAAGACTAAATCCCTGATAATCTTAATCAAATCTAGTTTGTATTTTGATTATGATTATCATTTTTCAAAAAATGAATTTGTTGATAAAAAAGTTTCGGTCAAGTTGTTGTTTTTTGTAATATTTTTGATCTGGTAAAAAATTAAAGTTACACAATTTGATTAACTTGATTGTTGATGATAAATACATTTTGTTGACCAATGGGAATTGTTAATTATCATCAATGATATTAATGGTTCTTATAAAATTATCATAATTTTATCATCTAACGGTAAATGATAAGGATGATGGTTTTGTCTCTCTCTCTTCCTTGATTAAAGTTGATTAACAATCTGTTTACAGTAACAATCAATTCAATTGTGAATACGTGATTAAAGTTGATCTCATCAGGAATCATGATGATGAAAATTGGATTTGTAAGAAATGGATGATGAAGAGATGGAAGATGAAACTGAAAAAGGCCTCAGGTAACAAAGCCATTGGAAAGATGATGCAGAGGAAGATGAAGATGACAAGGTGACTAATAGACGATGATGATGATGATGATGATGATATCGATATACATTATGTTATTAGGATGGAAAACTGCTAAAGGCAAGAAGATAAGATGAGGAAGACAATCCAATTGGGAAATAATCAATTCTCAGATGGAAACATGATTTTTACATCAATCGTAAATGAAGATGAAGATAAAAGGGGAGAGAGAAACTAAAATGGAGGATTTAAGAGGATTTACTAATTTATCTATCATCTTGGATGATGGAAAAGGAGTGATAACAATAACGGTTTTAGCTTAATCATCATCTTCATCGTCATCATATCATTTTGACAGTTAGAGCAAAAAAGTTTAAACTTACAGCATCCTCATCAACGGAAGTTGAAAACTGAGCCATTTCCCCCCATAAATATAACTGTACATTCAACAACAATTGTATATTTATATCAATATCTATGTATTATCATATAATATTATTACATTGATAAAGTGGATGACGGGGGTTTGATTGTTGTACAATCACTTGGAGGTGACATTGATTGTTTAGGAAACTGGGAGTGAAAGATAAGTTTTTTTTTTCATCCTCATCATCTTCATCTTCCTACTCTCATGTCAATATGGTTACTATTAGATTGTTATTATTTTGATTGTTATATTTTGTTATTATTATTACAAATAAGAGTGACTAAGTGTTGCGCTGTTGCTTGATTGACAGATAGCTTATTATTTATCATCATAGTAATCAAGAAGATGATGAGTAACCCTCAGCATCCTCATCACTGTTGTTGTTGTTCATTGAGTTTCTGTTGTGTTGATTGTGGTAATAATTAGAATCAAATTTGATTGTATATTCATTTTTTATCATTAAATTGTCACATCCTTGTAATTATTGTTTACATATTTTATCATCATCATTAGTTGAATGAATTTTCAGTTGATAATTATGAATTATGATTATTTCTATCAACATTTTCCTATGTTAATCTGTAGCATTATAAGTTGATTGTTGTTGTTGTTTTTTGTTATATTATCATTATATTAATGATGATAATACATAACGGTATTAATATTATTATACTGAAGAGCAAATTGTTAAAAATAAACAGGAAGATGAGGATGAGGATAATTTTTACATCTACAACTTGTTATTTTGTCTATGTGATAGTTTTTAGGTGTGGGTGGTTCAGTTTCCTATCTTGTTGATAGTTTTTACATTATTATGATTATATTTTTGTTTGATTGTTATTAAGATGATGAGGATGAAGATGAAAAAGAAGCTAAATTTGGGTTCGGAGGGCTTGAAAGGTCATCAAAATAAAAGCATCAAGGTTGTTTATCTACTAGACTTCAGGAGGAGGTTGATGATGAATATTATTGAGAGAGAAAGGTTGAAGTTAATGTATTATGATGATGATAATGATTATGAGAAGTGTATGAGGATGATAAATATGATGATGATGGAGAAAGAGGATCATCCAAGGTTATGGTAGATAAGAATGACTGGATTAATGGAATAGACTTAGAGAGAGAGAGAGAGAGAAATGTTTTGGATTATCAATGGACATTCAATGTTCAATTCGTATTTTGGTTACGATAACAAATGCGTAGATAATTGGTGTTTAGAGGACTTCTAATGATGAGTAAATTGTGAGAGAGAATCTAAGGTAAAATAAGGAATGATGATGATGATGATGTGGTAATATTCATATCATTAGAAGTCCATTTAAAAGAGGAGCATCTACAAGAGAAAGATGAAGATAAAGGATGAGTGAAAATCAGGGAATTGTAATAATAAGAGATAAAATTGTCAAGAGATTTTGTTGTTTTCTAATGAAAATGGAGGCTCGATATTAGTCCATGGAGAATGATGATAATGATGAGAGAATGGAGAGAGAGAGAAAAGTAAGTGAAAATGGTTGATGGGCATGAGAAACCATAAGGTGAGAGGAAGAAGATGATAAAAAGAGAAAGAGAGAGATGATGATGATGATTACGGTGAGAGAGAAATGGAGGCGGAAGAGGAATGATAAAAGGCGAAAAGGATAAGGGCTCGAATCTTTGATAAAGATCTTGCTCTTTCTTTTCTTTCATCTTCTCTTTCTTTTTCGAGGATTTATCTTCTTCCACCTTTAGACCTTTGGGTGTTTTTTTCTGTCTTTCCTTTTCCTGTCCTGATGATGACTCTTGTTGTTGTTGTTTTTGTAACCAAACTGACGAGTGATTTGTGTTGATTATTCACGTTAGTTGAATTTTGACTCTTCTCTCTTGTGAATACATCATCATCTCCTTCATCCCTTTCATCATCATCATCAGCATCCTCATCTTCATGTCTCTTGATAACTGAAAATGTTTCTTCAAAAGGAAGTGAATTGTAATAATTTACTTTGTGTAGGAGTGAATGTCTAACCATTGGAACGAAATGATTGTGTTGATCCTCCAAACAATCAACAGGATTTAATTTAAGACAAATAGACAAATCCAATGATTAACTTTAATTCCTCGAGTTTTTTTCTCTTGTACTTACAGAAATTGAAATTAACTTTTTCGTTGATTAACTTGAGTAGGTCAAGTGTTTTAACCTTCATGAGTTTTCATCATGAATTGATTATGTTACAATTAGATTGTTACAATTTGAATTAGATCTTTAATTGGATAGTCAAGTTCAATAAGAAAGTTTTCAAGTTAATTTCTGGTTCAACTTCGAGCTGATTTAGTTTTTGTAATTACAATTTGAATATCAATCGAATGAGAAGAGAAGGAAAATTTAGTTAATCCAATTCGATGGAAGTTCAAAAAATTAACAGATTAAAGATTCTAATCGATATTGATTCAGTTCTCTATTCAATCTCAATTAACTTACTCATATGATTTTCTGGAATTAACTGTTATAAGAAGAAATTAAGAAGAAATTAAGATAATTCTTAAAAGTGAAGTTAATTTAATTCTAAATGAATGATCGATTGTAATTATCAGGGAAATGATTCTTTGTACATGATGAATCTTTACTCGAAATAATTAATTGATATACAAACAAATTGAAATAAAAAATGATGATGATGATGAGAGGATGAGATGATGAGAAATGTCCACTTGATACAATGTTAAGAATTGATTGTGACCCTGAAGGATAAAGACAATTAAGATTCGCAGAATTAATGGAATTGGTGTCAAACTGATTAGATGATTGATAGAAGGATAATTTTCTAACATAATAGTTAATTGTCGGAAGAAAATGAGAAATGTAACAATGAGAAAAGATAGAGAATGTATTATGATATAGTAAATCAAAATGGCGAAAATGACCAATCGATATAAAAGTGGACTTAAAGTATTGGACACATGGAAGATGAGAAAGATGATTTAACCTGAACCAGCAGGTTATCAATCAAAATGAATTGAGGATTAACAGGAAAGTAAATTGATAGTAGAGGAAAATTGTAACTGATTGTAACAATTAGGTAACAAGAATTAAATCAAGATTAGTTACAATGAAGGGTCAAGAGATTTAAACAAAAACCATGTAGAGAGTTGATGAGAGAGAGAGAGAAATGGCTGCGATTATGATGGTGAAGATGATTATGTTGGTGGTGGAAATGGTGATGATTAAGATGAATGATTAATTGTTAACAGCTGATGATGACAATTAACTTTTTCCTTATGATGTTTGCAACATTATGTGCCAACGAGCACAAACTGATTCCTTGGGGCCGCTTTCAATTGTCACATTTCCCGAATCAAGGCTCACATAGTGTGGTGTTTGTGGTGTGTATTCAGGCCAATCGATGTTCATTTGATTACCGGGAACTCTGTTGTTAATTGGGAGAAATTTAAATTGTAAATAATTAGAATTCACAAACATCTTAATCAGTTTTCATTTTCTCTCGCTCCAATTGATTTTCATTTGAATCTCCTTTTCTCACATTTAGATTTTTGATACAACAATTAACTTTACTAATTCTGATACAATTTTCATTTAATCATTTGTTTTTCATTCTGCATTGATTGTTCACTATTGATTTGTAATCAGCTAATTGTTTAGATAGTTTTGTTATTATTATTCTCGAATGTAATATTTATCTTAATCTTAAATTGCTTCCTTGAATTGGTTTGCTTTTTTTACTTTCACTTTACTTTTAATATTGAGGTCACAATTAAATTATCATCATAAGGTGATAGTACTTAGGTTAGTGTTTAATTAGAAGACCTTGCCGGTAGCAATTAAGATTTTAATTTGTTGATTGTTGACCCTGCATCTTTTTTTTCAGTTCATGGTGAGATTATATTGATTAGAAAATGTGATTAACTAAATTGATTGGTAATTTTTGATGAAATCATTTCAATTGTGAGGATTAAAGAGAAATTTCAACATAAGTTAAATTGTTTTAGAAAATTAATTAATTTGATTAGTTTCATTTTCGTAAAACAATTTAAATCGAATTTTAGTTTATTCGTCTGACAATAGATGGCGTTAGTTTTTCGATTCCTTTGGCGGTTAAGAGTTTTTTTTTTGTTTCTTTTGTTGATTGTGACAATTTGTTTCTCTTTTAATTGTTAATTGATTTTTTTCTTAATTTTTTTTTCATTCTTTTAAGGTTTAATTGTTTAATTTTATTCTCTATCTGTATCACAGGAAAGTAATTGGTCTTTACCGGAATCTTAATGTGACCGGAAAATGATCTAAAATTTGGATCATTTTTATAAATCGTTTTTACTGTTAATTGAGATTTTAAGGAGATTTTTTTGTTTATTTGTTTGGTTTGTTTCACTTACCCGGTTTTGGCAAATGAAACCCAAGTTTTCATTAATCTTTTGCTGAATTCAACTTCTTCTGGTGTGTAAAGATGTGACTGTCTTAATGGAACACCAAAGATAAATTGTACTTCATCAAAGTGAAGAACTCCCATCCATTCAGGCCAACGAGAGTTTGATGGTTTATGGTCAAATACATAAAGATAGGCTGATCCCTCATTCTTGACAAATAATTGGGAGAAAAGTGTCAATGGACAGGTGAATGTTGAATCTCCAATAAAATCGGAAAGTACTTGGCGAACCTCTGATGGGCTGGTTTCCTCTGTTATTGGAAGGAAAGATGAATACACAAGAGATGCCACTCTAGGTGTTAGAAAAGGAAAAGATTGACGGACAAACTGCATTGTCCTTGAAAGTGAGACATTATTAAGTTTGGCTCCAAATAATTTAGGATCTAAATAGTGGAGGAAAAAGGTTCCCTCGTCTCGAGTTGCACCCAACATTACTTCACGTTGATCACCGATTTCACCCAAATCCATTAAAGATATTGGATTAGCTGGTAAAAAGTCATCACCCAACGAAGGACCAAAAGATAAACTCATCTCATCTATTAAACTATTTTGAGCTGCGGTCAATTGTTGTAAATCAGTTGCTCTCAAACAATCAGCGATAACTTCAGGTGTTTTTGGGAAACTTTGATGATGATGTTGCTCATTGGAATGACTTTGATGTGATGAAGCAAGAGATTGACCTGAGGGTATGTTTGTTGTGTTATTAGCTGATTCAGCGGGGAGACAATCAACCATTGAAGCTAAAGTTAATCCTCGACGTCCATAGGCACCTTCACGCTCATAGAAAAGCCGTGTTACCGTTGGAGCACCAGATTGCATGATTCCTCGACGGAAAAGGTCACTTGAAAGAGGTGAAATATAATGTAAACCAACTGATATTGCTCCAGCCGATTGTCCAAAGAGTGTTACTTGATTTGGATCACCACCAAAGTAGCCAATGTTTTCCTGAATCCACCTTAAAGCAGCTACTTGATCATGAAGACCTTGATTACCTGGTGCCGATGCTGTTCCCAAATTGAGAAAACCAAAAGCTCCAAGTCGATAATTGATTGTTACCACGATTACATTACCATAGGAAGACAAGATTCTCCCATCGTAGGTTGAAAGATCAGCCGAACCCGAGAAAAAGGCTCCACCATGGATCCAAACCATAACTGGAAGTTGAACTGTTGGTCGACGATTTGAACCAATCGAGGAAGATAATGTTCGGAAAGCACTTTCTTCCAATGGAACCCAAATATTCAAATATAAACAATCTTCGGACATGTAATCTTCGGGTGAGATCCACGGGGTGAAGGTACGATTGGGCTTGAATTGAATACACTGTGGACCAAATCTGGTAGCATCTCTCATGTTACTCCATGGTTGAAGTGGCTGAGGTTTTCGGAATCTATTGGCTCCAATTGGTGGAGCAGCATAAGGTATTCCCAGGAAAACACCCAATGACCGTTCAAGAACTGAGACTCGAAAGCCTCTAAGAGCACCATAGGAAGTTGAAACCGTGATGGATGATGAGTCGGTATCATCATCATTCACACTAAACTGTTGATTTGAATTGTGTGAATCTGAAGATGATGGCGAATGGGTGAAAATGTTAAGCTCAACAAAATCTGGAAGGCGAAGGTGAAGAGGAAGAATCAATTTAACAAAAACAAGTGACAACACAAAAAGCGTGGTAACAATTATGGTTATGATTAACGCTCGCCGAGAAGATGATTTTTTGACCAATTCAACCTAAAGAGATGGACAAGAAATGAGATAAAAAAATGATGAAATAACAATTTCTATTCGACGTAAACGGGATTATATTCATATTAGATAAAAAAAGATCGGTAATTGTTGGGACATAAAGACGAACAAGAAAACGGGGACAATTAAGAAGCGTTAACAATGATGAACGTGTGAGGATAACAATGATGGGTCAGTTTTGTTGGTTTAATCTTCAAAGATAAAAAGTAAATTAACATGTGAGTAAATTTCGTCAATCAAAAGTATACATGAGAGAGAGAGAGAGGGTTATGGGAACGGTGTGTTAATATTAAATTGGTTAGTACTTTTTAGAAAAAAAAAGTTAATTTGAATGAAAGATAAACAAAACAGTCACTTTAAAATCACATCATGGTCATGATAACGAACCTCCGGGCGAGGACTCACGTTGGTCTTGTAAACTCTCCTTCGATCCATATTGGTCAGTTATTTGGTCTTGGGTAATTCTTATAAACAAATTGACAATCAACGAAAGTAGACTATAAATATAATGATGATAATTTTTAGATGAAACAAAACACAAGTAGAAGACGATAGTTGATGATTGTTTTCGATATTCACTTTGACGTTCGTCGTTACAATTGATTTCCAAATGATTTACACTTTCTCTTCTTTCTCTCCTTCTCTCTTTCACTTTCTATCTTCCATCTCACTTTCTCTCCCTCTCCTTCTCCTTCTTCTCCTTCTCCCTCTCCTCTCTCTTTCTCTCTTTCTGTCTTTCTGTCTCTCTCTCTTTTCAAATTTCCAATATCACAGATTTTAGTTTCAAAGGACTCGGTCGATTTGCCATTAATGCTGATTGTCTTCAAGTGAGAAATACAATTTTTTATATGAAAAGTGTACCTGTTAGCCTCAAGTAAATGAGGTGAAAGGTACTTGGGAGTGAGATAATAAAAAGAACAGGCAAAAAAGTAACAGTAAGTAAATAGGGGGAAAAGAAAGAGGAGGTTTTGATCTGGTACCAACTTTTTTGTTTCTCACTCTCACTTTCAACCTAACCGATGCTCTCCCTCACTCGATCTCTCTTAATGTTTAGATTTGTTCAAATTACACGTTTATCAGGTTAAGACATTTACCATTCGATTTTCATAGAATCCAAACAAATCGTTCGAGAATCAATTTGATTTTTACACAGTAAATCATATTCTAACCAAGATGATCAATTTCTATCCCTCTTTCACCTCTCTCTCTCTCTCTCTCTTACTTTCACTTCTCACTCGCTTAAAAGGACTGATTTAGGTTGATCTTCATTCTAATCATCTTTTTTATATCTTCCTTTTTCTCCCTCATCTCACTTTTTAATCTTAATACATAATCTGTAGAAATACATTTCGATGACCACTCAGCTTGATGGTTACTAAATCAATATGAAATAATCAACTAATTTACTAATTATTGAGTCAGGCCAAAGTTAATTTAAATTATACCATTGATATCCTTTGATTATTATTATCACATTAGTTTACGTGATAATCATCTTGAGATGAAAGAGTTGCAAGTTGATTGTTACATTGAAAAAAAAGTTAATTTTCTGTTAATTTGATCACGTCATTTCTTCATCATTCCGGTGAATAATTTAAATCTAATCACATTATAATTAGGATGTTATTAATTTGATGATAATATTTCGACCTTCCAAAAAGTTCGAGCCACAATCAAGTTCAAAGTTGGACACCTTAAGCTCACCCTTAGGGTTAATCTTTCTTGGCTTCCAAAATTTTTCTCAATTACAATCAACTAATCATCATCATCCATCAGTCATAATATCGTTTATTATTATTGTTGTCGTTTACTTCATTTCTATTAAATATTTTGTCATCAATTTTAATTTCATCTTCTCGACCTATTCAGGCCATTTTATCCGTTTCACGATTATTAGATTTACTTACTTTTCCATCCTCTTTATTATCCTTAATTGATTAGATTTAGGTGTAGTTTTCAATCATGATTAAATCTCTAATTAAACATCTCAACCCAATCAAGATTGACAACTAATGTACAAAATTTTTCTTTATCCATCAACAGGTAATAACAATTTGATCTTAATTTTTACTGTTCACGGATTCGTAATCAAAACTGAATTAAGCACCAATCTAGAGGTCATTATGACTTATATATATTACCAACGCTCACCAGGTAAGACTTTGATCAACAATTAATTTAAATATTATTCAATTTAGATTAACATTGATTGAATTTTTTCTTGGTAAAAAAAGTAAACAATTAATTGATTATAACCAATGAATGATGATGTTGATTCAATTTGAATTAATCAACCATTCAAAATATGAAGCAATTAATAATCATCTTATTGGATGTTTAATTTAGTTTACTTTTTTTCTCCTCTAATTTATTTCCGTGTTTATCCTTTATAATTATCTTAATTTAATTTACCTGATTAATTGTATCTTCTATTTCCCATTTCAGATTAAAACTTTGTTTTCTGGTACAAATTGGTTTCCTTTAATTGTTAATCAAGTGGACTACTGGATTGATTACACACTGAGAGATTGCTTGAGATTAATGAAAACCTTGATTTCCGTCAGATTAGGATTAGGATAATCAATTCTGATCCAATTCTCTCCAATTACTGGATGATCATTAAAGCCGGAAATTAATTGTTGATCAGACAATTGAAAACTAAACTTATATACACACACACTAGTACTATGTGTGTGTACCTTGAAAGGTTAGTTTGACCAACACAAACAATTAACCAATTGTATTAGATTGAGTTGATTATCATTAACATGACCATTAACTAATTTCCCTTCATAATTAAATTTCGTGACTTATTTTCTTTACCAAACTTTTCAATCATCGTTTAATAATTTAGGCTTCACATCATCAATACACCACTAATTGTTTAAATGTTGAGATAATCAACATTTAATTTCCATGTCAGCTAATAACAATTAGAATAACAATTTAAACAGTTCACAGTGGATACAATTGAATTTACAATATGTATTCACTTGTTAATTGTTTAGTGTAGGCACGTTAATAATACTGATGGTAGTACTTTCTGTTGATTGTTGATTTACAGTTTTAAACAGAAAATTAAATTCACCAATTTAATTCATTTGACATGAATTTTTTAATTTTCTCGATTAGGGAACAATTAACTTTAATTTCTATTATTTCCAATACAATCAATGTCTTTATCATTAGACTCTTTTTTTTATATACACAATCAAACGACAATTAATCAACCTCTCTCCCAATCAACAAAGACTGAGTATCAACTAATAACAACAACAATCAAATTAACGAAAAAAAAACTTCAACTAATCTAATTGTCTCCAAATCATTGTAGACAATTTTAGGTGATACAAACAATTAGTAGATCAATAATTGGATTGATTTACAGTTAACTGTCAATCTAATTAACTTTTCATCCACTCAATTAAATGATGATTTAAATAGTTTGCTAAATTTAATTATTATTATTTAGATTCAAGTTTAATGATCTTATTGATAATCGGTCATTGTTGTTGTTGTTGATTAGTTTAATTGTTAATTAGAAGGAAGAAATTTTTTTTTTCACAACCATTAACAATTTATACAACTTTCTGTCTCAGGTCATGTACTAATCCAATTGAATTTAATTATTTCTCTAATTTAATCATCTTAATTGTTTCATTTTGTATATTATACAGGAAAAGGAAAACCACAAAAGAAATTAAAATGAAAGTTACAAATGGAAATTGTTAAATTACCGCCAACAATTAGCCAAACAAATGAGAAGGAGAAAAAGTTTTACAAAAAGATTATCTAATTGTAAAAACAATTAATCGTCAATCAATTCTGGTTAAATTGAGAAAACAAAAAGATTGAACAATTAATACTCAGTCAATTTTTGTGTACAGTTAATTGTGAAAGGAAAAAAGTTTAATTGTAAAACATTAACTTTATCCTTATATAAATATTGTAATTAGATTTGGTGTATATTAATATTCATGTAATGATGATTGTAATTTTTTTCTTGTTAATCATCATTATTAATATTAATTCATCGTTGTTAATCAATGTAATTGCAACCTGAAGGTCAGATTGTTAATCTTTTCGTTATCCCAACGATGGATTCTGATGATGATTAGAAACATGATAAACCTGTATCAATATATTAATTATATTATTATGTTGTTGTTATCGTTAACTATTAACTGATTAACTGATTAACTGATTAACATTCAATCAATTGACCTGTTGACACCTTTTCACCTTTTATTTATTTGTATTTGGACTTTGTTTCAATTAGTTAAATCTCACAGATTAACGTTAATTGTTTTAGAGTATTATTTAACTGAGAGACGAAACAATTAAAAGGTAATATTGAGTTGCCTTTTAATTGTAATGACAATCAAGAAACAGGATTAGTTTAATTACCAACAATCGTTGATCACACAACCAGAAGCAAATTAAACCCTTTACATTATTTCATTGCCTTTAATTGCCTCGAGCAATTTACCTTAACAATCAATTAACTCATTCATCGTTTTTAATTAATTCATAATTCACAGTTAAAGGTTAGGTCATTAACCAGATTGTTAGTGATTAATTGTTTACTCTTTTAATTTTAATTAACTTTTGATTTTGATTGTTGATGTTTTTTGCTTCTTTATTGAAAGTTAATTGAGATTCATTCATTAGGAATTGATTGGCAATCAAACAATTTAAATTGTCTCCTCTTGATGTCAAGTTTTTATTTGATTAACATTCTGATTTAATTGTAATCACAATTAAAAATGATTGACCAGGGTCTTAAAGTCAAGTTCAATTGTTTAATTTTTTTTTCTTGATTAAATTGTGACAATTTTATCACCAATCAACTCGTTTACAATAGTAACCATGATCAATTGATTTGTTGATTGTTTTTTTATCCAATTTAATTTTGGTTGATCAACGAAACAATTAAGCTGAAAAAAAAGAATCGGTAACAATTAACTAATCCAGTTAACAAAAATTGTGTTCAATTACTTTTAACAATAGACAAATTCACTTGATTGTAATCAACTTGTTCAAAGTTTTATTACAATTATTTAAATTAAGATCCTTATTAAGATGGGATTGATTACTTTTGTCATTATCAGTCAATCACAATCAACTAATTGTCAACAATTTAACTTGGTTAGTCTCTTGAACTTGAAAAGACAATCCTTCCGATCAAATTATCAACAATCAATGAGTTAATCAATGATTTACTTCATTTTCAAAAGTTAATTGTGATCAACGAATCAATTTAAATTCAATTCAAATCATATCATCAATACAATTACATTGTAGTTGTGAAAAAAAACAATTAATCATCAAGTATAAATTACACCACAATTAACTAATTACAACAGATCGTGATTTTAATTCATTTGTTTCTTATAATTAGTTAATTAACTGTTTTTTCAAATTGTCGTTGATTGTTTCAATTTCCTGGTCTTATTATTTTTTAATCCTTCTCTTATTGTTACAAATTAAAGATTAACCTTAATCACAATTAAATGATTGATCAAATAATCACAATTTATTAGAAAACTTTTGAGTTAATTGGTTAACCTTTACCTAAAAATAAATTCAATCTCAAGAGCAAATTAATTGTTAATCTTGTTGTAAACTTAATTGCATCTTCTGTACAAAAACAAATAAAACACACAATTAGAATCAGTCAATCAACTAATCAAATTGATCAACAATTAACTAATTAACTTAAAATGAAAACAAAAAACCTTGTAAATTGTTGAAAAAAACAATTAGCAGCCTATTGAAGATGCTACAAGTTGGATTAAGCAATTTATTAATAGTTGATTACTTTTTGATAATCAATATTGATTGAATAAATTGCTAATCATTAAACTATAACCTTGACACGTTAATTTAATTCAACAATTAACCAAATTAAAAAGGTCCAACGAATCAAAAGATTAGACTTCAAGATGAAAATGAAATTTAATTTTTTTTTATTCTTCATGATTAACTTAACAATTTAGCCGATTCCAATTGATTGTTGGCCCCTTAATTATCATCGTCAATAGTAATTTAATCAATTAACCTTGACCCGATAAAATAAATCACCGAATTAAATTTAATAGTAGATGATCACAAAAAAGTTATCCAAACAATTTAATAATCAATAAGAATCAAATATTGAAACTTTTTTGTTTCTCAACTTTGAATTGTTTTTTTTTCTTCCTCACAATTAAATTTAATTGTGATTATTGGTAATTTTTAGTAACCAAGTTTTTTCAATCTTAGTCTCACCTAATGATTATCATGGATTTAGTAAATTGTTTGACCTAAATTGTCAAATGATCAAAAAAAATCCAATTGACAATTCAAAGTGACCTTAACATTTAAAAAATTATTCAAATTTAGATTCAACTTTTTTGATCAAAAACTTAAAGTTCATCTAATGATCAAGCTAAAGCTTCAGGCTATTATTAATAGTTACCTTTATTAATTAGGTCGATTTGGTCAATTTCTAGTTAATATTATCAATTTTGATTAGTATATTGTTAAAATTAAACAGCAATTGAACATTCACACATTTGGATAGGCAAGATTAACCTCAAAAAAGGTCTGGAAGTCTTGACAACAATCACTATTGAAAACAAGGTAACTCAGGTCATTTTGTTTCGATCGGCTTTCAAGGTCATTTGAGTGTCCAAATCAACGTCTGTTACGAGTTTCGATAAATTCATAAGTAAATCGGCCTTTGTTCAGGCACTAGAGGTCAATCAGCGGTAGCACTTACTCTTTTGCTCGGATAGCGAGTAAACGAAAACCACTCGAGGCTGTTTGTCGTACATTAGAAGTTATGATTAAATGACTTTCGACAAAATTGATTTAATTATTGTTATTGGGAAGCTTTTTCATGATCGAAATCCAATTGTTCAATCTGATTGTTAACTACTGATCACTCACATATATATTTGTATTCCAATTCAGAATATTCGAGATGTTATAAATTTAAAAGTAATGAGTGAAAGTAAATAAGATTAACATAATTTAAAAGTTTCATAATCATTATAATTAACAAATTGACTTCCGCATTCGATTGTCATGATTAAGATGATGATGATAATGAGAGAGACTTAATGACCTACCTCGAAAGGTGACCATCATCATCATCGTCATGAAATGATAATCAAAAGCACTTGACCTTTCACTCTTTCATTTTACTCTCTTTTAGTTTCATCTTCAATTGAACTTTCCAATGATCATTAATTTTTAATATTATCATCAACAGTCAATTAAGAAAACATTTATAACAATTTAAACTTATTTGCGATTTCAGTTAAAATCAAAGCAATTAGTTAACTATCATCATTTCAATGACTTTAAATGAATTTTCTGTTCTGTTTCTCATTTGATTAACATGAAAACAATTCAATTAGTTTTGATTATTAAAAATTAACGACGAGTTGATTGTCTTTGTACAAACCCAAGACTTAAGTGTAAATTTTTGTGTCCTTTCACACGAAGACCTTAAAATGACCTTTGAACGCTACCTTCGTAAAATGACCTCAATGACCTTGAAAATCATAGGGTCGAGCGCTTCAATTCTTTTCAGTCCTCTGGTCAAGTTTGACATTCATATGACTTTTAGTTCTGGAGATATTCAGTGTAATAGCCGTAGTGTATTAATCGATTGATAGTTATTAAGATCACAATTAACAATCAATGAGGTTCAACAGTTATCATAATAGAAAAACACTGACTTTTAACACGAACGATTTTCTATGATTCAATCAGGGTACCAGAATTTTCCTGAGATATATGAATGCACATGAAGAGACCCAACCAAAGGTCACAGAGGAACATCTCGTCTTGAAGAATCAACAAAGTAAAAGAGATTCAAATTCCATGTTACTTTCAACACGTGAAAGAAAACCCCTTATGTTGCCAAACAAGATTTTCCTTTCTCTTGTCATATGTTTACACTTTTTTTTCCTTTAATTTCTATTGTTTACTTTTTCATCAATGGCTTTTTTAAATTCTATTAGACAATTAAATTCCAAGGTAAGCAACAAGTGTTTTATCCTTTGACCTTTTCCCTTTTCTTTAATTGGGATGATTGATTATTAATCATTTCCATTTATTTTCTAGGTTTCTTTGTGTTTACGGAAACCAATAAGTTGCAGTTTGGTTAATGTTACCAATCTATCAACAAGTCGGGTTAATTGTGGTCCATTAACCACACTTTCTGAAGATGAGGTCGCAATCAAGGACATGGTCAACAAGTTATGTCAAGATTTGGTTGTCCCAAGAGTTAAGGAAATGGACGAAACCTCTGAGATGGACAAGACCATCATAGATGCGCTATTTGCCAATGGTGTAGGTGTTGTGAGGTGGTTTTTAGTGTTAACACCGATGGTTAAGGTTTTCTTTTTGTTTTTCTTTTTGATTTTCTTTGATTTTAGTTGATGGGTGTTGATACTGACACTAAATATGGCGGAACTGGTGCTAGTTTCTTCACCACCATTCTGGGTATTGAAGAGTTGGCTAAATTTGATCCATCGGTCAGTATTTTGATGGACGTTCAAAACACTTTGGTAATCAACACCTTCAACAATTATGCTTCTGAAGAGCATAAGAAGCAATATTTACCCAGATTATGTAAAGACACTGTAAGTACTCAGAAGCTCTTGAGACGAACAAGAAAAAGTGATAATAATTGTTTAATTAATCGGTGAAGATCTAGACGATCAAGTGGTTATATCGAGAAATCATCAAGTGGTTAAGAGTGAAGTAACAAGGTGGTTTGTTTATTTCCGTTTATTTTAGATCGGTGCTTTCTGCCTCTCGGAACCAGGATCAGGATCAGATGCTTTCGCTTTGAAGACTCGAGCTGAAAATAAAGGAGATCATTTTGTCATCAACGGAGGAAAATCTTGGATTACCAATGCTGGACATGCAGGAGTATTTTTGGTTTTCGCTAATGCCGATTTTAGTAAAGGTTACAAGGGAATCTCCTGTTTCATTGTTGACAAACAAACGCCTGGTGTTACAATCGCTAAACCAGAAAACAAATTGGGTATCAGAGCTTCATCAACCTGTGGAATAACATTTGAAGATGTTAAAGTACCAGCAGCGAATCTGCTTGGTACATTAGGCCATGGATACAAATACGCGATTGGAACTTTGAATGAAGGTAGGATTGGAATCGGTGCTCAAATGGTTGGCCTGGCTCAAGGGTGTTTCGATCATGCCGTCAAATATACTCTCGAGAGGAAACAATTTGGCCAAAGGATCTTTGATTTCCAAGGGATGCAACACCAAATCGCTAATGTGGCCACACAAATTGAAGCCGCTCGCCTATTATTGTATAATGCAGCTCGATTGCGAGATGCCGGTGCTAATATTGCTAAAGAAGGTGCAATGGCTAAATACTATTCGTCAGAAGTTGCGACAATAACCACTAGTAAATGCGTTGAATGGATGGGAGGTGTTGGTTTTACTCGAGACTATCCCGTTGAAAAATATTACCGAGACTGTAAAATCGGATGTATCTACGAGGGAACATCAAACATTCAACTAAACACTATTGCCAAATTATTGGAAACAATTTACAAATAATTCAATTTTTTATTTATTCTGATGATCAACATGAGCTTAAAATTTTGGTAACAATTAGGCTCAAATGTGCCACTAAAGTCTCGCCCTTTTAATGATAAATTTTGTATTTTCCAATATAAATTTTCTTATTATCAACTAATACGAAATAAACTTTATTGTCTTTGGGGGATCAATTGTCGTTTGATTCAAATGCTCCAGAATTTTCCTGAATCCAACTCTATTTGGCCAAAGAGTGTTACTTGATTTGGATCACCACCAAAGTAGCCAATGTTTTCCTGAATCCACCTTAAAGCAGCTACTTGATCATGAAGACCTTGATTACCTGGTGCCGATGCTGTTCCCAAATTGAGAAAACCAAAAGCTCCAAGTCGATAATTGATTGTTACCACGATTACATTACCATAGGAAGACAAGATTCTCCCATCGTAGGTTGAAAGATCAGCCGAACCCGAGAAAAAGGCTCCACCATGGATCCAAACCATAACTGGAAGTTGAACTGTTGGTCGACGATTTGAACCAATCGAGGAAGATAATGTTCGGAAAGCACTTTCTTCCAATGGAACCCAAATATTCAAATATAAACAATCTTCAGACATGTAATCTTCTGGTGAGATCCACGGGGTGAAGGTACGATTGGGCTTGAATTGAATACACTGTGGACCAAATCTGGTTGCATCTCTCATGTTACTCCATGGTTGAAGTGGCTGAGGTTTTCGGAATCTATTGGCTCCAATTGGTGGAGCAGCATAAGGTATTCCCAGGAAAACACCCAATGAACGTTCAAGAACTGAGACTCGAAAGCCTCTAAGAGCACCATAGGAAGTTGAAACCGTGATGGATGATGAGTCGGTATCATCATCATTCACACTAAACTGTTGATTTGAATTGTGTGAATCTGAAGATGATGGCGAATAGCGAATGGCCGACTTTAAGGTCAACCACTTGATGGCCATTGTAAAATTGATCACCGATAATTGATAATTTTCACCATGTTGAATAACCAAATCAACTTTGGGCATGATTTTCATTTAAAATATTTTCCACCAATCATGTTATCAGATAATTCAATTGATTCACGAATACTTTGGTGGGAATCGATGAATCTATGAGGTGAATGAGCAAGAATGCCAATAAAACGATTCATGAATCATGATATCGACTAAAGCATTGGCCATTGATCCAAGAGAGAAGAGGGTCCACTTTAAACCGTCATTCTAGTCGGTCAGAATCGTCAGGTAATCCTCATGGACTTCCGTCATTAGATCCGTGAACCATATGTTCAAGTCGAAACCATTTATCTGAAACTTGTTCATATCCAGAGCAATTTAAATCTCTAAAGTAAATGTGAACATTTAGGTTGTACAAGAAGTGAAAAGTGAAGACGAATTTCCGATTCGAAGTTAATCCAACTCAATGTATTTTGAAACTCCTTAAGTCTGATAATTATTGAACAATCAAAAAATTATCTAAAGTAAAAAGTAAATTGTATAATTAATCATGGATTGAAACTGAAGGTTTGTAACTTCACATGAGTTAATCTCACGTTTCAAGCGGTTATCGAAGTTGTTGGTGATCGGTTCTGAGATAACAATTCGAAAATTGAAAATTTTAATGTCAGTTAAATTATCTAATCACAGTTAAAAGAGATTTTGACTTGTTTGATTTTATTAAATTTATTTAATAAGTTAGTTGATTTGCCGAATGTTAAATTATTAGAAAATGTCTTTTTCTCTGAAAATCAGCGCTTCTGATGCACGTTCTCCAAAATTACTCGCGTATAATTGTTAATCTTTGTTGGTACAGTTGTCGAAAAATATCATTTTTGCCTTGGAAACGCAAGAAAAAAAAAGAAAACCGCCAAGTTTGAACTTCTTTAGATTGGAAATTTTTCTTAATTTTCTTAAAAGAAACTGATTATTGTTAATTGTTCACCAAAAATAGTCAACTATTGATAATTGGAAATCAACCTGGTAATTTTCGAGAAGTTAATCGTTGGGTCAATCAAATCATAACAACGAAATAACAATTTGGTTTTTCCAAATTGATAAGAAAATTAATGTTAATATGAAACAATTAGAACCACAAATTAAATCCGATAAATTGAACAATCAACTCGATTGAGATTAATTATAAGATTAACTTTCTGGGAATTTCTATTTGGCAATATTTGCGGAAGCAAATAAAGTAAATTTGATCAAGTTCAACACTTTCGATTATTAGATAACGAAAAAAAAAGTTATATAACTTTTTAATCGTTAACAATTAACTATTAAATTAGAACCCACACCAAGAGACAACAATAGAATAAAATTTGAATAGAAAAAGAAAAAGTTTTTCTCTCTCGTTAACCAAATGAGCGAAACGCGATTAGAACATTTCAAATGACGTTCGAAAGATACGCAATGTACGTAGTTGGTTTTTCCAACGAAAATTGTTCTTCCAAATTCGAAATCGTTTACATGATCGAGATGAAATGTTATCAAGAGAAAAGAAAGAGAAAAAAAGTCATAACCTTTAACACGTAACAACCTGAATCTAAATTCTCACTCAAAAGATGAAGACGAAAAAAAGAAAGACTGAAGAAAATATTCTGGCCTGTTTTCTTCCATCATCATCATCATCCCCTCCTTCTCATCATCACCGTCATCATCTACTTTCGTCTTCCTCCTCCTCTCATCTTTAGGTCCAAGTAACGGTTTTTTCAACTTCGATTCCAATATATAAACTCAATCGTTTTTAGGTTAACATTGAGTCTTTTGTTTATCATTCAACTGTTAACATTTGATACTTGATTTACTATTTAGTTTCTAATATCAATCAGCTACTGATTGTTGATCATCATTAGATTTAATCATCTACTTTTTAATCAATTGCAACAATAACAAAAAATCCTCAACATATGATTACAATTTGTTCAATTTAACATTAACTTTAACATCTTCAACCTGTTGTCTCATTTTAAGGTAAGTTTGTTTTTCACAATTAACTAATTGTCATCAGATGAATAGATGAAAACAAAATTATTATATTAATTTGTGACTGTTAACATTTGATTTACTTAATTGTGACAATCTAATTTAGACGAAACAAACATTACCATCATTGTGAATCATAAATTATTTGCTTACAGAATCAAACAACAATTAACCCCCTGTGACTATGATTAAGATAGTAATACAATTAGAATCAATCAGTTGATTATTTTGTCAGTGTCTTAATTTGATTTAAAATTAGAATTGAATGAAAAAAAGTGAAAGGAAACATTTCTCAAACTATTAATAATCTTCCTGAACAATTAAGGTTAATCAATCCAAATATTATTCAATCATTGAAATTCAGTTAAATTCATTTTAGTATTTACATTCAAACTATTATCATGAAAGTTTAAGAATAACAATCAACTAATTGTCGAAAAAACTTTTTTCCTGAACAGTAAAGTTTCTTGATAATTAAGCAGAAAAAAATGACGAAACTACAATTTAGTTTCATTGGTTTTCTCATCGTTACATTGATCTCATCGATTTCGTCGACCAACACTACAAGTACCCATTCAGCTAATTCGACCTTAGGTAAGATCGAAGGGCGATCAGGTCGAGGTGACATAAGTATCGAAACTGAAAGTGAACCAAATGAAAAATTAGTTCGAGATGATTTTAACCTCAACGAACCAAACAACGCAAGTCTTTATATTGGCGATCAACAAGGTGAGACATTGATTGACCTTGTTGACATCGATAATACAACGTCATCAACGGTGCCTATGGGAAAATCAGCCCATATAATGGGTCGATCTTCAAGAGCACTTGATCTTGACCATTATCTGGGAGGTTCTCGTAAGGCTCGAAAAGAATCTGGAAATCGAGAATCTCGAATTTTAAATGACAATACTGACCTAACCTCGTCATCATCATCTTCCTCCTCTTCAGCTAAACAACAAGGTCTCGCAATCCAAGGATTTATACCGATCATCTCATTAACTGGTTCCCCTGGTCAGTCAATTTTATCATCATCATCTTCATCTTCAATTCTCAACCAGGAAAACAATCAAACGATTACAATAATCAAGGTGGAAATGATAATAATGCTGCTTATCAAGAGGAGGGTTATCTCCCACCCTCGGTGCCCTCCACAGGTTATGCTGGACCGAATGATGCAAAATTTTTGGGAGCCGCTCTTCAAGGATTAACCGCCGCCTTTAAGCCTAAGCCTACAAGCTACGAGGCCAATCTTTTTGAGTCAAACTATTTTGGTGGTCAGTTGTCACCAAACGGTGGACAACCTCAGAGAGATTGTGTTTGTGTCCCTTTCTACATGTGTAAAAATGGTTTCCTCGAACAGCCTGGACGAAGCAAAAGTCCAACTGTCCACACCTTGATGGGCCATCGGCCAGGAGCTAATTTGGGCGATTACGATGATTTAGTTAACGCTCAAAGTGCTATGCATCAATACTCAATTCCACCTCAATTGGCATCTTTTTATCGTTCAAAAGTAAGGCAACAACATCAACCCCAACAGCATCAATACCACCCACAACAACAACAGCAACAACATCAACAAAACCAACACCAACACAACCAACAACAACAACAACATCATCAACAGCCCCACTATCCATCAGTGGCTTCATCATTTGCCCAAGAAAGTGTCAACAATCAACAATATCAACCAGCACCCTCACAATCCCCACCGGGACGATTACCAATCGACGAAAGGTCCATCGATGGAAGATCAAATCGTCCACAAAGCGAATCTTATCTAATCAATGCAAATGATGTAAGTATTTCTTTTTACTTCTTTAATCATCTTAATCAACAAAAATCAAGAGAAAGGAGATACTTAATTAGTGAGAGTGAATCAACTTAATGGTAACAATTAGCAGTTTATTTAAAAAGGTTGAAGGAACCTTGAACTAAGAAGGTGCTAATCATGTTACTAAAGAAAGAAACTAAACCAGGCCTTAAGAAAATTAAATTAACTATTAACCGGTTAGCACTAATTACAGTTCATCATCATCATCATCATCATCTTCATCATGTTAGCCACCGAGGATGAATCTCATCAAGAATCATCATCATCTGATTGTCATGAATTGTTTTTTTTTCTTGATAAGATGGAGAGTGAAAAACCAAAAATAGAGATTAAATTTTCTGTTGATTGTTGATTTTTTCATCATCTCCATTTTTGTGTCAAATTGATGATGATGAGTGAGAGTGATGATAATTATTACTATTGTTTACAACAATTGATATAAATATAAATCATTAAGACACGGATCATGTTGATTAATAGTTTCTGATGAAGTTTTTTGTTCCTGGTAACCTTTGACTTTCCCTTGATCATGTTGACTTTCAATTGGAAAGATTAAAAATAAATCGTTTAGTTAATTGTACATCGTAATGTTAATAACAGTTAAATGAACAGTAAATTATTTTGGTGTGGGCTTGACCCTAACAAAAGGTAGAGAGTAGGTCAACAGGTAACAGCCCACCGCTTACCAAGTGATAGACAACAGGGAAAGTTAATTGTCAATTTAAAAATAGCAATCAAAATGAATTAAATTTACTTTTTATAAAATTATTTTGCTTTTACTTTTTGTTTATCATTTATTGATTGCGATTCTTAATTCGTTTTATATTTGGATATTTAGACCAATGGTCAGTATACATCGGAGGTTTTGGGTCGTATCTTTGGCTCGTCGGGGTCGTCGAGGTCAAACTGTGGTGTTTTAAGAACTTGTTGTCGACTTTTACCCGATTATCCGGCCACTTATGAGGTTCCAAATCAATTGTTACAACCGCAATCACTTTATCCAATGGCCGCTTCTCAAGATAATTATTTACCCTCTGTACCCTACAATCAACCACCTCCGAACTCTTACAACCAGGGTGGGTATAACTTGTATGGTTCCGGTGGTCCTAATGGTCAACACCATCCTGGTCAACCTTCAAAACGATTCCAGCCCAATACTGATGTATCAATGGTTCGTCCTAAACCTTATGGTCAACAAATTTATCCTGGAAATGGACATTACACTGGTGGTCGACCTGTAAGACCTTCTATTAAAAATCATCAGCCACTTCCAATTAGACCCATTAGACCGACTTATACCGAATCAATCGCTCACCATCAACCTCCTCCTCCCTCACCTTCACATCAACCTGGTTCTTATCCTCATCATCAGTCATCCTATCAACCTAACGCACCACTGACCGGTCCTAATTCAGCTTCATCGTCTGATGGAGCTTATGGCCAATGTGGCATAAGAAATGCTGTCGGTATTCATGGTCGAGTTCAGAATCTTCAATATCACAAATCGTCAACTGAATTTGGTGAATACCCTTGGCAAGTAGCCATTCTTAAGCGTCTTGGACCCGCCGATAGCCTTTATGTTTGCGGTGGTACTCTCATCTCTAGTCAATGGATTGCAACCGCCGCTCATTGTATTAAAAGGTAAATACATTTAGAAGATTAATTTTGATCGGTGAAATTTAATTCGATGAATTTTTCTTTCTTCTTTTAGTAATCGCGCTGAAGATTTGAAAGCTCGACTTGGTGAATGGGATGTTCATCGAGATGATGAATTTTATTCGCACGTTGAAAAGTTTGTCGATGAAATCATAATTCATCCTGAGTATTATCCAGGTAATCTAATCAATGATATCGCACTGATCCGTTTAGAATCACCTGTTGATCTCAGTTCACCTCATATTGCACCCGCTTGTGTACCTTCAACTTATGAAAATTTTGCTGGTTCTCGATGTTGGGTTACCGGTTGGGGTAAAGATTCATTCGGTACTCAAGGTGAATATCAATCGGTATTGAAAGAAGTTGATGTTCCAATACTTTCACACTCTGATTGTGAACAAACACTTCGACAAACTCGCCTTGGGCACCATTATCAACTTCATTCCGGTTTTCTTTGTGCCGGTGGTGAACCAGGTAAAGATGCTTGTGAAGGTGACGGTGGATCACCTCTAGTCTGTGATGTCGGTGGTGTTTGGAAAGTTGCTGGTCTAGTCTCATGGGGAATCGGTTGTGGTCAACCAGGCGTACCCGGTGTCTATGTTAACGTTGCTCATTACAACCAATGGATCGACTCAATCGTCGGTAAATATGGTAAAAGTGGCCTAGACTCTTCATCATCTTCATCCAACAACTTACAAGATCCTTTCGGTGCTGGAATCATCAGTGAACGAAGTAACAATTTAACACCCACCAAACACTCAAATGGCACCACCATCATACCCGCGGCTTCAGCCTCAACGATAAGTGACCTTAGACTGCAACGATCTCAACAAGAAAGTGCCACCGTTACCATGAAACCAATGACCACTTTCGAGCCAATAAAAGCCGATGAATCTTAAACTCGAATCATTTTTCTTCTAATCATACGATATCAATCATTTTTCTCACTAATTTCTAATTGTTGTTGAATCTTCATCACCAAATTAACTCTATTTTTCTAATAACAACATTTAATTTCTCGTTCTCGTGTTCAATCAACAACAATTAACTATTTTCTCTAATTAACCTTCAATATCTTCACAACTGCCTTCTTAATTGATGCAACTTAATGTTAATTGTTATTAATGATATTACTTTTTGTCGATACTCTCTTTTAATTGTGATCAATCGCATCACTAATTGTAAATTGTTATAAAAGAGATGGAAAAACTTTGTATCTTCTTTGAGAAGAAATTTTTTGTTCAACTAATTCAAATCACATTATAAATAAATTGTATCTTATGTATTTCTTTTCCAATTGAAACAATTTATTCTGATTAAGTTTCATTTACAATTTGGCAACAATTTAATAAATTGTTCAACTATTAGATTGGATCAAGGCTTAATTTCAAGGGCGCATCTTTCATATTGTCTGATTGTTGATTCCTTTTCTGATTGATTGGATTGTCGTTAGTCCCGATCAAATTTACTTACGATTCCAATTGGGCTCAATTCCAAATATCAATCAATTGATTCAATAATTATTAGACGTTAATCTTGATTTTAATTAGATCACTAAGCCAATCACTTCAATACAATTATCGTATTCTTTTGTATCAAGTGATCTTCAACCAGATAATCATCTACATGGATTTCAGTAAATTCAATAACAATTGGATTTGAACAATTTCATTAAGATAAGTAATTTCGGATAATCTAAAATAAATGATACGTTGGTAATTGTAAGATTATCTCTCTAATCATTTGGAGATGAATTAATCTTTTTTGGGTCAAACGTTTACGATTAACTGGATTAATAGATTAACAATGAAACAATTAACGTATGAGAACAAACTTGGTTTAAAAAGTGAAAGTTTTGCAAAATTATCATTGGTATCAGTTAATTAATCAGTTTCCAGATCAACAATTAAAGATGATCATTAGTCAATTATGTAAAATTGAAGCGATTAAATCTTGGCTCTTGAAATTTAACCAGAATTTCAGTCGGTTTTTAGATCCGCGTTGATCCCGGAAAGAAACGATTACTACTTGATATCCAGGATCTGAAGAAAAATTCAGGTCAAAAAAGTTTTCGATTTGTTTTTTTTTGTTGTGTTTTCTGTGTTTAAAAGACAATTGGACTCGAAACAATTGGTCTGTTTAAGAAAAAGTATCGAAAATAAAACGAAATGAAAACGAATTGAATGAAATCTCAAAGAGATTCGGATCCAATCAACTCTTTTCTCATGCCACCTGTTTGAGATGAAAACAACTCGTTAATAAAGTTGTTTATGTTTACTTTTTTCTGTAATTTCAATTGTTTACTTTTCCATCAATGGCTTTTTTAAATACTATCAGACAATTAAATTCCAAGGTAAAAAGTCCAAGTCTAAGCTTTGACCTTTTCCCCTTCAATTGAGAATATAACAATAACTAATGATTAACCGTTTGGATTTATTTTCTAGGTCTCTCTGTGTTTACGGAAACCATCAACTTTCAGTAGGTTGTTATCGACAAGTCGAGTTAATTGTGGTCCATTAACGACACTTTCTGAAGATGAGGTCGCAATAAAAGATATGGTCAACAGGTTGTGTCAAGATCTAATCGCCCCAAGGGTCAAAGAGATGGACGAAAAATCAAAAATGGACCAAGTTATCATAGATGCGCTTTTTGCCAATGGTGTAAGTTAATTGTCATCAATTGTTACGATTCACAGTGTTTGATACAAACAAGACGAACCTGAAGCGCTACGAATAGATCAAAATACCACTAGATAACTTTTATAAATCTGCACCAGCAAAAAGATCAAACAATTATCAATTAGAATCAATTTCATAGGGTTGATCGAAACCCTTGTTGCCGTTAATGTGAAAGTTTTTTTTTGATAATTAATTGATATTTGTCTCTCTCTCTCTCTCTCTCTCTCTCTCTCTCTCTCTCTCTCTCTGTTCAGCTGATGGGCATTGATATTGATACTAAATATGGAGGAACCGGTGCTAGTTTTTTCAGCACTGTTTTGAGTATTGAAGAATTGGCTAAATGTGATCCCTCGGTCAGTGCACTTATGGACATTCATAATACTCTGATTGTGAAAATCTTTACCAATTATGCTTCTGAAGAGCAGAAGCAAAAATATTTACCCAGATTATGTAAAGATACAGTGAGTACACTTGACCGGTCAAAATGATGGACATCTAATCGATAATTATTTTATCAATCATCTTATTAGAAATGAATTTAATTCTATTATGTTCTTTTCTCCATCAGGTTGGAAGTTTTTGTATCTCTGAACCAGGATCAGGATCAGATGCTTTCGCTTTGAAGACTCGAGCTGAAAATAAAGGAGATCATTTTGTCATCAACGGAGGAAAATCTTGGATATCGAATGCTGAACATGCAGGAGTATTTTTGGTTTTCGCTAATGCCGATTTTAGTAAAGGTTACAAGGGAATCTCCTGTTTTATTCTGGAGCCAAATATGCCTGGATTTTCAATCGCTAAACCAGAAAACAAATTGGGTATCAGAGCTTCATCAACCTGTGGAATAACATTTGAAGATGTTAAGGTACCAGCGGAGAATTTAATTGGAACACTAGGTCATGGATATAAGTACGCAATCGACTCATTGAATGAAGGTAGAATTGGAATCGGTGCTCAAATGCTCGGATTAGCTCAAGGGTGTTTCGATTATACCGTTAAATATACTCTCGAGAGGAAACAATTTGGTAAAAGGATCTTTGATTTCCAAGGGATGCAACACCAAATCGCTAATGTGGCCACACAAATTGAAGCCGCTCGACTTTTGATCTACAATGCAGCTCGACTACGTGAATCTGGTGCTAATATCGTGAAAGAAGGTGCAATGGCCAAATATTATGCTTCCGAAGTTGCGACAATAACAACAAGTAAATGCGTTGAATGGATGGGAGGTGTTGGTTTTACTCGCGATTATCCCGTTGAAAAATATTATAGAGACTGTAAAATCGGTTGTATCTACGAGGGAACAACAAATATACAATTCAACACGATCGCTAAATCACTGGAAACAATTTACAAGTAAATTCTATTCTAATCAATGACTAAACCAAACCATTAATTATCTGTTATCTGGGCCCAAATTATTGTTATTTGTTTTTCTATTGTAAATTTAACTATGCCAATCAAATGCATTAATTGATCATCTTGATCTAATTATTTTCTCTACTTTATCATTAATCTAATGATAATAAACTTACCTATCTTTGGGAATCAACGATTATTGTTCATCAAAGGTTGATTACTAAGTCTAACTAATTACTAATCGGAGCTGAAAATCTTGATTAAAAATCTCTAATTGATCATCAGAAATTTCTTAGCAACAAACTGAGATCTCTTATTGGATATAATCTTGAATACAATTAATGATCTAAAAATCTGTAATCAATGATTAAATCACCGATTCCTAGATAAACATTAATCAATCTAAATGAAACTACTCAAGATTTGAGATGAAAAAAAAGTTTATCAAATTAACAACAATTAAAGTGAAAATATATTTTATCTTTTAAACAATTTGTTCAAATAATACAAAATGCAATCAAATTAAGTTGATTGTAATCGTGGTTTTCAGATTGTCAGTGGAAATTTTTGTTATGGAAAATTTAGTAAATCTACTTGTATTCAGCTTCCAACAATTTAGCAACTGTATTTAATTGTATGTTTGATGTTCCTTCATAAATGTTACCGATTTTACAGTCTCGGTAATATTTTTCAACGGGATAATCGCGAGTAAAACCAACACCTCCCATCCATTCAATGCATTTACTTGTGGCCAAAGTAGAGACCTCGGAGGCGAAATACTTGGCCATGGCCGCTTCTTTAACGATATTGGCCCCAGTGTCTTGTAATCGAGCTGCATTGTAGATCATTAGTCGAGCGGCTTCAATTTGAATGGCCACATTAGCGATTTGATGTTGCATCCCTTGGAAATCAAAGATCCTTTGGTTAAATTGTTTCCTTTCGAGAGTATATTTGACGGCATGATCGAAACACCCTTGAGCCAGGCCAACCATTTGTGATCCGATACCAATTCGACCTTCATTTAGAATTCCAATTGCTATTTTATAACCTTGACCTACGGTTCCGATCACATCTTCTTTTGGTACTTTAACATTGTCAAAAGTAACGGTACATGTTCCCGATGCTCGGATACCCAATTTATTTTCGGGTTTACCAATTGACAAACCGGGTGTTTCCCTGTTCATTACGAAACAAGTTATCCCTCGATAACCTTTACTTGGATCTACATTGGCAAATACGAGGAAAATACCGGCGACATCCGAATTACTGATCCAACATTTACCTCCGTTAATTACATAGTGATCACCTTTATCCTCGGCACGAGTTTTCAATGAGAAAGCATCAGAACCCGATCCTGGTTCTGAGAGGCAAAATGAACCAACCTAATCATATGAATATAATATTAAAACTAATTAACTTCTTTATCAATCTTACCACACTCATCATTAATTGATTACAATTGATTGGTTGCTACTAATTACTTCATATAATTAATAAATCCCTTTATCAAGATGCACTGAAAATTTTTACTTCAGTTTGACCTGATTTTGTTTTCTCAATGCAATTTTGAAGGGCTGAAGACATCAGGTAATTAAGTGAACAATTAACTATTATTATACAGAATTGAAATTGAGACTTACCGTATCTGTACACAATCGGGTGAGATATTTTTTCTTTTGCTCTTCAGAAGCATATTTGTTGAACACCGAGACACAAAGAGTATTGTGAATGTCCATTAGCGCACTGACCGATGGGTCACATTTAGCTAATTCCTCGGCTGCCAAAACGGTACTGAAAAAATTGGCCCCGGTTCCTCCATATTCGGTGTCAGCATCAACACCCATCAACTGTAACAATCAACAAGTGGTGAAAATTAATGATGAAGATATTAAAATGAACAAATCTGTGAATCGTAACAATTGATGACGATTAACTTACACCATTGGCAAAAAGCGCGTCTATGATAACTTGGTCCATTTTTGATTTTTCGTCCATCTCTTTGACCCTTGGGGCGATTAGATCTTGACACAACCTGTTGACCATATCCTTGATTGCGACCTCATCTTCAGAAAGTGTCGTTAATGGACCACAATTAACTCGACTTGTCGATAACAACCGACTGAAAGTTGATGGTTTCCGTAAACACAGAGAGACCTAGAAAACAAATGAACAAACATTTAAGACAAAAATAGAAAAGGGTCAAAGGGTCAAAGGGTCAAATGGTAACACAACCTGCCACCTTACCTTGGAGTTTAATTGTCTAATAGAATTTAAAAGAGCCATTGATGGTAAATTAACTGATTATGTCCAGCGGTCAAAAGGTTAAATTGGTTGGAACAATTTATTAATACAAAGTGAGTTTGTGTCAATCAGAAAACACTGATTTAAGAGTTTCAATTGTGACTTAGATTGTAAATGAGATGAAGATGATGATGAGAAATGATGATGGAGAAAGATGATCTGATCCTAATCTTTAATCTTCTAATTAAAAGGATCGATAAGAAAATAGATTAGACTTGAGAGTATTAAGATTGGATTGGTAAATAGATTAAATGATTAGGATGATTATCAATGGAAAAGGATACAAATGATAACAATTAAGAGTCAATAATGAAAATTAATTGTTCCTATTTTCATGTTAACTGTAATCAGCAGTCTTGATTATATCATATTAAGTTAATCACCTTGATTAACTTTCAAATGAGTTGAATTTACTTAATCAGAACAATTTGTGTTTAATAATCTTACAGATTGATTATCTTTGATTGGGTGTTTTTCATTCAGATAATTAACTAACCTCTTGAGTGTCAAATTAATCTAATTGATGAAAGATTAAGATAATCAGTTAATCAATTGGAAGAAAAAAAAATCAACAATTGTATCAAAAAGCAAATCAACAAATGATAATCAAAATGAAGGTTAAATTGTTTACTTATTAATTAATAGACATGAAAAGTTTTACTCACTAATTACCTTAAAATTAATTGTAAATTATTAATTGATTACCAAGGATTGACCTTTAGCTTGATTAGTAGTGCAATCTATTAATAACTACAATTAACTAATTGAATTAGGTTTATTTAATCACCTGTTAGATTGATGAATCAATATTAATTGTTGGATACAATTTCCTTAGTTACAATATTATTAATATTTACTTGAAAATATTATTGACAATTAGTGAGTGCGTTTGACAATTTAATTTAATCTGAGTATCCTACTGAGCTAATCTACAATATTATCACAATTAAGGAGATTATTTTAATTGTTGTTTTGTTAAATAAACATTGAATCTCATCTGCATATCAAATTAACTAAATTATCTTCACGAAATCAATTGCTGATCAGTTGACGATCAATGAAACAATTGAATCTTTTTCATCTTCAACTCCTGTGGTTAATTTAACTTTAGTTAATTATTTCATCTGATCATCATCATGATTACCGTTATTATTATTATAAAAACCAGTTGATCTTTATTGATTGTTTATTAGTAAACAATCAACGATTATAAATCTAATTAAACATGTTGCTCCTAATAACAGTTACTCTTATTGTCTGTGATTTATTTTCAACCTCATTGCTTGTTAATTGTGATCTTGGAGCATTGGAAAGTAAAATTGTCAATTCCAATGATCGTGGGACAATTGATTCAGTTAATTGTAACACCGAAAGGCCTGTGATCGGTATATTGTCCATTCCTCTTGGGACGATGAACACAAAGTCGAGATCAATAGTTCGAGTTACATTGTCGCAAGTTATGTGAAGCTCATTGAATCAGCTGGTGCTCGAGTTATTCCAGTTTTAGTCGGTGGTCATCCTGAATACTATGAAAATTTGGTTAACATAACCAATGGAATACTTTTCACCGGCGGTGGACTTAACCTGACCACTTCTGAGTACACAAGATCAGCTGTTCACATCTGGAACTATGTCAATGAAATTAATTCACGTGGTGATTATTATCCATTATTTGGTGTTTGCCTTGGATTTGAATTAATTGCTTACATTGCAAACAATTTAACTTGGCCTTTGACACGCTGTTCCTCATGGGATAAGCCAATGAATCTGAACTTCACCCTTAATTCAGATGAGCTTAAATCATCAACTAAATTGTTCAACAAAGCTGATGAATCAATTATCAAGGTAAACAATTAATGATAGTTATAACAATTTTACTAATTCAATTATCATAACACATGAATTATTTATTCACTTCATTAGACTCTACAAGATGACAATGTTACAATTAACTATCACCACCAATGCTTAACACCAGAAACTGTTAAATCAAGCCAACAATTAAGTGATACTTTCCGTATACTTTCAACTAATTATGATTCTAAAGGCCTTGAATTTGTTTCAATCATTGAGGGTGTTAATTACCCTTATTATGGTTTACAATTTCATCCTGATCGTGTACTATTTGAGCCCAATATCGTTAAATCATATCGGAAGACACCACATAGCCCTGAGGCGATTAAGGTTTCCCAATATTTTGCCGATTTTTTCATTGATCAATCTCGTCTTAATTGTCACCAATATCCTGACACTGAAGAGGCTCATCGACAATTAATCTACAATTATTGTCCAACTTTCACTGGATTAAATGGATCACACGAGCAAACCTATTATTTTACTTGGTGATTAGTGAAATAAACAATTGATGAAAACTGTTGGTAATCAAGAGATAGTTCAACTAATTCAGTTTCTATCCAATTATCAAGAGCAATTAACCAATAATTATGTACTCTCAACTATTGAGCAAACAATTAAATCTGATGATATAATCATATGTTAATAATTATCTTACCAATGGGATTACCGTTTATAATATCTGTTCATTTGATCATCGAGCCAATTGATAACAATTAGCTACTATGAGCCACTGATAATTCAATCAAATCATAATTTCAGTTGATTACATTTTTTTGTTGTAGTTTCATTTGAAATCAATTTAATTTTGTGAGTGTTAATATATTTACGGGTTCATTTTAACCAAACCATCATGTCAATCATATCATCAATTATATTGATCGTTTTATTATTCAATCATCATCAGAATTTAGCCTCTGGACAATCAATCAAATTTTCTGATGATAATCATCATTTTAATCAACGTCCAGTGATCGGTATACTAACAATGCCCATTGAAGATTCTGGTAACCGGACATCGCCCTCTAACTTTCCCTCCAGTTATGTTAAATTCATCGAGTCCGCCGGTGGACGAGTGATTCCGGTCCTGGTGGGTAAAGATGAAGATTATTATGCCAAGATGATCAATATAACCTCTGGGATGCTGTTAACCGGTGGGTCAATTGATTTAACTGATTCAGTTTATACTCAATCGGCTTATCTCATTTGGAAAATTACCTTGAAAATCAATGATAATGATCAGTATTATCCCTTGTTGGGAATTTGTCAAGGATTTGAGTTTTTCCTCTACGCTGCCAATGGATTAGCAGAGTGGCCGTTAATCAAATGTGAGGCTGAAAATTTAGTCGAACGATTAACCTTCATGGTAAATGAGACTCAAATCAAACAATCTAAAATGTTTCAATGGGCTTCTGATCAGATAATCAAGGTAATTACCATAATCATTAATGAGTTGATTTCAATTTAATTTGATTTTCAATTGTTTTTTTCTAGACTCTCAGCAATAAAAGGGTAACTTATAATGCTCATAGTTGGTGTTTACCTGTGAGTCCAGTTTCTGGTCAGTTTTTCCCTCGAATTGGTGATTTTTTCAGAACATTGGCAAAAAGTATTGACTCTAATGGAATAGAATTTATTTCACTAATTGAATCAGTTGATTATCCAATTTATGGGCTTCAATTTCATCCGGAAAAACCAGCATTCGAACCGGTCATCTCACCTGATAGGTCAAACACCCCACATTCACTTGATGCCGTTTTAATTGGTCAATTTTTCGCAAATCTTTTCATCAGTGAGGCCAGAAAAAGTGTCCATCGCTTTCCCGACGATAATTATAATTATCGGAAACAATTAATTTATAATTATTGTCCACAATATACTGCTCTTAACGCCAGTTATGATAACGAACAGGTCTATTATTTCAATTAGTTAATTGTTATCATCATTAATCATTGCGATATCTTTATCGCAACAGAGACATTGAAATTTAATCTTAATTATATGTTACAATTAATTTAAATGTATCAATTTAATTTTGTTAATTAGTGCCAATGGGGAAACACACTATTAATTTCATTGATTATATGTAACAATTAAGGAAACAAAATAATTAATTTTGATTGTTGATGAAGGTAAAAGTTGTTGCCCTTTAGTGTATAACTGAATCAATCAGATTACTAACTGATATTATTGTTCATCTAAGTGATTAACTAATTACTTATTTTTAACAATGAACTGAATGTTGATTGTAGATGATTCTCAGAGGTAAATTAATTTAAGCCAATCAATCAGTTTAATTAAATTCATGTGAAAGTTTAATTGTTCAGAATATAATTAAGATGAGGTTATAAGAATTTAATTTTTCGAGTTGAAACTTTTGTTTACTTATTTGGATTCATTTTTTTCAATTTTTACTCTTCCAAGGTAATAATTAACTCTGATCATCATCTTGGTCTTTCTTTTTCTCTGTCTTTATCTTCATGATCATCATCTTCATCTTCATCACCTCCTCCTATCAACTAACCGGTTCAATATTCATTTGGGTGTCTTATCATTTACTATCAGATGGATAACCCTTTGGATGTTATTTTTGTGCCCTTAAGGGTTAATCATTGATTAGAAGCCCCAAGAAAATATTACAAAATTAAACTGAATTAACTTTAATTGCAAACTGAATTAACATCTCTGGTTTCTTCGGGAGAGGAATGAGAAACAAATTATTCCATCTCCCTCCTTATAAATATCGCAATTAAATCTTAGCATTTGCTTAGTTGTTGATCGCTTGTTGATTGTGACTTTTGAAACTTTTTTTTTTGTAAAAATTGTTCTTCTCATTAATTGTTCACAATTAAATTTCATTACTATGGCTAATTTTAATTCAGTTGTTATCCTTTTTATCTGTCTAATTGGTGCTAGTCTTGCTACTTTCCCTTATCGTTACCGACGAGGAGGTGGTTTCGGTAGTGGAATCGGAATCGGAATTGGAAGTGGTAAGAATTTTTTTAGTTCAATTGATTGCTTTTCATTTGATTGATTTTTGTTTGAATTGGTGATGGTTTTCAATTGATTGTTTGATCTTTTGTTACTTGAAAAGGTTTAATTGGACTCGGCGGATTTGGAGCTGGAATTGGAGCTGGAATCGGCGGTGGGTCAAGTTATGGACCTGGATATGGATATAGACCTGGTAGAGGATCTGGTTATGGTTCAGGATATGGAGCTGGTTCAGGAGCTGGTTATGGAGGTGGCTCAGGTTCTGGTTACGGAGCTGGTTCGGGTTCGGGCTATGGTTCAGGCTCTGGTGCTGGTTATGGGGGTGGTTCGGGCTATGGAGGAGGCTCAGGTTATGGCTCAGGATATGGAGCTGGTTCAGGAGCAGGTTATGGTGGCGGACCAGGATACGGCGGTGGAAGTGGCTTCGGATTAGGTATCGGAATCGGTAACGGATTTGGATTCTAAAAAAACAACTTCTCTCTATCTTTGATAATCGGATAAAAAATAAAACTATTTTGTAATAAATTTCTTTTTCTTTTCCCAAAAACAATTAAATTAATTTATTCCCAATTTTACCTTGAAATTATTTCTCAATTCAATTAACCAGAGGGTCAAAATTAATTAATCCGCTTACATGATTAATCTTCTATTAATTAAATTATTCCAAAATAAGTGAGAAAATTGCTCAGTTTTACATTTAAAAACAAACAAATGAAAACCATTTGATTCTTTACAGTTAATTAATTATGAAAGAAAATTAAGAGCAATCAATTGATAATTACACTTCTCAGTGAAAGAATAATTAAATTTCTATCATAATATTTTTCTCAACGAACGTAATGTTTACATCTCCCCTCGATCTCTTCGAGAAACTTTTTTTGTTTCATTTTGTTTTCGTTTTTTTCTTCTTTCGAGCTTAATTATTAATCTTGACAATCAATTAATTGTCATTTAGTGACTTAATTCTAATTCTATGATTACATAACATCCATTACAAGTCGAAAGTCACAACAAACTCTCGCCTGAGGGAAATTAATTGTCTCTTGTTTTGTTTTTCTCTTTTTTTCTTTTTATTCTGAATGATCATTTTTCTTATTTTCTTTATAATTAACGCTGATTTTTTCTGTACTTATCGAATCAGCTGGTTTTCAATTGTTCAAGCTTCTTTTGTAATTTTTTTGTCCACAATTAATTTACAATTATTGTCCAAATTTCGACTAGGTTAAATGGATCTCATGAGCAAACTTATTATTTTACTTGGTGGTTATTTAAATAATTAACTATAAATAAAAATTAGCAAAAGGTTAACTTACATGTGGATAAATAACTATTTGGAACAAACTTGAGAGTTAATAGCAAATAGATGATTAGAAATTGATTGATTAAAAATCAACCAAATTAAAATTCCAATTCTTTATTCTCCATTTCGATTAAATTCATTAAAAACGGCAAATTAGAATTTCACGAAGATTGGCCTCAATATAAACGAAGAGATTATTTAGAATTATAAATTTATAATTTTTTGTCTAATTTGTTCTATGTAGTTGTTTATCACCTTGTAATTAGCAACGATTAAAATGAGTGAAGATGATAAAAAATCTGATTAATTCGGTTTCTATTCAAATAATTAACCTTTAATTGTGTACTTTCAACTACTGAGCTAACAATTAAATGTCATAATATGATAATTTCCTTTTGGTTTATGATATTACTCATTTAACCACTGAATCAAATGTAACGATTAACTATTCTTACAATTCACTCAATCAAATACAGTTGATTATAATTTCAGTTGTTTTTCATTTTAAATCAAGTTAATTTCCTTTTGTATGAGTTGTAGCCCAAATCATCATGTCAATCATATCATCAATTACATTGATCGTTTTATTATTTAATCATCATCAGAATTTAGCCTCTGGACAATCAACCAATGCTTTTGATGATGATGGTAATTATAATCATAGTCCAGTGATCGGTATACTAACAATGCCCATTGAAGATTCTGGCAGCCGGACATCGCCCTCTAACTTTCCCTCCAGCTATGCTAAATTCATTGAGTCCGGTGGTGGACGAGTGATTCCGGTCCTGGTGGGTAAAGATGAAGATTATTATGCCAAGATGATCAATATAACCTCTGGGATGTTATTTACCGGTGGGACACTTGATTTAATGAAGTCGATTTATACTCAATCGGCTTATCTTATTTGGAAAATCGCCTTGAAAATCAATGATAATGGTCAGTATTATCCAATGTGGGGAACTTGTCAAGGGTTTGAGTTTTTCCTCTACGCTGCCAATGGATTAGCTGAGTGGCCATTAGCTAAGTGTAAGGCTAAAATTTAGTCCAACGATTAACCTTCACGGTGAATGATACGCAAATGCAACAAAGTAAAATGTTCCAACAAGCTCCTGAACAAATAATTAAGGTAATCATGTTATTGGGATTTTCAATTTAATGCGATTGTTAATTGTCTCTCCTTTTGATTTTCTATTTAGATTCTTAGCCATAAAAACGTTACTTATAACGAGCATAGTTGGTGTTTCCAGTTGAGTCCAATTTATGGTCAGTTTTTCCCTCGAATTGGTAAATTTTTCAAAACATTGGGGAGAAGTGTAGATCGTGATGGAATAGAATTTATTTCAGTAATTGAATCAGTTGATTATCCAATTTATGGGCTTCAATTTCATCCAGAAAAACCAGCCTTCGAACCGGTCATTTCGGATGATAGATCAAACACTCCACATTCACTTGATGCCGTTTTAATTGGTCAATTTTTCGCAAATTTCTTCATCAGTGAGGCCAGAAAAAGTGTCCATCGTTTTCCTGTCGATGATTATAATTATCGAAAACAATTAATTTATAATTATTGTCCACAATATAATGGTCTTAATGCTAGTAGCCCAGATATACAGGTCTATTATTTCAATTAGTTAATTGTTATCGACATTAAGTTATCATAACAGAAACATGGATTTAATATGTTACCCTGACTATTATATTAATTAAAATGAATCAAAATGTATCAATTTAATGCTGTCAACTAATCAATCTGAGTGCGAAACACATTTCATATCAATGATATTTCATAACAGTTTCATGATGCCATAACAAGCAAATTTAGTTATTCCGATAAGATTCCAATTGTTTCAAGCACAATAACTGTTAACACGAACGATTTTCTATGATTCAATCAGAGTACCAGAATTTTCCTGAGATCTGTGAATGCACATGAAGAAATCCAAGAAAAGGCCCAAAGGATAAACTCATCTCATCTATTAAACTATTTTGAGCTGCGGTTAATTGTTGTAAATCAGTTGCTCTCAAACAATCAGCGATAACTTCAGGTGTTTTTGGGAAGCTTTGATGATGATGTTGCTCATTGGAATGACTTTGATGTGATGAAGCAAGAGATTGACCTGAGGGTATGTTTGTTGTGTCATTAGCGGATTCAGCGGGGAGATAATCGACCATTGAAGCTAAAGTTAATCCTCGACGTCCATAGGCACCTTCACGCTCATAGAAAGTCGTGTTACCGTTGGAGCACCAGATTGCATGATTCCTCGACGGAAAAGGTCAATATGAATGAATGACCTGGAGGGCCCAGAATTCCTAACCTATTCTAGAGCAATACCTATGAAAGTCAGAAAATTTTAATTTACTTTAGTTAAATTTTGCAAAAACAAAGGGATTAGTTTCAATGTTTACTTGAAGGCTTGGCGAGTTGACACCGAACCTCGGGGTCAACTCGCCAAGCCTTTCGAAAGGATTATCCCAAAAGGATTAAGCTTTTCTTTTAAGCGGCTTGGCGAGTTGACTCTATACCTTTGTGAGTATATATAAGCATGCATTCTGCATTTTCTCATTTCAAAAAAGTTATTTGCTTGAGACTCAAACAACTCACGTTATCATAAGTGTATTTTGAATCTGCGTTAACCACTAGTTTACCACGTTCAATGGCTCTCTTCAATTCTCTTAAACGATTAAATTCAAAGGTAAAAATTCCCTTTAATTGATTGACGACTAATTATCTTCAATTATTTTCTAGATTTTTATGTGTTTACGGAAACCAATAAATTGCAGTTTGGTTAATGTTACCAATCTATCAACAAGTGTCCCTAATTGTGGTCCATTAACGACACTTTCTGAAGATGAGGTCGCAATCAAGGATATGGTCAACAAGTTATGTCAAGATTTGGTTGCCCCAAGAGTTAAGAAAATGGACGAAACCTCCGAGATGGACAATACCATCATAGATGCGCTATTTGCGAATGGTGTAAGTTGTGAGGTGGTTTTTAGTGTTTACACCGATGGTTAAGGTTTTCTTTTTTTTCTTCAATTTTAGTTGATGGGTGTTGATACTGACACTAAATATGGCGGAACTGGTGCTAGTTTCTTCACCACCATTCTCGTTATTGAAGAGTTGGCTAAATTTGATCCATCGGTTAGCACTTTGATGGATGTGCACAACACTTTGGTAATGAGTACATTCAACAATTATGCTTCTGAAGAGCAAAAGCAACAATATTTACCCAGATTATGTAAAGACACTGTAAGTATATAATCGGTGTTTTATTTAAATACTGTCAATGTAAACAATATCCAGAAATCATCAAGTGGTTAAGAGTGAAGTAACAAGGTTGTTTGTTTATTTCCGTTTATATTAGATCGGTTCTTTCTGCCTCTCGGAACCAGGATCAGGATCAGATGCTTTCGCTTTGAAGACTCGAGCTGAAAATAAAGGAGATCATTTTGTCATCAACGGAGGAAAATCTTGGATTACCAATTCTGAACATTCAGGAGTATTTTTGGTTTTCGCTAATGCCGATTTTAGTAAAGGTTACAAGGGAATCTCCTGTTTTATTCTGGAGCCAAATATGCCTGGATTTTCAATCGCTAAACCAGAAAAAAAATTGGGTATCAGAGCTTCATCTACCTGTGGAATAACATTTGAAGATGTTAAAGTACCAGCGGCGAATCTGCTTGGCAAATTAGGCCATGGATACAAATACGCGATTGGAACTTTGAATGAAGGTAGGATTGGAATCGGTGCTCAAATGCTCGGATTAGCTCAAGGTTGTTTCGATTACACCGTTAAATACACTCTCGAGAGGAAACAATTTGGTAAAAAGATCTTCGATTTCCAAGGGATGCAACATCAAATCGCTATTGTGGCCACACAAATTGAAGCCGCTCGACTTTTGATCTACAATGCAGCTCGACTACGTGAATCTGGTGCCAATATCGTGAAAGAAGGTGCAATGGCCAAGTATTATGCTTCCGAAGTTGCGACAATGACCACTAGTAAATGCGTTGAATGGATGGGAGGTGTTGGTTTTACTCAAGATTGTCCCGTTGAAAAATATTACCGAGACTGTAAAATCGGTTGTATCTACGAGGGAACAACAAATATACAATTCAACACGATCGCTAAATCACTGGAAACAATTTACAAATAATTCAAATTTTTAATCGAAAATATATTATCTTTCTCGATTTTTCAATCAAAGGGTGTTAAGTTTAAAAGTATGAATTATCATACCTAAAATTGTGATAAGAAGATGACAATTTAATTCAATTGTAGACATTTTTCATCTTATCACAATTTTAGGTATGATAATTCATACTTTTTAAACTTAACCCTTTAATACAAAATGATAAAAATAAGAGCAAAAACTCTGAGTTTGTAACCACTTGTTATCTAAACATTATATCAAAATAAATAAAACGGATTGAGCTCTAACTCATAAAGATGATAGAAAGAAAGATTATCTCCTTATGATCTTATCTTCTTATAAACAGAGAAAAAATCTAAAAATGGCCTGAGGTAAATTCAAGTAGTTTAATTATCTCTCTTCCTGCAAACAGTTTAAAACCACCGTCAAACTTATTTTCTCCGACTTTATATTTTCGATTGCTTTAAATCGTCGACCAACAGTCCAACTTCCATTTATGGTTTGGATCCAGGGTGGAATCTTTTTCTCAGGTTCGGATGATCTTTCAACCTATCAATCTTGTCTTCCTATGGTAATATAATCGTGGTAACAATCAATTATTGACTTGGAGCTTTTGGTTTTCTCAATTTCGGAACAGCATCGGCACCAGGTAATCAAGGTCTTCATGATCAAGTAGCTGCTTTAAGGTGGATTCAGGAAAACATTGGCTACTTTGACGGTGATCCAAATCAAGTAATATGAGGTGAACTGAGATCAACAGGTGATTCTAAACGGATCAGTGCGATATCATTGATTAGATTACCTGGATAATACTCAGGATGGATTATGATTTCATCGACAAACTTTTCAACGTGCGAATAAAATTCATCGAATCAAATTTCACCGATCAAAATTAATCTTCTAATTGTATTTACCTTTTAATACAATGAGCGGCGGTTGCAATCCATTGACTAGAGATGAGAGTACCACCGCAAACATAAAGGCTATCGGCGGGTCCAAGACGCTTAAGAATGGCTACTTGCCAAGGGTATTCACCAAATTCAGTTGACGATTTGTGATATTGAAGATTCTGAACTCGACCATGAATACCGACAGCATTTCTTATGCCACATTGGCCATAAGCTCCATCAGACGATGAAGCTGAATTAGGACCGGTCAGTGGTGCGTTAGGTTGATAGATGACTGGTCATAAGAATCAACCATTCGAGAGATGGAACTTGTGTAAACCTAATGCTGAAACGGAAAAGGGAATCGATAATTTTTCTGTCTAAAATTCTTGAATCTTCGCGGGTTATCAACTATTCGAGAGATGGCGCTTGTGTAGACCGAATGCTGGAACGGAAAAGGAAGCGAAATTATTGTAAAATTTTCTCAGTCTTGGTGAACAATTTATTTTGTTGGTGTTTAATTAACAGCAATTAATTGTCGTTTTTTCTTAATTTAAATTATCTATTTTTTTTGTTTGTGAATTAGCTTAAGAAAGTCTTAAATTACTACCAAAATGAACAGTGAATTGGCTTGTAGTTATGCTGCTCTTCTCCTTCAAGATGATGATATCGCTGTTACTGGAGAGAAAATTTCAACCATCTTAAAAGCAGCTAAAATTGAAGTTGAACCATATTGGCCAACATTATTCGGTAAAGCTTTAGAAGGTGTTGATATTAAGAAATTGGTGTCTAACATTGGTTCAGGTGTTGGTTCAGGACCTGCAGTCGGTGGTGGTGGAAGTGCAGCACCAGCAGCAGCCGCTGTCGAAGAAAAGAAAGAAGCCAAGAAAGAAGAAAAAGAAGAGGAAGAAGAAGATGATGACTTAGGATTCAGTCTTTTCGATTAATCTAATTTGTCTCTTTAAACAAAACTCCTTATTTCCTTCAATTTGTTATCTTCAAATAAAAAGATATTTGTAAGTTAACAATATCCTCAGTAATTGTTATCTTACCTCATTTCACTTTAACAAATATCTTTACATCATCCACCATCGACCACATGGTTAACTATATGTGTAAATTTCGCGAATCAATCAATCAGATACACTAAATGATTAGCAACTTTAAAGCTCCATCAACGTGTTCAAAATTCCAATCAATCTTATTGGACGTAATCAGTATGATTACTTAATGATAGTGTTCCCTCGTAAATTCAACCAAAACTATCATATTGAGATCACAATTCAGTTGAAATCATGTTTAAGTTGATATCTTATCGATTTAACCGATTGATCATTGTTTGAATTTGATTACAATTCATTCAAATCAGTTTGATATCAAATTGATTCATAACAGTTAAGCTTTTAATCCTTTGATAAATGATGGAGAGACTTAAAGATTAACGGGATTCATATTTAGTAACTTTATTGTTACTTGTATTTTTTTTCATAGTTTATTTTTATTCGTACAATTTTTAAATTATCGTGTTTTTTGTTTGTCAATAGATGAAACAAAACTTTCATTCGGATTCGGGTTCGAATGGAGATTTTATATTTTTTTCAAAAGGCTCTCTTTCCGTTTCCACTCTATTATTTACTTTTTACAAACTTCCTACTAACGGTTTTGATCATCTCTAAAAATGGTAAAGTTGGCAACTAAGAGACTTCTCTTGGCTAAGGACAAGAGAGTTGAATGTACATCATCACTACTAGAAGAAAAAGACGAACAGGATGAAATACACTCGAAAAAAGAAAAGGATAGTTCGAAGAAGATAAAAGATGACAATGGTGTTGGTGGTAAAAAGACAAATAAAAGAGGAAGAAAAAAAAGGAAAAGGAAACAGAAAAAGCTTCTTATGGAGTAAAATTAAAAAAAACTCTCGAAGTCTTGAAACGTAGTCTCTTGAATAAGATAGTGAGAGAGTGATGGAGGAATAAAGGTTAAAAATGGTAAGACAAGAGAAGATGATAAATGATGATGAAGACAAAGAAAGATCTCTTTGGTTAAACGTTTGAACAATGGATACGTCCAAATGAACCCAGAGTCTTATGGCCAGAGAAGGAAAATATTATCAACTCAGTGATGATCATTTGAATAAAGATCATCCGGTGATAGAGAAAAACATGGCGTCCGAAATGAATTGTGATTAGAACAGCACAAAGAGGATTAAGAAGATGATTTTGAAAACAAAAGAATAAAAAGAGACAGAGGAGAGAAAGAGAAAGAGAAAGATGATAGTAAAGAGACAGAGAAACTAATAGTAAGTGTTTCATCCGAAAACATAATTGATCAAATTATCTCGGTCCAAACAAAACAAAGGAAAATCCATGTTAATTGTAATTGTCAATTGTTGCTGATTTCTTCTTGTGTCTTGTAGTGTTGTTGTTGTTTTCTTGGGGGTTTCATGTTGGTGGTATAATCATAATGGTTCTGGGATGATGGTGATATTAATAATCTTAATGATGTCGATGATGATAATGGTGATGGTATTTTTCCGTTTGTTTTTGTTTAATATTTTTCCTTAATTGATTTGATTGTTTTTAAATTGTTTTCTTTTTTGGCGTCTTCTAATTCATCTCCATTTTCAAAGGACATCCAGATAAATTCCTTGATTATTATTAAATGAGACTCCATTTGATTCATCAATACTTCGGACTGGACTGGCATCGTTTGAATCGGGTGTCCGAGATCCATCAGAATTGGGAAAATTTGTCTTATTTCCTTGAGCTTTACGAGTTCGACTCATTATTGCTTCAACTCTCTGTGGAAAACGAAAACGAAAACAAAAGTGATTAATTAATCATCATTTAGAAATTACAAATGATTAAGATAAGATTCCAGGTAAAGGGATTTAAACATTAATCAATGAAACATGAATTTAAACGACAAAATAATATCATGATTGTAATAACTTAATTACTATGATATTTACATGCTAACAAAATATTAATGATAATCAAGGTGTGTTGGGTAAGTTAATCATATGAAATGAGTATATGTCCTTCAGATTGATTACAATTAACATTCAAACTGTAATAACAATTAAACAATTGTAAAGATAAAGTAACACTACTCTCATCTGTTGATAAGAAAAGGTAAAAGAAAATAGTCTTAAATAGTCACCGTTAGAATAATCAATTAATTATTATCAACAATTAACTTGAGAATGAAGCAGAAAAACTTAAATTGTGTCAATTTAGTAATCCGGCTAATCAAGGTTGCTGATGATGATAATCAAAAGTCACTTCAGATCAAAACACCCACCGAAATAAACTTGTCAACAGAATAACAAGAAAACTAAGCAACCTGATTGTGCCATCATTTTCATCTTAATCATTTGCACACTCACACATTGTAAAAAATATGATGATGATTATCATCATGATTATGATTATTATATTATTCGTGATTTCAATTAACACTAAACAAGGTAAGAAAGATTATTATTATTGTGGTAACCCACTGAGTCTTTATTGACAACCATACAAAACAAGTAGATCAGACGTGTAAATGTAATACCTTTAATTCAGATCATGATTTTTAAATATATATGATGAACATCATGACGATGATGAAGATGATGATTATGATCAACTTGATTATTAACCAATTCTTCATCATCATTACTCAACATACACACTGTAAACTTTAAATTACTGTTAATAAATTTGATTATTCAATTGTTGGATGTTAGCCCAAAGTTATTTCAACCCGTAATCAACCCGGAAAAGGATCAACTTATCAACCTAAAGCTATTGATTCAATGAGAAGAGACAAGAAATTTTATCTTTTCTTATACTTTTCTAGTTAATTTTACTTGATTGAACAGTTAATTCTGTTACAATTAACATAATCAACTTGACAAATTGTAAAACATAAACACAGTAGTAACAACGTGTTATCATTACGTTGATTAGCAACCCAATTCAAATGATTATTATCAAATTGGTTTCAAGTATTAAAATCAAATATACACACACAAATTGATGGTCATCATCATCATCATCAGAAAATGAAAACAATCAACAATTTAAAATGTTTCTTTAATAATATGACAGCTTAAACCATGATTTATTTAATTTCTTTCTCAATCAATGGCAAAAAATTAGAGAGAAAGAAAGAGAGACTGATAATAAATTGTTGCTGTTAAAGAGAATCAAATAAATCATAACAATTATTATTATCATCGTCGTAATCAACAAAACAAAGATTTGAATAATATATAAAGGTAACAATTATGATGAAAGACAATCAATGAAATTGATCTTCAATGAGGCATCAAAGGCAACAAGTAATAGTAGTTGAAAAAAAAACTACTACATGATTGCATGATAATCAAAGTAGTAATTTACCTTGATTGTACTAATAGTTGATAGTTAACTTGATTTACATTTGCTTTTGGTTATTTACATTCAATAATTTTCAATAACTACTAAAATGTTCATCTCACTCAATAAGAAAACTCAGTCGATAAGAAGATAAAACGATGATGGTTTAAGTTGATAATATACTTAATTCTCAAGATAAATTGAAGAAACAATTTACTGATTCAGTTTTCAATTGAGAACGTGCGATGATAAAAAGAAACGTTTTAAATATATGATTAAATGGAAAACAGAAAATTACGCTTAATTAAGCAAAATTTTCTACACAACAAAATGAGCTTGATTGTAAAAATCTTCTCTCAACTGTAACTGTGTTGGTTTGATTCATCCTCATCCTTTTATCATCCCTCTCATCCTTTAAAGCTCATAATCTTAAGCCAGAATTTTTATTCCAAAATAATTCTGGTCAGTATTTATATTATATATTTACTCTTGTGTGGTGGTGGTGGTGGTATAATAATCATGATAATATATAAGATATAAGGCAGAGGGAAAAGATCATGATTCAGGAGCTCATCATTAATGCTATAATATATTCAATTTAGGAATAAAATGAGAGAATAGGAATTAAGATGATAATAATAATGATGAAGATGATGATGATGGTTAATGAGGTAAGTAAACTCTTTTCTGTATCATCTTCATTTCGCCATCTTCAATCATGAAAATCGTATTAAAAAGTAATATTATCTCTCTGAGTAGTAGTAATAAAAAAAATGAATAACATTCAGAAGGAAACATATTCAAGTAATTCAGGTAAAATTAAAAAGTTAGTAAACCATTTACATGGTGTTAATAGGGTAATGATGATTATAATGGCGATTATGAGATGAGATAACAAATAACAAGAAAACAATCAACCAATATGAAAGGTGTAACAATTAATAATAGCAATCAATAGGATGAGAGAGAGAGATGAAATAATAGAATTGATTGCAATGTATCGTAATCATATAATTGAAATTGAATGAAAATGATCATAAAAAATTAACTGATGATGAAGATTAAAAAGATGATAATGATAATGATAATGATGATGATGATGATGATGAGAGAAAAAGAGAATCTTTTCTCAAGGAGATGATGAGGATGCTGATCGCTAAGGGCATAAGAAAATAACGGGACAAGAAACAAAACAATTCGTATTTGGATTTGACCAAAAATAATAACAATCATTTAAATTGTTGATATTACAAGTTAATGATTATCTTGAAAATACATCGTAACAATTGAAATGATTACAATCATCATCATCATCATAATCAAGCAATTTGTTGTTTATAAATCCTAAATGAACAAGTTAGTAAAAAAACAATTTATATGTGTTAATTGTAGTTAATTAAATTAATATAATATTTGGGTAAACAACTAATCAACAACTAATCATGTAAATGGGTCAACATTAAGAAAATGACCAACAACAATTATAATAATAAACCTTTAAGTTAAATGTAATAAATTGTTTACAATAATTCATTTAGATCAACATTCTGATATTGAAATGTTAATAATGCAAATTGTAAGTTTTAATTGTTATTCAAACAATTTAAGATGAAATCATATTCAATTTTCTGTAGCATAAGAATCAAATTGATAATCTCGTAAGGTCTTGGATTTAGTTAACACAAATAAATGACTTTATATAAATTATGTTATCTTAATCATCTAATTAAGATGAACATAATCAAATATAATCATAAATAGACAATTTCATGATATAAAATAGTGAATATCTAAATATAAATATAAAATAAGGTGATTTATATCAAGGTAAATTCATGGAAGATTATGTTCATCATTATCACAATCAAAAAGTCATCATCATGTTTAGTGGTTGAAAATTAAATGTATGGTAAATCAACGTAATCAAGTAATCATTAAGTATGATTACAATTGTTCAACTGTTACAATCAAAAATAATATAATAATAACTTGTTAAAGGTTAACCTTAGGTTGGAGATTTTAAATTTTTCAAGTCTAGTTCGTTGATCATTACAATCAACTAATAGTGTTATTTGATTGTTGAGCTTTTTTCTGATGAAAAAAAAAAGGTTACAAACCAAATCTGATTATGATTAGTTAGGAATTGAATTGAAGGTCCGATTATAAATCATAACCATCATAAATGGTAATACATGTAAAAGTTTATAATTAAAGGCGAGATTGTGAATTAAGATATTTAATCAAATTAGAGTTTAAATTGTTGTAACACCCGAGATAAATAAATCAACAGCTATACAACAAGTGTAATAATAATAAATGATGAATGAAAAAAAAAAAAACAAAATGGTTAATCAGGTTAATCCATTTGAATAATGAGAGCTTGTAAAAATTGGAAAGTATAACAATTAAAATACAAAAGTAAAAACAAAAATTAACGTTAAATTAATTGTAATTTATCAAGTTTGTTGTTGGCTAATTGTTAACTTTGAATAAATTACGATTTTACTCTTGTTGATCAATTTAAATCGTAATCTAAACAAAAGGGGCTCAACTAAGTGATTTAAAAATAAAAATTAAATTAATTATAATAATAGAAGAAGATGAAGAAAAAAATAATAAGAATCAGCAACAATTAAGAAAAAAGAAATAGAGATTAAGATTGGATAAGAGATAAAGATAATACGAATTAGGAAACAATCTTTTGAATAATATATTAATCTAACTAATATTTATGATTAAAGGTGATACTTGATCTAATTGTGAAAACTTTTAAGGTGTTACCCCAATTGAATTAAATACTCTGAAATGAAATAGGTTAAAGGTAACCATTAATAATAACAAAGACAATCATTCTGATTATTATGACCTAATCAGGTATTGATTAGATTATTTTATATCAATAATGACCTGATTTAGATCTTGATTAAAAGGTAGAGAGAGAGAGAGAGACTGGAACTTAGGATAGATTTTGTATTAAGAGAATGAGAGTATAAAGTGAAGTAAAAAGATAAACAAAATCGTATTAAAAGTTATCAGTTGATTGTTGTTGATGTGCTTTGGTGATTAGAGGAATTGGTTTTGAGAGTGAGAGAAAATATAATGAGAGAGAAAAAAAAAGATTCTGCTAATTGTAACAATTAACTGTTGCTTGATTAGATACATTGAATGTTTCAAGGTGAAAGGGTAATGATGATATAAATCATGTAATCAATTTAACATTGATAAACACATAAATTTCATCTCGTTATGTCAATGATGAAACAATTTGCAAGTATAAACATTGATTGGATGTAAATTGTTGATCAACAGTTTTATTATTGTTAAAGAGGGACTGTTAATATGAAAGCAAAAATATCCATCTAATCATTATAATAATAATGAGGATGAGGATGAAGATGAAGATGAAGATGAAGAAAGTTTTAAATGATTACAACAATAGGTATTAGATTTAAAAGGGAATCAATCAAAAAAAAAAGATGAGAGGATGATGAAGATGATAATCAAGATGAAGGTTGATTGAGAATGGAAATTGAGATCAAATTTGTATTAAGTCATCTTGTTTTTCATCATCGTCATCACCATTATTATCATCATTCTACTTTTGATTTTTTTTTACCAATCGCTTTCTCCCTAACGTCAGGTAAATGTCAAAATGATATCAACAAACACATTCACAGGTAAATGTATATACAGATTAAGTAAACCAGTTAATTGAAAGAGGTTAGGAAATGAAACAAAAAACTGATATTAAGAGAATTGAATCAAATGATGATGAAAATGCCTCCGAAATTAAATGATTCAACATCCATCATCAACTCATGGAGGCTTAATCAGTTTGAATCGCAGGAATCAAGGTGGGTGAGAGAGGGAAAAGATTCATTAGATTATATTATTATTATTATTATTAGTTACTTTGAATTAAAATATGTTGACCAGTTAAATTATAATAATAATAAAAAAATCATCATCATGAATGATGAAGAGATGATGATATCAATAGTATTAGAAATCAAATCAATCATGTAGAAGAAAAAAATCTATTCTATTTAAGTTAATCGTCTCTCTACCTCTTTTATAATATTTTTGCTTCTTTTAAAAATAGATGATAATCTCAACTTGTTATCATGAATTTCATCTGAATAGAGAAAAATTCATTGAGAAGAGAGCAAGAGAATAAGAAATTGGAAAGAAAAATATATAAACAAATACAGATCATCATCATCATCATCGGACTAAATCAATGGTTAACTAGATTGATTGCTAACAGAATTGTTAACATAATTATCATTTAGTATATTAATAGGTCGATATTGATATTGAATTAGTTGAGTTAATTTTTTTTGCTCATTCATGAAAAGAGTCTTTTGTTTTTAACAATCAACCCATTAAATGTACCTAAATATCATTTCCAAGAGGAAAATGATAAAACATAATGACGATATTTATGTGTAATAGAAACTCAAATGGGAAACTGAACTGTGATGAAAAAAAAACTATCAGAATGAGAAACGGAAAAAATTAGATGATAACAAGAACTGAAAAATATCACCAACCATGATTATCATGAAAACATATCTTATAACCTCATCATCAATGTTGTTCATCGGTAAATCAATGGCAATATTTTTTTTCTGATGATAACCGGTAACAACAAAACCAGGTAATCATAAACTAACCAAACTACCAAAAAAATAAATTGATGATGACGGTGAAGATGCGGATGATGATAGTGATGGTGTATGATGTTGATCATCATCATCGTGTTATTAAAGAGGGGAAAACATGAAAGAAGACGGAAGAAAAGTGGAATCAAGAATGAGGGAGAGATGGAGATAGAGAGAGAGAGAGGTGGGTTAAGGATAACAGTTGATTAGTTGAGGTTGATTTTGTTTTTAAATTGAAGATGAAGAAAAAAATTGATGATCGGTACCTTTTTACGCTGAATCCTTTCCTCTTCATCTTTTCTTAACCTTTCCTCCAGTTCAAGTCTTGCTTTTTCAGCTTCCTCTTTAGCTTTAATTTCTTGTTCTTCTCTTTCTTGTTTCAGCCGTAATTCCTCTTCACGGCGTTTTCGTTCTTCTTCCTCTCTTCGTCTTTGCTCTTCCATGGCTTGGCGTAATTTCTCTTCTTGCATTTTCCTGTGTTCTTCTGCAAGGCGAATTTGCTCCTCTTCTTCGGCTCTCATTCTTTCTTCTTCGGCTGCAAGTAATTCGGCTTCCAATTGAGCAGCTTCTTCTAAACGTTTCCTTTCCGCTTCGGCTTCTCGTTCAGCTTGTTCTCTAGCCAAACGTCGTTTCTCGGCCAAAATCTTTTTATATTCTTCTTCGCTTATTTCTTTCTTATTGCTGATAGAGCAACTACTTCCCATTGAGCTTCCTTGATTCATTGATGTTTCACTTTCTGTAGTCACTTCAGATTCCTCTTCAGATGATTTTACATTGTTACTGGTTGAGTTTAGGTTGATTATGGTAACTTTATTTGTTGGTATCTTTTCCTTGTTTACAGAGTTATCCTTTACTATTGTTGTGGTGTTGGGACAACTTTTATCACTTAATTCATTCATTTCATTGGCATTAGGTGATTCTTTTTCAAATGATAAATTAGCACCTTGTTGTTGTTGTTGTTGTTGCGAGGGTGTCTTATTTGCATTACGACGAGCGGCAGCAGCAGCTTTAACATGTGCTGGTTTACGCGGAGGTGCTGGTTTAACTAGATTATCGTTATTATTATTTAATTTATTATCCATTCCTTCAAGTGGAGCACGATGTTTAGATCCTACACTTCGTGCACGATTTGGCCTCTGCTGATGAACACTTGATGATAAAGAAGCTGTTGATGATGATAATCCTGGTGGTGTAGTTGCTGAGGTGGTTGATGTCACTATCAGAGAGCTGGTCATTTCTCTATTAATTAAAGGTGTTCTATAATTAACCTGTCCACTACCTTCGTATGTAGTTGACCTACGATTATCTGGAACACAACCAGCTATACTGAATGGCCTTGGTTTACGACTAGTCTTCGGTCTCCTAACAACTAGAGAGGAATTAGCCGATTGTTCTGAAAGGCCAGACATCGATGATGTTGGCCGAGTCGGTGATAAAGGACCAAGTCGAGAAGATGCTAAAGAGATATTGAGTCATCATCATTCAAAGATGAGAGAACAAGAAGAAAAAATAGAAAAAAAACATGACAAACAATTAGTCATTAGCGATGAAATAAAGTGATTAGTTAAGAGAAAAGCAAGAGCGTAGTATAAGATGGGAAGGAAAGATTCTAGGGTCAAGTGCAATAACTTTTCTTATCTTTTCCCCTCTAATAAGCTTGAATCGATTGTTTTTCATGTTAATCATGCTTGTTAGTTAAGAAAATTAATTTTATATGCGTTGGTTCAACTTGAAAAGAGAGAGAGAGAGAGAAAAAAAAGGTTGAAAGGAGAGGTTTGGAAAGGAAGTTTGCTTGAGGCAAGCAAAGAGAAACATTAAAGTGATCGGCAAAATGGAGCAACAAATAATTTGGAGTTTAAAGTGAATTGAAATGAAATTGAGGAAAGATGAAGAGAGAAATAAAAAGAAAGAGATAGAAGGATAAAAATGAGAATAAAATGATTGAAAGTCAATTATGACGAAGATGATGAATATAAAAAGGGGAAATGTAGAAAGAAAGAGATTGAGAGAGAGAGAGATAGACAGACGGAGAGACAAATTGAGAAGAAAATGGAAAATATTCTTACCCAGACTTCTTAATCTAAGAGATTCCTCTAGATATCGTTGTCTTGGCTTAGCCAATTGATCGAGTCGAGTCATACTGACAGCTCTCTTTGGTCCGGTCAGTTTTACCTCATTAGAACCAATATCATTTAATTTACAATTTATTGAGTCTCTTGATCGGCTTGTACTAAAAGAAGAAAAATAATCACCACGTAAACCATCACGCTGATCTCTGGGTGGAACTGGAGTTAATTCGGGATGTTTTTTCCGTCGAGGTGATATAACATACATGCTTTGACTCATGAGATTTTCTCGTTGATTTGGTTTCACGTTAACAAATAAAAACATTGAATTAGAGCTCATCATTTTGAAGCTGAATCAAGAGAGAGAAAAAAAAGGAGAAGAGGAAAAAAAGAGAAAAACAGACAGAGAAGAGGGAGACACACTTTTGGATAGAAATGGATGATGATGTTTATGGAATATCCAATTTTCTCTTCACTGTTTTTATAATTCCTCTGTTCTTTCGGGGGGTTTCCTGGGGCTTTTTTATTCTTCTAAAACACTTCTTTATACACTGATAGCAGAAGAGAAAAACAAACCATCAACTAAATTAGAAAGAAATCAACCTTTGAGATCCAAACAACATCTTAAGCTCAAAGCAGCTCAAGAACAACTCGTCATCTGTCTTCATCAATTCAGAAAAGAATCTTACTCATCCGATCTATCGACTAAAATCGAAAAGAATATTCGATTGTGTTCGATTCTATTCCAAGTCCAAGTAGTTGATTCGATTTTTTTGTAGAAAGAAAAGAAAGTGAAAAGAAAGAGATTAATGGAATTATTTTGATCCTCTTACTTTGTTTTTCGATTAAAATTATTTTTCTTATTTTGTTTATTTTTTAATCTAAAAAGATAAAAATCTAAATGATTAAAGTTAATTGTTTGGAATAGAATTTGTTTGTTTTCTATTCTTTCTTCAGGTGCTTATGATTTCATCTATGTGATTATGGAACTTGGAATTTGTTAATTGTCGAATTATTTGGTTGTCTTTGTTTCTTTTTCTTCTTTCTCTCTCTCTGGTCTTGAAGAATGAAGATTTCTATGTGTGTGTGGATCTTTTCATAGAATCGAATTATTTTGGCGATGAAAATGTTCTTTTCTCATTGTGAATTTCATGGAATCGATCACAGTTTAAGGACATAAACAAGGTGGAGTCTTGTTCTGATTTTGTTTACATTATTCACCAGACCAGATTTGGTTCTGCTTCGATGTCTCTTCCTTGTCACCCTCAGGTAAGGTTGTTTCTTGATCATCTTTTTTTAGGCCTAACATTTAACCTTGAACAATTATTTTCTCTCTCCTTCTCTATATTTATAGCCATTGGTCTAAATGTTATTCAATGTTAATCAATTTTTCTTCCACTAATTAGGAAGTTGCAATTGACTCTGAGTAACCAACACCCTTAATCATTGAATAACATTTCAAGTATTACTCATTTTCTATTTGTGACATAATCTTGTTAATCTATTGACGATCATGGGTTAGGTATTTTTATTTCAGTTTCTTTTTCGCATTGATAAGTATTTTCTTTTTTTAACTTTATTCTTTTTGTAGAATATTTGTTTAAATTTCTACTGAAAAATTGTTCTTCTTTTGTTTCTGAAAGGATCGCAATTCTTTCACTTCTATTGTGTACCTTGTTCTTGACTTTGTCAGTAATAATCTTCTCATGAGATGATCAAGTGATCAGAAATTACCGTCAAGTAATTAGTAAACAGTCACAACAATCTATTAGTATGTTTACTTTTCCATTCTAATCAATGAAAAAGTGCAACAATTAACAAAACTTAGTAAGCTTTTCTTTTGAGTATTTTATCATCAAAAATTTCATTCTTAAAATATACAATTTGTCTTGGTCAATTTGTTTAATTACTGATTTTATTTCCTTTTTAAATTCTATTAGAGATTTTTCGCAATTTTTGATCTGCGATGATTTGGATCAGCAGATTCGATGGTCAATTTGGTTGAGATGTCCGTTCTTGGAGATTAACGGGAGCTACTTGATCGATTGTCGATGGGTTAAGTGGCCTTGCTAATGGATAATCAATTGAAGAGTAATCAATCCACTTGCCATTTCTCGTGTTAGCTTACGATAAATCTCAAAATAACTAGGGCACGATTTAGATAATTGACTTGAAACAATTTCCAAATGAATTTGGTGAATGGAGAGTATAAATTTACGAAAGTAATCATGATAACGAACTGGATCCATTGCATTGCAAATAAATTATCACATCGATGGTGCATTTGGGTTAATTGTCCCAAATGATTACCCCATTTAACTGAATGAAAAGTCATTGCTTCAAGAAAGGACACTGATACCACATCTTGCAATCTCTACAATTAATCATCTTAATCTTCAATTAAACTTCCAATCAATGGCTGTGTTATTAAATAAATCATTTTATGAATATTTAATACCGAAAATTTAACGATAAGTTGAATTTAATCTCATGTATCCATCTTTAAAACAGTCTTCTGGATCTAACAATTGGAGCGGTAATTTAATCTAATCAATTTTCTATTGATCAAATAATCAAAAATATTCTTATTTGCATTTATCTTGATTAAATTAGGACCATATAATCAAGGAAAATATCAATAACAATTAGATTCTCAATCTAACTACATACTATCCTGTTGATTGATTAAACTGGCCACTTGGACGTTTACCCTGTCTTAATTAGTTGAAAAAGTGATGAAATCGAGCAACTCCCTTACCATTACCAAAGTGATTTAACCTTGAATTTTGGCTTGACCACTTCAGGTGTCCAGTTATTATTATTTGGACAGCAGAAAAATTTTGGTTCACTTTCTGAGTTGAAAGTCATTTGATTGTTGTAAATTGGGATCGGAAATCGGAATATCTGCCAATTTTAATGGTATTTCCTGACCAGTGATCTAAATCAACGATGAAAAATTAAAAAATTCACTACCAAAAGTTTCTATTAACCAAAAATGGCTCCACTTACATCGGTCAGTAATGATAAAAAAGTAACAATTTTATGTTTTTCATGATAATTAGTGAGAGAAACTGATTAATTCATTTAGAATTACTTGTTCGTGTCAACAATCAACGATTAAGAACAGATTGTTTTTCTCTTTGATTGATAATTGTTGTTATCATCACAGATTTTTATTCTAAATAATCGTACAACGTTTTTACAGTTCAACTAATTAATTATAATTTTTTAATTTCCCATTCAAATTAAGTGTTAATTTACATAAAAAGTACATATCTCATTTGTTTCGCATGAAAAATTGATTTAAATTTGATAGTTAATAAATTTTTGAAGTAGAAAAGTTGATTTGTCAAAGATTAGGTTGCTCTCGATAACATTGAGATTTGTTTTAAATATTAATAGATTGTTGTACTTTATAAATCAATTTACCTTTGATTAGTAAAGAGGTTTCTCAAGGCAACTAACAATTAAGAAAAGATTAGAGATTTAAAATTGGATTAAGAGAATCAATATTGAAGTATAAAAGTTTCATCGGATTCTATGATTAAGCTCTTTGTTGGTGACTTTCAGTTAATTTTGTCCAGTTTTGGCTTGAGCATAATCAATATGTTAGACTAAGATGATTTCAGTTTTTCGATAACAATTAACTAGAGTTGAACAATAAATGGAGCAGCAAATCCCGTGTGTACACCAGCAAATAGACCCATAACCAGGAAAAACGCTGTTATCATACCGGCGACTCCAGCGTGTTTATCTTCAACAAATTTGGGTGCATACATCATAGCCCAACTTGACCCTTGACCATGGGTGAAACCAAATAGGACAATACCTACGGCGAAAGCAATATCACCAAACAGAACGGGTAAACTTCGAACTCCGGTTAAATAATTACAACAGAAAAAGAATGGGATAAAAATGGTTCGAGCTACAACATAAATCCAAACTCGATGAGGTGATATATTGGTGCTGGGTAGATATTCAGGGAATAGGTTACCAATCATGGCGGAAACGTTGAAAAATAGGAAATTAAATATTTGGCCAAACCATTTACTCTCACTGGTAAACACTTTATCGTATGGATCAACATTACCCGTAATCGAAGGGAAAACAAACAGGGTTACCCAAAATACAAAAAATATATTGAAACACATAACAGAAATTTTCTCAAATATTTGACGATATGGGATCGATTCATCTTGGATTACTTTCTCATTAGTTAAGGCCAATTGTTCCGGTCCTTCACTTTTCTCCATATAGTAACTATAAAATGCCTGAAAAGATGAAGGAAAAATAAGAAAACCAATTTAATCGTCAATCCTGTTGTTAGTGTTTTCTTTTCTCTCTTCTCTTCCTGTCCAACTAATTGAATCTAAATCAATTCACTTACATTCGATTCATGGAAGAAAAGAACAATAAAACAGGCGATCACAATTAACGTAGCAATTGAGAAGTAAATAATTGCTTCTTGTAATGGATTCGGTGAGATAGCATGTGAAACAATTGCCATGATTGAGACTAGAGAACCACAAACATTACTCCCAATAACAACAGCATTAGAATATTTCATCGGTAATCTACCGGCAATTCCGTAGACACAATTTTGATAGATTCCATTGGCAACGTAAAGAACGACAAATATAATTAATTGTAATGCGAACCAAGTTAATTTCCATGAACTGTTATCAACTAAGGCGAAGGTTATATTTAACAATAAGGTCACAATCATAACAATCATAGAGAAAGTTATTCTTCTGGTTAAACCTTTATAACCACCTCTGGAAATTGAGAAAAATAAGAATTAAGAGATTAGAAATGATTTAGAAAATAAATTAACAATTGAAAATTTTACTTTAGAATCAACAATTTACTCACTTTGCCGGGAAATAAATATTCGCAGCAGTAACAAGTAGATTAGGTGTTTGAGAAGATGTTCCAATGATAGAATAGAAATTTTGTCTTATCCATGTTAACTCTGGAAGATCTGAGGTTGAATTGGTTTCCGATTTTAACTTGTAGTTAATGTAAAACTGTAGAAAAGAATATTTAAAAAGAGAAAAGAAGAACAAAATTAAAAGATAGAAAAGATTAGAGGGAAAAAGAACTGGTAAAATTACTATCACATTACATGAGTGATTTATCTCATAGAATTGATGATGGAACAGATTAAATAATTACATTTCCAGAGTTAATGACCATATTCCAAGGGATAAGGATTCCAATTCCATGAAGAATCAAGGCAAGGAAAATAAAATTACCGACATCTTTGATTCTGGAAGCAATATTACTTTCCATTGTAATTTAAAAATAAAATTCTAGAAGCTTTTTGATATGAATAAAATTTGGAGGTTGATGACCAAAAGAGAAGAGCAGAAGAGAGTAACAGACACAAAAGAGAAATTGTTTACTGAAAATAGGATAACACTGATTGTTGTAAAGATGGAGATTATAAAGAAAGAGATGATTACAATAGTTAAGAATATTAATTAACCGGAACAATTAAAACAAATTAAGAAACAATGTATTAAAATTAACTGATTAAAAGAGAACCTCAATAACCAATATGGTTCAACATGGAGAAAGACATTTAATGTAAGGGTAATGATGATGTTTGGGTGATGATGTTTGTCTCGGAAGAAAATGATTGTTAGTTAATTATTAACAAATTGTTGATGAAGATAATGATGATTAGGATGACTCTTGAAAAAAATAGAACACTAATTGAACAATTACCGATAATTGAACAATTAATAAATTACTTCTCATCTACAATCTTGTCTTCATGTAATGAGAGGAAAAGGTTGAAGAGAAAAAAAAATTTTCTCTAATGTTTTATTTGTAAGTCTGCTCCTTTGGCAGTGAAGAGTAGCTTATAAGGCGCTACTCTGAAATATTACAGATATTGTTTCATGGAAATTTAGATTAATAATTAGCTGAAGAGAACAAATAAATTAGAAAAATTAAGGGTAAATTTAGATGATTGAGTGATTGTGGTATAAAAGAATAAAAAGGTGAAGGATTTAAAAGTGTGTGTAAAATATGAAGAAAAAAGAAAAAAAAAAGTAAAAGCTCTGTGGTTAAGGGTTTCATGTAATTCCTGGATTAGTGGTGTGATTCCTTGTTTGATCATTTTTGCTGCGATAACGCTCGTCGATTATTGCTTTTAAGTGTGCTCTTACATATTTGTTGTCGTTGCATATGATATATCTGATTATGTTGTCACTATCGATCATTTTCCTTGTGTCTGCAAAGCGCGAGCAATGAGATATTACATGAATGTAATCGTTAATGAGCGAGCCACAGTTACAGGTCTTGTCATTTAGGAAATCGAGTGAGCCGAGAAAGAGTCTGGTCATAGTGGAGCTTTTTTTCCATTCGGTTTCCTTGAGATTCAGGATCATCTGTCGAGCTATGTTTCCTTTATATTTTTCTCTACCATATTCTAGGAGGATTTTATCGGCTGAGAATTTGGCCATCGAGTTGATACCCCACCAAATCTTTTCATTCGTTATCGACGGGCAACATCTAGGGAAGTTTTTCATGATCCGCAGGCTGATGAATGGGCATGTGTTGTGGTTCATTAAGATGAATCTGGTAGTAATCTCGATCATTCGGCTTATGGTTGATCTGTAGTTACACATCTTGTAGTTGATGAGCCAAGAATCTCTGTTCTTAATGTTTAATTTTTTCCTCATCATTTTCCCGGTATATCTCTCAATCGTCTTGAGTATTTGACTCTTGGGAGTATAGCAGCTCAGTATTAGCGGTGATAAGGGTAAGAATATGGACTCAATGAGAGAGGTGGTGATGGTGAAAATGATGCTTGCTGGTAAATGACGGATGAGTCCAGTTGGTAGATTTGTAAGTTCTTGACGAGCCGCTATTTTCTCGATCAGAGAGGATCTGTCAACTGTGAGCTTGTGACCTGGTTGAGCGATTCTGCAGGGTAATCCAAGTAAACTGTCTTTTTCTGTCCATTTGATTGTTTCTTTATATGGCAAATTATCTCTAATCTCTTTTGAGGTAATTAGTTTACTCTTCGTGATGGAGGTTGATAATCCAAGGGGTAATAAGCAATCGTTTAACAGCTGAATAATGGCATTGTAGAGGTTGGATGAGGGGTCAGTAAGTGATCTCTTGTTGATATCCATGGAGATAAATATATCATCGGCATAAATCAGTAGCTCATGTCGACGTCCCTGGAGGTGAATGTTGTTCAGGCAGCGTAGATGATCATCATAGAAGCTGTGCATCGTTCTGTCAATTGCCATTATAAAGAGTAGAGGCCCAAGCGCTGATCCCTGAGGAACGCCCTTGGTTGCACCTTTGATAAGGATCTGGTTGCCACTAATCATAGCTGTATTCCGAAAGGAGAGGAAGGAAGCAAGGAGTTCTCTGGTTTCCTCACTATTGTCAATCCTCGCGACTGCTTCCATGATTGGTTTGTGTTCAATCTCATCAAATGCACCAATGATGTCTGATTGAATAATGAAGCTTGGTGTGTTTTTAGACATTTGATGGTCAAGCAGTTTGGCTAGCAATGAGGTGCAACTTTTTTCTTTGAGATAAGCATGCTGATGTGTGAACATTGATCTCGGAATTTTCGGTAGGATGTATTGTAGTAGCTGTTGTTCAATGAGTTTCAGGTGATTGGTCGCAACTTGGATGGATCTGACTCTGATGAGATCAGCTTTGGGGATGGGTACGGACCGCGTTATTTTCCAAGACCAGGGAATATGCTTGTTGCTAATGATTAGGCCGAGGATGATTTCATAGAAGCGGAGGTGCTTCTCAATCAACCTGGTGAGTATCTGTTTGGTGATGAAGTCGAGGCCAGGTGATGATTGGTTGAGGTTCTTGAGAAGTCCCAGGACGTCAATTTCAGCAGGGGAAATGAGAACTCGATCATCTTTAGTGGAGGGTAGAAGCTCATCGAGGGGTATGGTGTTGAAACTCTGTGCGAATTGAATGAGGTTGTTCTCGTAGAGTTGATTGGTTTCGGTCCGACTTTCAAGCAGCGATTTGATGTTTTTCCACTTTGTCTTCTCGTCTCCATTGGAAAATTTATCTTTGATGTTGTCATTGATCTGCCGCTTGACATTTTCCTTAGCTGTGTTTAGTCTCCTGCGATTCTCATCAGTCGGAAATTTTTTGAAAATGTTCTTTATCCTTGTCACCTCTGAGGTATCAATTTGTTCAGTTCGGATCGCACGATTGGGATCAACTAAGATGGTTGATTGCTTGACCGCGTTGATTTGTTTGATGAACCATTCGTGAACATATTCATCGAATTGATTGACTGACCTGAGGGTTGTGGGATCGGGAAGACTTTGGATTATAAGGTCATTTTCATTTTCAATTTTCTTGAAGTCAATCTTTTCAATTCTATTCGATTTGATGATTTGACCGAAGAAGGATATTGTGATACTTATTGCCCGATGATCAGTGTTTACGTGATCATGTTCAACGATGTTGGAGGTATTGCTGTGATGGAGGTGCACATTGGACGCAACAAGATCGATCCACGATGTCGAGCCTGAGTGGTGAACAAAGGAGTAGTTGTGTTGGTTTGGTGGGTTTGGGAGTAGACCAATCTCGTTCAACATATCATTGACAAGTTCACCTCTGGCCACATGTGATTGTGGTATAGTGAGCGACCACGACCTGTGGCTCGCATTGACATCCGCTTCGTAGATGATGATTGATGATTTGAATCCTGATAATGAGGTGTTCAGCTTGTCAACTTCAATTTTTAGTTGAGAGAGGGACATGCTCGGTGAGAAATATGAAGTGGCTAAAGTAATTTTTTTCCCTCCAATTTTAACTCTCGAGATGAGCGAACATTTGCCGATCCTGAGGGTGGTTACAGTGTCGGTCTTTCGAGTGATAATGATCACTCTATCGTTTATGTTGAGGGTGATGTTTCTTGTGTCCAGTGAACTAATGAATCGTTCATTAGGTTCTTGGATGATGACTGCCAGTTTACGAGTTAGTTCTTGTACAATTGCCTGTGTTTTTATTACATTTGATTGGCAGTTGTGAGCTTTGATTTTAATCTGCATAATGCCAATCGGTGATGGATTTTATTACGTTGATGGCATTGGTGTGGCTGGTGCAGTCGGGACCTTTCGGTGCGTGATCAATGCTGGCAATTCCACTGTTTTTGCAGAAAAGGCATCCAAGTCGTTGAGGTTCTTTATCACATGATGGGCTTTCATGGGTGTTGGACCCTTCAGGGCATTTGTTGCAGATAGGATCGTTGGTACAGTGCAAGGCAGAGTGTCCATAGCGGAAACATCTCGAACAGCTTCTGACATGTAAGTCGTCTTTGTACTGTGATGATTGGGCACCCATGTAGACAAAGGACTTGGAGTCGATGATCTTTCTAGCACCATTACAGAGACGAAGCACTAGCTTGGTTTTTTCTAGTCCATGTCTCGTCTTGATCTTGAAGGAGGTGATATGTTTGACACTTAATTCTTCAGGTATGTCGTTTCTTTTTTTAAACATTTCAACATCTTCTACTTGTTCATTCTCAACAATAAAACTGATCTGGGGTTCAAGCTTCTTGAGAGGACAAACTTCAACATCTTCATCTCGATTTATCATCTTAACCTTGTCTTTTATCTTGTTGATGATGTTTTTATCGTCGGACATTATTCTTATGTTTCTGGAATTTGAATGGGTGTTTATGATTCGACAAGATGGATCACCTTTCGTGGCAGTTGAAATTTCATCATGTACTTTGCGAATGTTAACTTCAGGGTTCTTGGGTTTAACTATTATGGTGTTGATGACTGGTTTTTTCTTAACTACCTCTGCGAAGCTTGGTCTCTGCTGATTGTCCATTTGTCTTTCAATACTGGTTAACTTTTCCATCACTGGCTTGATGAGTTCATCCATCGAGTTGGAGTGCGGTGTTGTACTCTGAAGCGAGTCCACCATTCTGGTGATGTTGTCCAGTTGTGAGATCCATTTGCTTTGATTCTTCTTCTTAGCAACTTGGACTGCATTGTCCATCAGCGAGGAAAAAAGATCATTGATACACTGTTTCAAGCTGGTCGGCATGTCAATGTTGACATTGGATGGAGAGCACGTGTTTTGTTGACAGCCATTCTGTTGACGGTTGTTACTTGGTTGATTTTCAGTCATTTTAAACGGTTTAGGTATCAAAATGTGCCGAAGGCTTAGTCCTTCGAGATTTTGATAAAATTGAGCACTAATCAGGAAATTGAACAATTAAATTTTGATTAATTAGGGAAAGACTAATTGTAGAGAAGAAATCTAATGTGAAATTCGTATACAAGTGGCGCCATCTCTTCATTTTCTTTTCTTTTCTTAATTGTTGATTGATTAATTTTAATTCTTTCTTTCCATTTTAATCTGATTGTTTTCCAATTAATTATTGTCTTTCAATTTATTCTTGTTAATTACTCTTTTTCTAATTGATTGAGCTTTTCTTCTTGAAAGATTAATACATGTGATCTCGAAGTAGATATAAACCTAATATCTCATTTACAATCTTTCTAATTAATTTTTCTTATTACTTTGTCTTAATTGTTTTTACTTCACAATTGGAATCATATTTCATGTTTATCTATTTTTTGTTTACAATTAATTGATTGATTTACACCACAGAAAAAGGATTTAATTACCTTGTAGTAATTAAAGAAGAGGGAGAGAGAAAATTAAATCAATGTTTACAATTTATGTTGATTGACATTTCTTTGTGTTTTTATGATAACTGGATTCTCGTTTATTGTTATCAAATTGAACAATTAAAGGTTAGTCATTATTCAAGTTTAATATGTGTAATTAACTTTAATCTATCGTTAATTGATTATCTCTGTAAATGTACATTTATTTATATTATGTTACAATTAGAAAACAAAAAGTGATCATTTTATTATTTCATCCAAAAGGATTATATCATTTACCATGTGATTGCTACTGAATTTGGTTAATTGTTGTTATATTTATTTCCATAATTAAGGCGAATATGATTTAATTGTGTTACATGAGATGGTTGATCATCTTTTATCGATTGATTTGGTTCGTAATGCGAATTCTAATCTCCTCATGGCTCGTTGAACTTTGAAATTTCCGACGAATCGCTCCTGATTCTGAGACGTTATTTGATTGGTCTATTGTTTTACTCCTTAACAATTCAAATCGAGATGAAGTTTTACCGGAAGAATCAGATTTCGAATGATTTGAGAGGCTATTAATCGAATCGTTGAGTGATCCTTGTTTCGTTGATGAAGATGATGCGGTTATCATGTTTGACGATTGAATAGATTTACCTACAATTGGTTTCGGTGTAATTACTTTGGGTAGTTCGTGATTAAATAGACACACGGATATGGTTCGAGCGTTAAGGCCACAAATGGCTAGAATATTATCTAGCGGATGAAATTCAACACAAGATATTGGTCCTTTGAAAGGTAATTCGTTGTAAGTAAATAGTTTTTCACCTTTTGAAAGTTCAACGGAGATTCAGAATTGGAAAGAAACAAAATTAAATCAAAATTGATGAAAATGAATTGATCGAAAATCTTTTAAACTGTTAACGTTAAATCATCAACGGTTCTCAACAAGAATCAGTTTAATTTAGATGATTAATTGTGAATTATTCTCGTTATAATTTGATTGTCTGATTCTCATTGATTACTAATTGATTTGATTAACGATAATTACCTGTATCTGCATTCCAACAATGGACTAAACTGTCCTCACCGCCCGCGAATACAAATCGACCGCAAGGACTAAGGCAACCACGAATTAAATGGTGAAAATTTAAGGAGCCTGTGAATCGTTGAACAATTAACTCTCTACAATTAAAAGGTAGAAAAGACAATTAAAAGATTAAGATGATTAATTACCCTATAGGAAGATTAAAATTCAATCATTGAGTAATTAACTTAATCCGTCAACACGAACAGTTTGTTATAAGGATAAACTCCTTTTTCCTAATAAATTAAGTTAATCAAATTAAATTTTAATGTTAATTTTTAATCAACTAAATTTTTGACAGTTTCCAATTAAATCAAAGTAGAGATAGAAAATTTAATCTAATTGTGAATATTATCTTCTCATCACTTAATTGTAAACCTTATTTACGATCTGACTTTTCAATCAATTCTTATGATACTTTCAATATAAATATTTTCATCTTTTCATATGATCTTGTTTAATTTAATCTCATCAGTGATTGAATATGAAACAATTTAACCCAATTAAGTGAAAGAGATACTTGATTAACTTATTCTAATAACAATTAGATGATCATCAATCGTACTTATTAGATGATAATTGAATCAATCACCTTAGGTCTTTGCTCATCTTTTAATTATCAATGAAAACAATCCCAATGGATTTAAATAAGTAATCATCAATTTAACCTTCTCATCATGATAATCATCATCATCTCCTCTTACAACTGAATTAATTGTATCAACTTGTTCATTGAAATTAACTCAAACTACCATCAGCATAATCGTCAACTATCAACACCACTTAAGAGTTAATTGTTATTCACTTTTTTTTGTTAACACTCACTCAATATGAGGAACCCAATCAAAGTTAATTCACTTAAATATATCACAATTAGGAGATTGAGTTTATTTTATATAATACATTCAATCTAAATTGACCAACAATCAGCAATTAAATCAATTGTTTCCATTGGAAATATAAACAATCAAGAAAAAAACGCCATCTCTACATAATCTCATGTGTTAATTGTTTGGAGACAATTAGGATTATGATTAAATTGATAAACTCTATTACTTTGATTTCTTTCATCTTCAATCTAATTACTGTTAGAATTGAATTTCTAATTGATATCGACATTGGTGTTAATTTGATCTGTTATTATATCTTAAGTGCTCCAAGTCTTTGTCTCTACTTCATCATTGATTTAATTGTTGACACTTGCTGTTAATCATTGTGATTATGTAAACATAAATTACCAATTAATTGTAAGAATTTCAAATTATGCTGATTACATTGATTTCTAAATTGTGGTCTATGGTTGTTCAATAATATCAAGAGAGTTTCTTTCTCTCTCTCTAATTATGGTGATACTTTTTTTCTCGTAATTTTTTCAACGATTATCCTTAATTACTTACAGTTGATAATCAATCATTCGTTGGACTCCATCTCTGCAACAGATTAAGATCTTATTGGATTGAGGATGAACAACAATATTATTAACTGGAACCTCGATTATCTCGTTGATCTTAATTGATCCACTAAGGTACCAAGTGAAATCGGAAGTTACATCTCGCTGGGAAAGTGTGACGATCTCACCTTTACTGCCGGAGGCAAAAAGAGTGACAATTGGAATTGAATGAACAATATTGGAATTGGATGATGACGATGATGATGGAGGCGGTGGGGGTGGAATAATTTTCCACGCTAAAGATAAAACTTGACCATAGAAACAATCGATCTCCTGGACAAGTTGAGGTTCGACTGCAGTTGATTCGAGGCTTAATTTGATACACCAAATCCTAATGAGACCATCATAAGAGCCCGTGAAAACAATTCCCGACCTGGTTACATGAAATCGAGCCGTGTAAACGAAACAAGGATGTGGTAGTAAGATTGATGATTGATATTCTTTAACATTATTCCAAACGTGAGCAGTACAATCGGACGAAGCGGAAACGAGATATTTATCATTCGGAGACCAATCGATCTCATAGATCGCACCAGAATGAAAACCATTGACTCTCTTCATGAATCTACCTGATGGAATCTCATAGATAAATATTGATGATCTTTTCTCGTTTGAACGATAAGCGGTGAAAACTGATGCACCACAGGCCACTTTCCGTCCATCCCAAGAGAACTTAATTGCATATGAACACTTATTATTCCCGGCGGAAAATTGATGCCAAAGGTTTTTCGGTATCTTACAAGGAGCTCCTTCCAGCCGATTCCAAATAACAATCGGCTGATTTGGATCATGAACGATTTCCTTATTATTATGACCTGGAGATGATGATGATGTTCCAAGACGCAATTCCAGTGCAGAGTCTAGTGACTTATTGACGGCATTTGTTTGTTGGCCACTTGCCCCTGGTGGATTTGAGGTTGTCGATGGTGACCTTTCAATGGTCGAATTGCTGATTGCCGATGAAGGCCGACGAGGAAGACCTTGATTAAAGTGATGATGATGGTGGTGGTCATTGTGGGGAAAGTGTCCATTTGTTTGGTTAACATAATTTTGTTGATAGTTTGGGACTGAATTCGTTTCCGGTTGGAATGGTCCATATGAACGGAATGATGGACAAAATGTTTCTCGACTAACAATCAAGGGAATCGGACTAACGGTCACATAAATTGATCCAGGGAATGTAATTAATTTCTGATTCTTCCACCATTCAAATAACTATTACAAGAAAATAAAACAATAACAATTAAGGAGTAAATCAGAGTTATCATGATATTATATTGATTGAATCTTTCCTCCCATCGACATAATTAACTAATACAATTTGCGAGGTGATTCTAATTGTTTCCACTCAATTTAATTTGGTCTTGTTCATTTCTATCAATAGATTTTCCCTTCATCTTTTTATTATTATATTAGATTACTATCAACTAATTAACTATTTCAAAGATATTAGTTGATTGTTCTTAAATTTCGTGTTGTTCAACAATCAATTACTTTGATCACAATTTAAAATCAATCATCAAACTTTGTTTGCTATTAAATTGATGATGATTCCGTTTCCAAATAACAATTTAATGATTGTCCTAACACCTAAGTATATACACTTAATGGATCAGGTTAATTACAACCAGCTAAAGGTAAAAAAACCCTAATGGCTTGAACAATTAGTTGATTGTATGAAAAAATAACAAGAAACACTATTGTTTACAATAAGTGATTAATGATCACAATTAATGTTTACATTTGGCACCCAAACAATAGGAAAATAATAATAATAATATTTAATGACTTGTAATTAACAGGAACCAATGAACAATTAACTTCACCAGAGGTAAAAGTACAGTAATCAACTAATCATTTGGGCAATAATTAAGGATAGAAAACAATTGAGCTTAATCAATAACAAGAAGTAATAACTTTCACTTTAATCATATTTAATTCCTGACGATTAATCATTTCTATTAATTTTTAATCGTCCAACTTTTTACATGCAACAACAAGTAATGAGACTAATCCGTTGGTTGAATAATGTCACAATTAATGGACAATCAGTTAATTACCTCTGTTGTGTGGGGATTCTTGGGGTCAATCGTTACTTTCTGTGATATCGGTTTGTACAATTGTAATCGGAGCTTTCGTCCAGTATTAAATGACCCATCGGAGGATTTTAACGACAGAAATGCCCAAGCGATTCTGTACCACCATTCAGTCCGTTTCATTGAGTTGTACCGTTTATCCGATGGACCAGAAAACGTTAGAAAATCAAGAATCTGAAACAATTAATTTAATAGTAATTAATTTTCTCATGGAGAATATGAAACAGGATAAACTTGATCATTATCCAATTTAAATCATCACCTTTTTCTGGTGGAAAATGTAAACAATCAAGATGATTATTATTATCTCATTGATTATCGATGTTATCGATTTAATCTTTTGATTATATTTTAACCTTTTCCTTGTATATCAAAGGTTAATGTCTGATGTTATCCATCACAATTAAGAGGTAATCATGTAACATTTTACTACATCAATGAAAATAGATCTTGTAACAATTAACCCGACAATTAATCATCTAAGTTTATTAAAGGGCAGGCAAACGTATCAATCATTTGATGATGATCAGTTATACAATCTAATATTTAATCAATATAATTTCATTGAAATGACATCAATTTTTTTTTACAATTACAATTAGAGTTTATTGATCAACATCAATTGATCACATGTTTAGTTGATTGTAGCTTTTGATTTAATGATATTAATACTTAATTATGATGATATATCAAAAACGTGACTGATTTACAAGTTTTTAAAGTTAATCCTTTTTATTCAAGTGGAATTGGAATCATGATAATCAGCTGAATCAATTAATTCAAGTGTAAATTAAATCAATACCATTGGAGTTGATTATGTTAACAGTTAAGTTAATCAGCTTATCAGAATTAAAATGTTACCTTATTTGGTTAAGTTTGATGAAGATGATGAAGAAAAAAAAATGGTTAATTCAACTGGATTAACTTTCACCTTCAATTCAATTTCATGACAACAATCAATAAATTGCTATGAATCAATAAATTGTTCAATTGTATTTACTCAATGATAATGAATGGTGTTCATGTTTCCACATCATTGACCTAAATAATTTATTGGTAATAATTTTTTTCTACCTGGAAAAATTTTCTCCTCAAATTCAATGGACAATTTAACGATTAAGGTAACGATGGTGATCATTTAATTGTGAACAATTTAAATTAACCCAAGAAATTTTAACTCTGTACTAAGGTAACTTACGAGTATGTAATAAACTCAATCACTTGGATCAACTAATTGTGATTTTATTTTCGGTACTAAATCATAAATCAATGATTATATTAGCTGATCATTGTGATTATAAGTAATTTTGAGGTGTAAAGTTGATTAATTAACAATATATTATTGCCGGTTAATCAACACTCAATGGTGAAATTTGATTCAAACCATTTAATGGATTAATAAATTATCTAAAGTGAATTAATTTTGACCAAATTTTATAACATAATTGTTATTGATAACAATCAATTTCGCTTTCACCTGATATCATGAAAAATGAACTTTTATCATGATGAATTGTGGATATAAAAAAAGGAATCAAATTGAATTAGAAATTAATGGTTCTCATGATCACAATGAATCTAATTGTATATAAATAATATTGTTTAGATCATCAACTTTGTGTATCTTTTCATGAGATTTGATTTGATTATCGTTAATTGAATCAACTATGGAAGGACAATTTTCATGATTGATTATCTTATTGGACTTGGGTTGAGATCGTTGGACAATTAAAGAGACTCAATATTAAATTGTTACAAAAGAATCAAAAAAGCTTCAATTATTTATGTCTCAATATAATTAAATGATTGTAATCATAATCTCAACAATTAATTTAGTTTTGAATTTCAATTGAATGGTTTGATTCAGATGATGGATTAATTTATAATTAGATTTGATTATTTTGTCTCTCAAGTGATAATATATCTTGAAAAAAAAACTAATTAAATTTCAATTTGAATCTCACACTGATTTAATTTTACGTCTCTGATGATTAGATTTAATTGTTTACTTTAATTTCTGATGCCTACGGGTGAGTTACGAGAGTTAATTAATTAATTAACCTCTTAACTTTGAGTAATTTATCCTTGAAATAATGATTATAATTAGATTTTGAAAGTAATCATCAGAATCATTAAATTGTTAGTTGATTGTTATTCAAGTCATGTAATCAAATCCGATTCCAATGTAATCCAATCAAATCAAATCAAATCTATAAAATTGATTATAATCAATAAGTTTCAACAAAAACCACAAGAAATCAATATAACTGTAAACATACACACCAGCAATTACTTGATTACTCGAGTTAATTCAGTTTCTATCAAGTAGTAATTCACCCAAACACACAATCAGGACAATCAATTGATTAAAATTAGTGGCCAACTGTATTAATACAAGTATGAAAAACTTAAAATCTCAAAACTTATTGAATAAAAATGGGAAGAAAAAAAATCGATCGGTGAAAATAAAGTGGACATTCAATTGAATTTCAATTGAAAAGTTGAAAAGATTAACTTGATCATGATGATGATAATGATCGTCATCATCATGATCAACTGAACTTACACACAATCAGATTTTAAAGCATTCTTATTGAAGGCTGAATTGCTCTGAGTCTCTGAACTTTTTTTTATTCATTGTTAGAAATTCATTCTGATGAAAAAAAAATTTCCTGTTCTTATCATGAAAAGTAAGTAGGTAATTCAATTCCTAATAATAAATTTAACTTGAAAAATTGAAAGGAAAGAGAAATTCTCATGAAATTTCACCATGAATTATATTGAACACACAAACAGGGAGGATAAAGATGAGGATGATCATCATGAAAATTAATACATGTAAATAAAAGTATTCATGTTTGATTCTTATGTTTCATGTAAGGTGAAAGTGTATGACAATGACAAGATGATCATGATGATAAATTCATGGGATTCAGGTGATTCTGGGGATGAAAATTGATTCCCATGTTAAGTATTCAATGGCAATGATAAGATGTAATCATTTACACATAAAGGTAACTATCATCATCTCAAGTGACCTGAAGGTTATTTTATTAGCTTAATCATTGTCATCCTTTTATTATCATCAACTTGATTATCATATTGTCATGATGATGATGATGATTAATATTATCCAGTTTATTGTTTATCAACTGAATCAACATTGATTATGACAGTTATAAATATCGTTGATTGTTGTAGGAGTTGCAATTTATTCAATGGTCTTCCTGATAATCAATCTCAACATTTCACTTTTTTTCTCAATCTATTAATAATTCAGTTATAATCTTTTAATTGTTCATCATGACAATTGATGGTTGAATATGTGAAGTGTGATGAAAGATTGTTGAAATTAATTCACTAATCATTGGACAATATTTAAATTGCCATAGAGGAAAATGATCTAATCAACATGATATCAGCTCGATTTCTGGGAAACATTCATCATATTCTGGAATCACAATCAACTGATTGTGAGTAAAAACAATGATAGTCAACAATTTAATCCCAATGGTAAACAAAGAGTCTGTCAAAGGATTTAAGATTGATTAAGATTGATGTGATTAACCAGTTAACTAAAATATCAGAGGAAGATAATTAAAAATGACAACACTGTTTAGAGTTGATTGTCAATCAACAACAATTCAAATCAATGAGATTATTTAAAGAAAACAAATCATCATTTACCTTTAGATCTTGAATATTAGTAAAAAAAAAGAGGTTAATCTTTACACCTTCAGGTGAATGATGATAAAGATGAAGATGAGGATGAGGATGATAATGAAGAGTAAAAAAAACATTTACCTGTGATAAAATTTACTGTCAATTACAATTTGTTCAGGTAAGAAAAATTTTCCAGGTAAAGAAATGTTTTCATTCACATAGACTTAAAGTGTAATTGCAATTTTCTGTCTTCTCATCATTTCTTTACCTTTCACTTTCATTAATCCCTTTTTATCATCAACATCATCCTCAACTCACCTGGATCCCTGATCATCATCATCATCATCATCGTCTATCCTATCATCCTTTTCATCATCTTCATTCACTCCCAGTTCATCTGAATAACAAGAAACCATGTTAACATGTTCATCCAAGCAACAATAACAAACAGATACACCTTTTGACATGATAATGATGAAGATTATAGTAAATGATATAATTTTTTCATTCTCTAAATTATTAGTAAGGAAAAAAAATTCTTAGAACTTTTCGAATAATACTTTTGCTACTTCGACATTAAAATTTCTCATGATAAAAGAGAATTTTCTTCTCTAACTGTAAACTCATCATTCTCATCATTCTTATCATCATTATCATCTTCATCTTCATCCGATCCTTTGAACTTTACAACTGAGAAAAAGGTGAAAGTTATCAACTTGTCAACATGAAACTTATTATGTTACCTTTTTGTTCAATTTTAATTGTAATCTTTTGATTCTCTCTCCTAATTAATGATTAACTAAATTAAGTTGATCAGCTTTGCTAATTGGACAATAGATTCAATTAGCAATTAACAATCAATGGTCATAATACTATTTTATATCATCATTGAATTAGTTTCTCATTTGTTTTTCAAGGCTAATTGTTGATCATTTTTTAGTGTATTCATTTTGTTTTAATCTTATAATTATTGTACTTTGATTAATTATAACAATTAAAGTTGATTGGTCTTTTCAATCACTGGTTAACAATAAACGGAAGTCATCAGTTAATGATTAGTTAATTAATGTTACTATTATTATAGTTGATCACTTAAAATTGGTAAGATCAACTTATTCAAATGTAAGAAAACTAATTAACCTAAATAATTAGATTAACAATTTAGCTAATCAAGTGTAAAAATTGTTTTTTTTTCAAGAGTATAAGTAATTATTATGGAAAACAAATTTAGCTTAATGATATTATCGTTTAATTGCTGGAAAACAATCAACAATTTAGTCTGACGATTATTTTGGAAATTAAATTCACCTTATAAACTTTGACATTTCCATATTATTTTATTATTTATTTTCTCGACAATTTACTAATTGTTGATCAGTTTAGTCAACAATCAATTGATAATCAAAAGAGTGGGAAGTTGGAGATTTGATTAGAAATCAAATTAAATCTCAAGAGAAAAGCTAAAGAATAGCAGTTTGGATAAATGAAATTTTTTCCTTCTTTTTGTGTTAATTAAAATTTCCACAATTAATTTGGATTAAGTGGATTTAAATTGTTCGAATGTTAATTCTTACCTCAAAAAAGATGATCACATTATCCGAAAGAAAGTGAGAATAATCTTCATTATAAAGTAACAATTCTTCCCAAATTGGATAACGTGGATATCGTATTCTGGTCAACATGTCACAGTTTTGGGTCATAACCGGAAGGATAAAGTTATTTTTCGAGTTTCCGGTTTCATAGTAAAAGGCCACATCTCTATCAGAGTGTTTCTTAATAAGATAAGATGAAGTCTCTGTGTCGATTATGTGAATTTTAACAACCGGATGAACAACTGATTTAGCTGATTTCAATTTACGATCAGTATTGTGAACATGAATTCCCAGGATGTAAGGTTCAGGTTCAGAGGTTGATCCATTTACTAAACTACCGGTGGGATAGTTTCCACTGGATGGATGGATATTGTTTCCGTTTCCACCTCTTTCACCTGAATCACCTTTAGACAGCGAGGGTCCAAGTAGTGAACTAGGAGGTGAAGTGGCCAAAGATGATCCACAAAGGGAGGCACTTGATAAACTTTTATTGGCGATCGAGGCATGATGATGATTAAGATGATGACCAAGGTGAGTTGAGGGAATCATTGGATCACCGATCAGGCCAGTTGGCCGTTCGGAGAGACGACGAATATTCCTGGTCTCTTGGTCACCAGTGTCTTCACTTCGAGACTTTCGAAGATATTGAAGCTTTAAAAGGGCCAAAGTTCGAGTCAAGTATCTTGTTCTACTTCGACCTTCACCCCCTACACTTCCGATCGAATGACCTTCAGGTCCATTTATATTTCCACCACTTTCTTGGCTAACATTTAGTTCATCATTTGTCTCAACTGAATTAGCACCAATGTTACTATTTTCATTTGATTCCATTTTATTTGTTTCAACTAAATGATTTCTAATTTTCTCACTATTAGTTTGATTAATTGTTACCAAATTGTCACTATTAACTGGTGAACCACTTGATTGCTCGTAATCAGAATCAATAAATTCAATGGTTGAATCATCAAATGGATTATCGGGTGATGATAATGTTACTGATACTTGAGGCACTGGACGAAAGGTTGATCTAATTGTTGAAGAATCGTTAATTGTTGATGATGAGGGAAGTGGATTAAGATTATCCACATGAGATGATGACGATGCTGATGGTTGATTAGGACTTGTATCCATAAGAGCATTTGGTTGGCGAAATAATCGAGGTTTTCGTGATTTAATTGTTCCAGTTGATTGTAATCTTAATCCAATTGAATTATCAACATTTTCATTGCCAGTCAATGATTTATCATCATTTCTTATTGTTGTGATTGCTGATGAAGTTGAAGATGAAGATGATGATCTTGATGATGATGAGGAAAAGGATGAATGAACTGATGTAGATAATAAAGTTGATGGTTTCTTAATTGTTGGTGGAAAAGATTCAGTTAATAAAAGATTTTCATCTGATTCCATTGACACTTTCATATAATCAACTGTTTCACGATTTACCTTTTTTCTGGTCAATTTTTGATTACTTTTACCTGTCGACATAATCACAAACTAATAACAATAATAATTAATTGATCAATTTAACAACAATAATAATAGTTTAGCCTTAAATCAATGAAAAAGAAAAGTAATATTAATCAATCAATCAATGATGGAGATGATGAAAACAAAAACATTGTGATGTTTAATGATAACTATTATTTTCAATTGCGAATCAAATTGTTGTTGTTGATTGTTGTTTAATCACAATTACCTTGGAAACAGGAATTGAATGTTATCTAGTTGATCACTGGGAGTTAAATGGGAAAAACTAGTAGCTGGGAAGATAAAGAAAGAGAATAAAGAAAGAGAGAAATGATGATGATGATGATGAAAAACGCGAGATTCTTTTTTCTTCTGGTTTCATCTTCCTCTTTCATCTTCCTCATCTTCCCAAGGTATATATGTACATTCACTTTCAGGCATGTCAATAATATCGTATATTCCTCAGGATGATAACATGATGATAACAGAGAGAGAGAGAGAGAGAGATTTTATTCTCTTTCTGTTTTTTCATCTTTTCATCTTCATCTTCATAGTTACCGTTAGTTTCTCATGATTGAAATAAATTTCCAACCTTATTTAGTATTGATTAAGATTCTATTTCTTAATCAGTTACTATTAATAAAGATAAATTAACATTAAACCTAATCAACAATTAGTTGATTGATTTGATTTGCCTAATCAATTGATTGTTGTAAACAATTTAAAGCTTAAATTGTAATAGTTAAGAAAATTGCTCTTGCATTTTATTAATGGAAACCAAAATTTTTTATTCTCTCCCTTGATTATATTACTCGATCTGCATTTAATCAATCATTTTCATCTTGATTATTATTAATTTAGCTTTAGTTTATTATTTAGATTATTTTTTATGATTTACGGTTAATTGTGATTAATTGTTTATCTTTTTTTCGTATCTCCTCAACGGAAACAGGAAGATCAATACTATTGATCATCATTTCGAGTTCTTAATCAAATTTTCATTTAATTTTCTTGGTGACTTACTAATCATTTCATTCTCATTACAATCAGTTGATTATAATTCTTCATCAATTGTTATGCTAATTGTGATTTGTTATTCACTTTTTTATCCCTACAACTTGTATTATGTTAATTTGAGGTAAATTTTTCATCTGCAATTAGTTGTTGATCAAGTTAATTTAGTTCTTCCAGCAAACTAATTTGGAGGATTTTTTTGCTCTCCCTTACATATTAACAGGATCATTTGGATCCGTTTAGTAATTAACTTGATTGTTTCAATAATTTACTTATTTTAGTCTCATTGTTAGTTATTTAATTAGCTAAATTAGTTTAATGATTAAGATGATGAACCAAAATGATTATGTAATTTCTTTGGAAAAAGAAATTGATTGTTTTTCTTGATCATTTCCTTAATTGTGCAATAACAATTTAGATCAACAATTTATATTAAATTAATTGTTTTTCTTTTTTTTTCTCATGATCAGCTATCATCAAATGTCATTGTTTTTGTTACTACTATTGATCAACAATTTAGTTGTGACTTTTTTTTTGCAAACAATCAATTGATTGTTGTGAATATGGAAAAGTTAGTTAATGAAGTTTAAAATAATCTAATTAATGTATTACCGAAGATCAAATTTTAATCAATTTTTAGACAATTTTATGTGTTAATAAACTTTTCTGATTGTGAGTTTAGAGTTTGATCAATTTAGTAAATTGTCACATGTTGTTATCTTCATGTTTAAACAACCAATAACTAAATCAATTGTAACATAATATTGATTGGTTGATTGTTATGAATAACAATCGATATATTGATTTTAAAGTCTTCACATTTTTTAATGAGTTGAAAAAATGTATTTGCATAAATTGTTTTTCTTGAAAATTTTCATCAAATTTAATCCAATTTAAATGATTTCAACTACATTTTTCATGTTTACCAATGACAATTTAAGGAATGAAGATCAATAGAGAGAGAGAGAGAGAGAGAGAGAGAGATTTGTCTAAATCTTTTCGAAATTTTTGAATAGTTTGAATCGAGAGCGTAAATGAAGAGACGAAACTATCGGGGAAATGAAATGTTTGGAATACCAGTTTTTTCCCTACTCAGCTAGCGACATCTTTTACCAAGAATAGAAAACAAACTCACCAATGTGATTAGAATTTTGTGTCTCCATCTAGCGGAGGAAGAGAAAAATAAGTTTATTGTTTTTTTTCTGTTTCATTTTTCTCACATTTACAATCTCATTTTTCAGCTTATGACCTCCTGATAATTGTTACTGGTTTAATCTTGGATTAATTGGATTAATTGTAATTTTGTTTCTTTTTTTCGTGTTGAAAGCTAATTGTTAATTGTTGGGCTTCCTCTTGTGCTTTGTATTTTCTATTCTCAAATCACTAAGTTGCTTTTTTTTCCTCTAATTTGATAATTCTTGCTTATTCTCTTCATCTTTTTTTCTCTCTTTCTCCCTTTGATTCTTCCTCTTTTTCTTTACTGACTTGCTGTTGGTCTCTTTCTCTCTCCTCTGTCTGTCTCTTTATTTTTCTGTCTTCATCTTTCCATACATACAAAAAAGAATTTTTTTTTCTGTTCTTTTCATCTTGTCTGCCTGAAACCCGGAATTGAATTGAATTGATTTAAGAATGGCAGTGGCCAGTGGTAAAGAGGAAGACAATGTTTATTTCGAGGATGATGAAGAGGAAGAGGAGTATGACGATGATGAGGTTGAAGACGGCGAAGACGATGAGGACGATGAATCTTGTTCAGATCTGGTATGTATTATTTAATTTCTCATATGTTTTTCTTTAAAGTCTCTTATTTTTCATGGCCTTTTCTCATTAATTCTTCCATCTTTTCTTTCATTTTTCCTTCTTCCCTTTCTCCCCTCACATTTTCTCATCTCATTTTTGTTTTCTATTACAACAACAACAACCAAATAATTCTGTCTGCTTCTGAAATATTTGTATATTCTTGTGTGTATATATATAAAATATTATATATATTATAGAGTTCAACAACCTCAACATCAACCAACAATCAAAGGGTGGATGGAGGAAGAGTCTGTGATTGCTGCTATTGTGAGGTATTTGGACATGGTTTACCAGCAGTCGCACCTACATCAAGAAATTTCAATGAGATGAGAGAGCGACTTAGAGTTCGCCTTAGCCAAAGGAAAGCGGAGAAAGGAAAGTGTGAAAATAACCGGTTAAAATCCAATGGAACCATAGGTTCTGATAACAGACGGAATGAGGGATTCAGGAAACCGGATGATAGAGCATTGGAAGAGCTCGTTCAATTTATTGAAGGACATGATGAAAATAAAGAGGCCAAAACAACAAACAACAAAAATAAACGAAAAAAGGAGAGACAAAAGAAGAAAAAAGGATTAGTCAAACAAAAGGATAAAAGTAATCAACCCTTAACACCACAATCAAATTCAAATTCAAATTCAAAGGAACCACAACGATGTCAAGGACAAACTTACCAACACCTCAATCAATTATTTGTCCTCCCATATCAACTGGAGCACCGGCGGCTTCAACCAATAACTTAACTGCAACTCCAACGCGACTAAAATCTTCAAAAAATGAACCAACATCAAAACTTTCATCATCTTCATCATCAGTAATTAAAAATACCACCCCATCATCGACGATATCATCATCCTTGTCATCAACTATGAAAACAACAACATCTTCAACATCCTCATCTAGATCATCATCTTCATCAACAGCAACAAAAACACTAACCTCACTTACATCATCCACACAATTACCCACATCAACTATAATTACCAATGATTTATCGGATCACAGTGTCAATTCACCGGCAGCAAGATTATCATCATCATCATCATCATCATCAACTAAACAGGGTGGAGGTGATATTGGTGATGCTAAAAAAAGTAGTCATCATTTAAGCTCCAATGGTAACAGTAATCATAATAACAACAATAACAACAACAACAATAATAATAATAATAATAGTAATTCGAGTAAAAAAATATCTATGGATATTTCATCATCTTCCTCGGTTAATCAAAAACTGAAAGCTACTCATTCTACTTCTAGTGATAAAAATAATTGCTTAAATTTATCTAAATTAACTCACCAACGCTCGTCAACCGATCAAATAATAGACGAAAATGTTTCAACGCCAAAATCAATTAATTCACCGCAAAAACAACGTGATAATAAAAACGATAAACAAGATAAACAGAATAAAAATGACAGAGGTAAAAGTAGCAGAAAAAGAATAGAAGATATTCTATTCGTAGGTAAGTTAATCACAACAATTAAAAGTCCAAATTAAGATTTTAAGCTTTCGCCTAATTGACTAATTTTCGCTTTTTACTCTCCCTCTCTCTCTCAATTTTTTTAGATGAAGTATTTAAGCCTAAAGACATCGATCTTGAAAACGAAGAGCTTGATGAAACTGAGAAAGAAGTTGAAGCTTTTAAAAGGTAAATTTTCTTAATTGTTTACAATCACTTTTTTTTTCTCCACGATATGTTTGTTAATTGTATTTATTTTTTGTTCTATTGTAGATTTTGTTACAATTCTGTGCCACTCGCCCGGAAAGACAAAGTTAATATCGATTTGTCAAATATTTTGATTACCAGAAGGCCAATTGATCAATTGGATAGCTCTAGTGATTCAACTAATTGTTACCAGTCAAATAAAAAGTGAAGCCTTCAATAATTGTGTGTGGATATTACCAAACCAGTGAAAAGAATCAAATTAACCAAAGTGAAAATTTACAGACAAAGTAATCAAGGGTATTCATCATCGTCATCCAATTAACTTAAACAAAAATTACCCAACAGTAAAAGTATCGCAAGATATTTATATATAAATAAATTACCACACATTTTGAAAGGATCAAGAAATCACGACGATTAAACAACAATAATTAAACACAATTCAATGGTTTCATCATCAAGATTCATGACAACAACAATTAAATCTGAGTTTCTGTTTACCAAGTAAATTAACTTTTGATTTCCGTCGCTGGCCTAATATATAAATGGTATTATGGTTGTTTCCGTTGCTTCAGAAAATCAACTATTTCTTTCATCTCTACTTTTTTTTGTTTACTTCATCTTAAATCACTAAACAACAATAATAATTATCAACAATCAATTTATTTATACAACAAGGCCACACAAGGAAAAAATTTAACAACAATCAAGAGTCAAAGATCATCAATTTAAATCAACTCTGGACATGAAAAAAGCTCTCTAACTGAAGTTGATTCCTCAAACCTGTTCAAATAGTGTTTAATTGTAATACTATTCAAAAGGATTAATCAAATTAATTATATATTATTGACCCTTTTTGCCTTCATCAAAATTTTCACGAAAGCAAATTCAAAGCCTCTCTCTCTCTCTCTCTCCTCTCCTTTTTCTCTCTCTTTCTCTCACTCACCCGATTATGGATAAAGCGAAACAAATTTAATGAATCGTTTGGATTAACAAAAAGGATAATCTCTCTTGAGCAATTTAGCATGAAAATTACTCGAATGGATAAAAGACTAAAATCAATTGTAAAATTTTAGTTAAAATGTTGGATGAAAAGTTAACATTTTCTTTTTTTTCCGATTCAAAGAAATTGTAAAAAGAAATTAACTAAAATTATCTAGTACGATAATCAAGTGTAATTATAATCAACAGAAATTAATTGAAGAAAGAGCAAGTAGAGGGACAGAATATAAAGAAAAGTTAATTGCAAACGAATTGGAGTCAACTAATAAAGGAAGGAATCAAACCAAGGAAGAGACAACAATCAAATGAATTTGGACATGAATCAACTTCTCATTACCAATTAAGGACCATATTCACCAATCAGGATTAAATTGATTGCTAATTTTGTGTTCATACAATTTAAATGAACTCAAAACCTTTTCTAATTTTCCAGATCATAATTATGATTACAATTTAATCTTGTTCAATGGCCTTAAAACCCATGAAGAGAGTTAGTGACAATTCAATCGACCGGTAACCATTGAACGTAATTTAATTGGACTCAATCAACAGTCAAGACAATTTTATCGATTAATTTTTTTTACCTTTAATTGGTCAATAATCAATATAAACATGATACATTATCCACCATGGAGGAAGAGGATTACGAGAGCGTGGGAGTAAGAAATGCAAATTAAGTTGAATATTTATGTTTTCAGTGTTGTTATTTTAGAGAAAAATATGAAATAATTAAGAGTGAGAGAAAGAGTTAAATTATATAAATATGTAATTATTTTTTTCCATTTAATCTATTGGTAGTTAATTTTGTTGATCATCTTCCTTTCATAAATAAATTCGAATTGTAAATTGTTCGAAAAATTTCAATATTCTATTGTGATTACTAATCATTGATCGGCTAAAATTACGTCTAATCAACTTGATTATCTGCCTGATTTTCATGAAGGTTATTAATTGTTTAGGAAATTTTTCTACGTTTAAATTAAGTTCATCATTAGGTAGACTCTGAACTGATTAATAATAAATGATCATCACAATCAAATTCAATTAATCAAATTGATTGCGATTCTATTGAATTGAAACAATATTAACTTTTCATTCTCTCTGGGTAATCAAATCTAATCTTAATTATTTCGATGGTGAAAATCAACTAATCAGAGTAAAACTCCTTTTGTTTTAATTATCAAAGTTAAATTACATGATTGCCAATCATCTGATTTGGTTAAATTGTTGTTTGGGTTGACAATGAATTCAGTTAATTGTTGTCATCTTTTCCTGATCAGTTGAATTTTTATTTTTTCTTGTTCTTTTCTGATCTGAAATTTGAGTTTTTCTATGAAAATGTTCATTGAAATTTTGTTAATTGTAATTGTCGCTAATCCAATACTAACTTTTGAATCAAGTGAATTAGATGATCCTGATTACAATCGGACAGTCACCGAGTTAATTGAATCAAGAGGCTTTAATTACGAAACACATTATATTGTAACTGATGATTCGTACATTTTAACAGTTTATCGTTTAGTTAATCCGTTTGTTAATCCACAAGAGAGAAGCAAATTAAAGCCGATTATCCTTCAACATGGCTTCATGGGATCAGCTGTCGATTTTATAATCAACGCCCCAGGCGGTGATGCGATTCCCTGTCAACCCTCTGATAGCATCTTAATGTCCAATCTAAACGATACAATTACCAACAATTTAGGTTATTTATTGGCTAATTTGTGTTATGATGTTTGGTTATCAAATTCAAGAGGTAATCGTTATTCACGTAATCATACAACTCTTAATCCAGATGAAGGTAATTAAATATAAACAATTAACTTTTCCATTCCTTCAATTCTTTAATTATTCAGTTGATTGTTAATCTTTAATTACAGATAAAGAATATTGGAATTTCTCTTTCGACGAAATGATCTTTCATGATTCTCCAGCAATAATTGATTATGTTCTAGCAGAGACTGGATTTGGTGAGTTGATTGATTGCTCGATAGTTTTGGATAAATTAACTAATTGTTTCCATAAATTAACAGATAGTTTAGGTTGGATTGGACATTCGCAAGGAACTCTAATCATGTTCGGGCTTTTAGCTGAGAAACCAGGATATTCATTGAAAGTAAAACCCTTTATCGCTTTGGCTCCCGTTTGTTATGTTAACGATATCATGTTGTCCGCTCGATTGGCCAGTCGAGTACCTGGAGTCCTTTGGGCACTTCGACAAATTGGAAATGAATTAAGTGATGATAATTTTATTCTAAAAACTGTAGAGCAAATTTCCTGCGGTCGATGGGAACCCAAAGTTTGTGAGAATTTACTTTATCCTTTACTTGGATATAACGTTGAACTTTTGAACAAAACTCGAATGGCAGTTTATCGTTCGCAAGGTTATTCGGGCTCTTCCGTTTGGAATTTGGTTCATTTTGGACAGAATATCGTTACTGGAGATTTTGTTCGATTCGATTATGGTACAGCAGAGAATAAAATTAAATATGGTGGACCGAAACCTCCCAAATATACGTTGACTCAAATTAACTCAACTCAAATCGCGATTATTTACTCTAAAAGCGATACCTTGGGCGATTACAAAGATGTCACTCATTTAACGGAAACACTTAAAGGTAAATATCAAACAATTAAGTAAGAAAAATAATTCGAATAACTAAATTGTCTTGTTTCTAATTTAGTTCCTTTATTGCGAGATTATTTTATTCCGTTGCCGTCTTGGAATCATTTGGACTTTATTTATGCCAATGAGCTTTATCGATATGTTCATAGTCAAATTTTGGATATTTTAAAATCATCTTATTAATTGTTGCTTGTTAATTATCTCATTTCTTTATGTCAATTGTTGTTAATTGTGATATGTAATTAAAATTGGTGATTTCGTTGATTTTTTGGTGTTTTTTTATGAGTTTTGGGAGTTTGGTCTCATATTGGTGAGTATAAAGGTTCATGGTGATTCAGATTCTAGAATCTGATTGTTGTAATGAGTTAAAATATGAATGAATTTGATTGATAAAATTGTAATACACAAATAGATTGTGTAAATTAATCAAAATTGGTCCAAGCAATTCTTTGGTTTTCATGAGATGATTCAAATAGGCTCGAGTAAATCCTTTGGTGCAAGTGTAACAATTACAATCATGATCGATTACTTTGAAATCTTCCTTTAAATTGTCATCGGACAATCTGATTAGATTAGAGGTTATATTGGTAATGTTGTCACAATTAATATCCACCAACAAGGCAGTTTCATTGTTAGTTAAATAGGCACAATAAGATGAATCGATAATATCTATTCCTGATGAAATAACATCAATCACTCTCTCAGGTTTGAGTGGACCAAATAGAGCTCGAGGTTTATCATCAGGTAAATTGGAACAAATTTTTGAAATTAACAATTTCAATTCAAGCCCATTTGAATCATCGAGTAAATCGGTTGACAATAGACCGTCAACAATATAACCATCAACAGGTAATGATTTAGTTTTCTCAATTGATGTTAATCGTTTCTCAATATTCCAACCGCCTTCGATTACTCCAAAAATCGGCTTAATTGTCCAGTCAAAGTCTTTAATACCCTAATGAGAATATTGAAAATACAAATCAAAAAACAATTCGAACGGAAAATTATATCAATGGATCAAACTTACAAAACTGTTCTCTGCCAATTTGATCGTGTTTTCAACTGATTTATCGACTCGTTTGTTAGAACAATTTTTCGGTGTCTCTCCATCGGCAAGTAGGTGATAGAAATCGGGTTTCAATGATTTAACACATTCAATTAAATCGATTGGGTAAATATTTTGCCGACCAGATTCAGTCCAAATGGGAGTGAATGTCGGTGAATTGAATCCTTGCCGTCGGTTGACCAAAACGTCTTGAATAGTCAAGAAAATCGATCGATTGAAATCCGAAGAGATGAATTCGGAAAAACTAGAATCACACGACCTGAGAACGGGCAACAAATTGTAAACCGAACCAAGGGAAACGAGAGCTGGAACATTTTTGTCGGGAATATATTTCAAAAGATCCCAAGTAAGGTGAGGTATGAGTCCATCTTTGGTGTATTCAAGGCACAATGGTAGAGAAAAATTCTGTTCGGTTTTCGGACAGTCAATGTTATCTGAATTTTCACTTGATTTTGAGGTTAATCTAATTATACCTGATCTCCATTTACATTTTTGTATAATTGGTTTAAAAATTAAATCCATGGTTTATTAGAAAACAATACAATTAATTGGTAAACAAAATTAAAGACAATTTAACCGCTGATAGTAACATGTGAAATTGTCACTTTGAATGCTGCCATCTCAGGATTAAATAAGTAAAATGACCGAGGAAACAAAAATTTGTTTGGAGCGACTGTAGATTTAGCATAGAGGAGGAAAATTATCAAATTAGTGGTTGATAATTGTACAATTTGATGGAGAAACGGATTGGATTATTGTTGACCAAGAACAATTTAATCAAACTTTGTATCGTGTTCATTGAACACTTTCATGTACTGATTATCAAGATTCTTGAGGAATTTGTTAATTTAGTGATTGTCCATCGATTGGAAGTTATAAAAAAAGAATTGGTTTTGATAAATATCCTTTTCTTTGATTGTTGTGTGTCTGGTCTTGGATTCGGGTTGAAACTTGGACATGATCAGTTAATCACGGGGTATTTTTCGGTGCCAATGTTTGTGATTAAGAGAAGATAAATCTTTCAATTTAGCGATGTGTTTAAGGTAACGAGATAAATATAATAATTCCTTGTCTTTGTGTCGATTTTTGTAAGCCTCTTTAAATGGAACGATATGAAGACCGTTTTGAGGATTCATCAGGAAATTTCGACGAATATCATCAAACATGATTGTATTCTTTGAATTGTATTGAGGAAATTTACCCCAAATTACGCCTAAGGGTTTAACCTATTGAACAAGAAACAAAATTAACCAAAAGAGAAGATTATTTTTCCAATTATTACAAGTTCCACAGCGGTTATGTATAGATTTTAGATAGAAATTACTTATTTACATTTAGAAGACCATAATCGGGAGACATAATGTTGATCATAGCACTAGAGTCGAGAAAGAACATGATCTTGAAATTGGGATTCGGGTGGACACCCATTTCTCTCATTTTAATTTCTATCCATTTCATTGAGGTAGCAGCTAAAGAGGAAGATGAGAAGGTAAAACAAAATCAGTATCGAACAATCAAAAGTTAACTTATATCAATAGAATGAATTTCTTTTGATGAAAGTGTCCAAATAATTGGATCGGTAAATTTGGTACTTACACCAGATAACAATATCATAATCTTCATAGGCTGAGGTCAAAAATTCGTGTAAATATGGACGCATTAATTGTGAAACATGTTCAGCAGTTGATTTATGATCTAGAAAAAAAGAAAGATAGATTAACTAATTGCCTCCATTGGAAAATTGTCTTAAATTTACCATATAAAGTATAATCAATATCTAAAACAAGAAGCTTTTTCCCTTCTCTTGGTGGATTAAAAATGGTAACCTTATATTCAGCAACTCTTTTCTCAATTTTAGCCAAGAATTCTTGTCGCTGACTAACAGGTATAATACACTCTTCGGGTATGTCCAGGTCATTGATCACTTCATTATTGGGAACAGCGGCGGCCACATCTTGAATGGCATCTTCGGTACTTCCAATCATCATTAATTTGGTTCCTGGTTTTAAGTTAAGTTCACCCAATTTAACATCGTCTTCAGCTGGTTTTCCTTTATACTTTAGACCAAATAATTTCTGTCTTGTTGGTTGGACACCAGTTTTATGATAGATGACATTTTTCAAATGTTCAACTGTATCATCAAGTTGAAGACACTCTTGATCCAGGGAGATTTCTTGTTTAGCCCATTTAATAATAATCGATAAGCTTTGATCCGAAGATGAGCTGCCACCACCACCGCCGCTACTACAGTCGCCCATTTTATTCTAATATCAATCTAATCCTTGGAAAAGAAAAGAGAGAAAAAAGTAAACAAAGAAAAGGTAATGTCAAAGGGTAACCAAGAACAAAAAATCCATTTTAAGTCAATCATTTGGATGAATTACTTACTTTAAGTAAATTTACCAGGTAGAAATTAACAGTCTCTCACTACCATTGGAAGGAATTAAATTAGCCAGCAAATCAATTGATTACCAAGATGATTTAGTGAAAACCCACATGTAGATTGAGTAAAAAAAGAAAGAGGTAAAAGATACAGAGAAAAAAGAGAAAGAGAACAAAAAGAAAAAGAAAAAAAAGAAAAGAAAAGAAAGAGAACAAAAAAATAAGAAAAACGAAAATGGTAGAAAAAGAAAAGACATTAATAGTTAACTAAACTCCATTGACAATCTAATGTCAATAACTTACCTGATTCAGAGATGATTGCTAATCAATTGTACCTAATGGGTGACAATTAACTGATGTTTAATTACTAATTGTTGAAGTGAACAAAACAACAACACAAAAATTGGAAACAGAAAATGAGACAAAACCGAAACTCTTGTCATATGTTCCCCTTAAGCTCCTCCCACAAAGGAAAATTTTTTTATTCGTTTTCTAAATGAGTTAATTTCTAATTGTAAGCAATTAACTGATTGTGTTTATTTAATTGTGCATATGATCCAATTAATTAGATGTTCTTTTTCTTTCATGTTAGAATTTACATTTGCTGTTTGATTGAATTGATTTCTATTTCTAAGTAAACAATTTGAACCTTTTTTCCTTGTTTCCAATCAACAATTAACTTTAATTGTTATCAAGTTTTATGATTTGAGTCCATCGATTTGCAATGATTAACGATATTGTATATTATATGGTCAAGTTAATTGATTGAACAATAATTATTATTGAGAGAAAATTAATTTCTCGTTTATTTTGTATTTGCCAAAGTTTAACAAGTTGATATAAATTAAGTAAATTAATTGACAATTACAAATGATTAGTGATTTAGAAATTGTCAGAATTATGTATAAATTGTACAATTAATGAACGAGCAAAAAAAATTGATAGAATTACAGTAATAAAGAGTATAAATTGTAATAGAAACAAGTGAAATTTAGATTGTTGAATTAAATTGTTATGATCAAGATGAAGATGATGATTAATGATAAATGAGCTTAATCAGGTGAAATCGTAATTAGATAATAAAGAAATTATCTGATTCCAATTTTGAACAATAATCAGCTAATTATGAGAATCCATAAGATACAAAAATGATTATGATTAAGAAAATTGATCTGATCCGATTTGTTTTCTGTGTATTCCAACAATTAAACGATGATTAACTTGATTTATTAAAGTTTAACACCAAAGATTAAACTAATCAGTAAATCAAAGTAATTGAAGTTACAATTAAATCAGTCCGGTCACTTGAGCAAATCATCAGTGTTGTAGTTTCATGGATAATTATGATTGTAAATCTTGAGGATAGAAATTAACAATTTATCCAAATTGAGAGTTGATTGTTTGATATCTCCAATTGATTAAATCTAATCATTACAAAAAAAGTAAAAAGAAACGGAAAATTAATCAACAATCAATTAAATAGTTAAATCTAAATAGTAAACATACCGTTTGAATTTGTAAGATCACAAGGAGATGATCAGTTGATTTAGAATCAAATTGAATAATCATTGTTAATCATCACAAATTGATCCATTTAAATTATTGGAGAAATTAATTAATCTCATTGATTAATACGCAAAGAAAATAAGATGAATAATAAATACGATGAAAAGATTGACCTTAATAAACTTGAGGCCATCGAAGTTGATTGTTGATAATGATTCTGGCAAAAGTTAATTGATGAGAATTGACTAGTTGATTAGATGATGATTAAGACAGAAAAACAGATTAACCATCTAATCATCACAAAATAATAACAACGATATGAGTTAATTACAATGAGAATCTCAATCCAATGAGTTAATCAATGATTGTTACACATAGAAATACGTTGGATAAGAATTAAGGTAATTAGTTAATTGGGAGGATAAAAAAAGGCAGATAAATCTTTAGCATATTTTGAATAACAGGATAATCCGATTGAATCAATTGGACTTCGAATCCAAAGAGCCTACAATTAAAAACGAAACAAAAGAAAATAAAACAAATCAAATTAATAAACAAATTAGATTTCGAAACAATTTAGAAAAGATTAGAAAATTGTACAAGTAAAATCAAATCGAATCAATTCAATTAATGGTGAAACAATTAACAGACATAATCGATCAATAAACAATTAGAAAAGAAAAAATTAAATTCGAAAGTAGAAAAAGTTAATCAACTTTAAATTCAGTTAATCAAAAGAAAGAAAGTAAACAAACTGAGATTAACATACGATCCCTTTTGGTGGGAAAAGAAAATGAAAAAAATTTAATTGTTGTCATTGATTTCTAATTGTTCAATTGTGTTAAATTGTTATTTCTTTACAATTTCAATCAATCAATTTAAAGGTAAGATGATTATTTCCATCACATTTAATTCTTGACTATTTATGTTATGTATACATTTCCTTTTTGTTATTACCTCTTGTGTATTGAAGGTTAATCTTTACCATGTTATTTTATTACTACTTTTTTTTTCTATTATTATTTTTCTTATTTTTTATTGTTATCATCATCATCATCATCATTGGTTATTATCACCATCATCACAATCTCTCATCTTATCGTCATCTCTCAATTGGATTTTTTTCTCTATTCTTTTATTGAAAGAAAAATGAAGAGACACACGAAGGAGGAAGATGATCAACAAGTAACAACAACAATCATTACAGGAAGAGACAGAAGGAGAAATGAGAGAGAAACGTATTATGGACTATGTAATATCTTCTTTCCCATCATCATCATCATCATCATCAATTCGCTGATATATATGAGGGGTTAGAACTCAAGGAGAGAAGAAAAAAGAAGATGATGATGGAGAAGAAGCAAAAACATGAGAAAAAAAGTGACCAAAAAGGAGATAGTAAAAAGGAATTTCTATATTTACAGAAGAGAAATGATAAGTTTCTCTTCATGTGCCTATGTGAATAAAATCCAATACTTGAGGGAAATTGAAGATTCCCATGTTTGCATAACCACCCAACGAAGACAAAAGCCATAACCAGTCGGATGAATTGTTTGGGAGAATCTTTTTTTTTGTTCTATTCTCTTTCAGAGGAAAAATGTCAACGGTTTTCTCAGCTTTTTGCTATTACGTGAAAGAAGCGAAAAATCCACGCGACCCTGAACTCTCAACAAAATCATCATCATCTTAAATCGTCAACAGAGTCATTAACATCATCTTAATGTGTCTCATCAACTTCAAGATTCCTTTTCATCTTATTCTCACATAGTAATAATAGACAACAGTGGGAAAGATGATAATTTATTTTCTCCGCCATAGTTTTCATCTTGTAATCCAGAATTTGTAACATTCTTCACATTTCTCATCAGCCACAAAGAGAAGGAGGAAAAAAAGGATTCACATGGAAGAAAGAAAAGAGAAGCAAAAAGATGTAACATTCAAAATTGTCAACAATCAAAAGTGAATTTATTCACATTGGATTCGATTTTTTCTTTACCAAATCAACAAAAGGATCAAATGCACAGAGAAGAGGAGTAAAAAAAGAGATCGTAAAAAAGTAGATCATCAACAAAACAACCAAGGGTTAGAATGGAAGTTACCTTAAGTTACCTTTTTCCTTAATAACGGTTTACCTTTCACCTTCATCTTCTCTCCATCTTCTCTTCATCATCATCTTTTTGAGATCTTTTTACTCTCAATCTAAAGAAAACCATATTGTCTGTACATCTTTTTCTCTCTCTCTCTTTCTTTCTCAATGGTTATAGTAAAAAACTCACATATTGTAAATCTCTTAAGAAAAGATCAACACGGAGAGAGAAAGAGAGAGAATAAGAAAACAAACTCATTTCTTCCTCATCTTCATTCATCTTATTTACAACGAAAGGCCTTTTAACGGGCAATATGTACAGAGACCTTTAAACTGTTCCCATGTGTCTCTCAGGTCAAAAGTCATTGTTAGTTTTTCCTATTTTCCTTTAAAGTTTTTTTTCTCTTTCTTTTCTTTCTTACTCTCTCTTAAGAAGTTACTGTACTTTCTTATTTATCTGTATCTTTCTTTCTCTTCTCTTTTTTCATCTCTCTCTCTTCCTTTTCTCTTCCATATCTTTTTTAGGTCACACGGTAACCATCTTGCGTGAAGGAGCAGCCTAGTTAATCATAATCAATATTTGATAATAATCAATCCAATGGTTTAATTCATTTGATATTAACCATTGTCATCTATTTAAATTGACTAATCAACATCTTCCCATTCATGGAAACAACAATATTAACACCCATCAGATTTGATGGATCCAAACCTCATTCACAAGGATAATTAACATATTATTCACTTAAATTTGAATCTATTTAGTTAATTGTTTGAATGAAATTACAAGTATAATTAATATCCAATGTAGATCTTATCAAAGGTAAGAATTTACTTTTTTACATGTTGATTATCACGAAAAAGGAATAACTTTTTCTCTCTCTCTCTCCCTCTCTTTATAATTAATATATTACTAGAAAACCCTATGGAATTTAATTATAATTGTTTAAATCGTGATTACGATTACAATTTAATTTGGATTACAAGAAGCTCAGGATGAAATGGGTGAAAATAACAATAGAAAATAACAAAAAATAAGATCACTGATAAGATGAAATAATCTATTAGCGAACAACAATCAAGTAACTAACCTTGAATGTTTGTAGGATTAATAATTAACTAATCTCATCATGTTGATTAAATTTCGTATCAAGATTACAATCATTTTGTGTGAGCGAGAAAAGAGATTATCAAAACAAAACCTTCCCAAAGTTAAATTGTTTCCCTCATCATAATCTTAATCTTAATCATCTTCCTCCTCTTTTAGACCAACCTGATCATTTTGATGGAGCAAAAATTTCTCATCATTATCATCAAGTGGCAAAATATTTTCCATCATTAAGACACTTTCCATGATGATGATGAGAGAGAAGGAAGAGAAACACCAAAATTGGTGTTAAATCGTCAGAACAATTAGTTAATCATCAAGATGATGTTTAGCTGAATATCTTTATCCTTTTCCTTGAAAATGTCCACTCAAAAATGGAACCACAAATCAATGTTAGATGAGAAGGAGGAGGATTAAGGAGATTAACAATGTTCTATTGATCATCTTTCTCTTGCAAGGTAAATAGAAGATGATGATGATGATGAAGATAAGAAAAGAAAGGTAAAGGTAACAAGAGTGAGAATACACCTTTCGCCTTATTCACATTCTTTGTTATCATTTTTCTCTTACCAATGGAATTTTACCTGTGGAATTTTCTCTGTTAATATTAAATAGAGAGGAAGAGAAAAGTAAGATGATGAAGATAATGATGAGAAAGAGGCAACAAGAAGATAGAAAGATGATGAGAAGGCAAATTGTTCTAGTAACATATAAGGCGAGATGTTATAAGGCGTGCAAAGGGGAGGATGAGGTTGAAGGTTAAGGTGTTTGGGTTGGGGTGATAGGTTGTTGATGGTGGAATTCATTCTCATCATCTTGGTCATCATTCTATCATCATCATCATCATCATTTCACCTTAGACAATTTTAGAATCACTAGTTTATTATTATCATTGTTACCTGTTGATGTTATGTTATTTTCAATGGAAATACAAAATTTACTCCTCACGCAAATGAAAACAATCTTGAGATTATTTTTATTTCTGATGATTAAGAAGCTTAATTATGATTCAAGCCTATTCATTTAATCATAAATTGTTCAACTTAATTTGAATTAATTCACTGAATTTACCTTAAGGCTCTTTACCAACCGTTTTCAAATTATTACTTAACTTTTTCATCCTCATCTTTTTTTTGGCGCACCTTTTTCATCTTCCTCTTTCTTCCTCTTTCTTTCTCATCTTCTCATACCTTTATCATCATCATCATCATCATCTTAATCATTATCATTATCCGAGTGAGTATTTAAACAATTATTATGATTATAAACTTAAATTGTTTAACGCAATTGGTGATAAAAAGTTATTGCTTCTTAATTCAACCAACAACCTTTTCCGATTCAACTTGTTAACAATTAGATTTAATCAATGGGATCACAATTAAGCTTATTTTTTCATAGTCTTGATTAATTCAAATCAAATTCATTGATTTTACTTTTTTGTTTGTTTGTTTATCATCATCAACAATTTATTCATGATTATTATGTCAACACCTTATATGTAATCAGAATTTCAATTTCAATCATCACCGTAATTAAATTGATTATGATAAACTGTAAACTGTGAAAACCACAATTTATAATGTGTATTTATCTTAAGTAAAGAGTTAATTGCAGCAATTTGTTTATTGTTACAATTTAATCAATATAAAAGTTTAAGGAAATCAAGATCAGGCTTTTCAATATTATTATCAATTCAATTTGAAAATTGAAAAGGGAAATTGAAAAAAAAATTTTCTCATGAAAAACAAACTTGTTAATCAACTTAATCAATGTTACAATTAAGTAAATTTTAAACCATTCATCAATATTCATATCATTTAATCAAAAAAAGATTCAAAAAGTTATCAACCAAATAAGTTATTCACCACTAATCAGTTACAATTAAGGATCACAATCAACATTGCAAGGTGAAAATATAATGGGCAAAATTAATGATTAGGTTTGAATAAGATTTAAATTGTTGGTTAAAGGTAATGATTGTTTAAGCTTTTGTTAAACCAACAATTTAAATTGTAATTTAACCAAAATGATAGTGATTTGAAAATAACGAAATGGATTAAAATTTAGATGAAGTCATTAAATTAACTGCACTATGGAAGTTGATTGTTGACATAGAGAACCATTGATTCCAATGACAATTTAAGAGCAACAATTAACATGATAATCGGAGTAACAATGATTAACATATTGTGACTTAATCTAAAAATAATCAAGGTAAATAAGGTAAGGTCAATGTCTATGGGCAAGTGATTAAGAGACTTAAGCTGATCCAATAACAATCAAGTTAATCATGATTAATCGTGATACCGGAAAAAACTATATCATAATAATTAAATCTAATTGTTATATTTTCCCAAGCCCAAAAGATCAACAATTTAATCGCCAATGAGGAAAAAAAAGTTGATCCATCTGTCTGAATATCAACAATAAGTAAATTACGATCAGCGGAAATAATTAGTTAATCAACGTTTTTTTTTGCAAACAATTAACTATTAATAAATTTAGATGATGATAATAATAAATTATACTATTGTTTCATCAGTTGATTGTCTATTAATCAGCTCAAGTGATTAAACTGTTGTTAAGGTAAGTGAAAAGTTTTGACATCAATTGATTTATATGAGTTAATTTAACAATTTCCTTAATCATTAGCATGCAAATAAGTTGACTAGTGATTAACTATTAATAGTTACAAGAAAAATAGTGATTAAGATTAAGGATGAAAGTAATTGACAAAAAAAAGGAGACCAAAAATACAAATGAAACTATCAAAGGGGATTAAGTTGATTGTAATGATGATTAAGATGATGATTAATTTCTTAAGGTATTAATTAGTTGAAATGTTAAATTTTCATCTCATGATGATGAGGATGATTAGGAAAGGAAGCTGATAATTGAAACCATGTCGAGAGTATGATTTAAAATCAAGTTAATTTAAAATGAAATGTATCACCGGATGTGAGAAAAACTCATTCACCATCATGAATGACCATCATCATCATCTTCATGATTATCATCATCATGGTCATCATGAAGATGACATTCCTAGACGTACAAAATTAAGATGATAATGATAATACAAATCATAAGGGAAAATGAAATTATTAAAGTAATGAGATGAATTAACATTCCTATGTGATGGTCATCTTATTTTTTTTTCTTGTGTCCACCATTAGGTAGACACACAATTGACCTTCAAGATTAAGATGACCATCATCATTATCTTCATCATTCTAATCATCAGGTTACCTGTTGCATCTCTTTCACTTTCTCTCTTATTCTCCCTCTTTGTTTGAAGATGATGAAGATTGAGAAAAAAAAAGAAACAACAAATTCCTCTGAGTAAATGAGATGAGACTTGAAAATGATATTATTATGATAAAAAACTCTAGAACTTTTTTTCAGGGGGTGGTCAGAACTTCCTGTCAGAATAAACAAAATACAAGGTGAGGGAGATGATGATACAAATACGAAAGGGGAACCGCAATTAAGAGCTCACTTGGATGAAACTAACCAAAAGCCCTGAGGACATTTTAGTGTAACTTGAATTTTCGCCTTGGACTCATTCATGCGTTTCCTTTTTTTTATTACTATCGCTACTTAAGATGGACAGGTCAAGAAGATATCATCATCATCATCATTATCATCATCTTATAAGACAGATACATTTTACATAGATGATGAGGAGAGAGAGGGAGGGAGGGAGAGCTGATGAGAAGGAAAAAGAAAGTCTCTTCCACAGATCATCTTCCTACTTCTTGTCTTTGGGTGAAGATAATTATTACCATTGATATATTATTATTAATCTTAATCTTAAAGGTATCATCATCTTTACAAATAATTAATTGTTGGATAATTACAATTAGATAAATGGTAATAATATCAATCCAAAGTTTTGCTTTTCTAATCTCTTTACCTTGATTGTTTATTCACGTTATTATTGAGTTGAGGGTTTATTATATGATAAAATCGTTGTATGTTTGTTAATTGTTATTAAAAGAATTGATTAATTGGATAATAATTAGTTGATTATCTTACCTTTCGTTTGTGTGATTGTTCAAAGTAATTACGTCGTAATTGGAAACAATATACTTCACCCAAAGGCCATTCGGATTGTAACCTTAACAATAATTCATTGTCTCGTAATCGTCTTTCACCTAAATTAAATTAAATAGAAAATGAAAATGAAAATTTCAATCATGATAATCAAAATTCAATTCCAATTTTTATGATTATCTTAATTCAAGATCTTCCTTAAAATTGATCAGCTGATTTGTTTTTAATTCACTTGTTAATGAAAACACAACATCCTTGTAGATTTGACAGTAGTTACAATTGTTGGTTAATCACAATTAAAGATTCTTCCTCACATAACTGATTAACTAGTTTCCTTGAATGAAAAAATGTCAACAACAATTAAAATCTACTTGTAGTTTACAGTTATAACCTTCCCGTGACTGAGAAAAAATTAATAATTAATTGTCTAACCCTCTAATTAAGGTAACATTTTAACGGTTTTAATACGAAAAAAACTTAATCTTGATGAGACAAAAAACTAGTGACAATTAGAATGGGACAACAACAACAATTAACTTTATCATAATTATTCTCATAACAATTAACATTCTTGCTAATTAAATTTTCTCCGCTCTTTTTGATTACCATTTTTTACTTACGTCTTTTCTGTGGACAAACTTCATATAAAGCAAATTTGGTTGACCTTTCATCCGAATCGTAACATTGTAATAGTAATTGAATCACTTCACCAACGGTGGTTATATCGGAAATCAGTAGACTTTTATAAAGAGACTTTAAATCACAATTAAAGGTAGAAAATAATTATTAGTAAAATTAGATATTAATGTTAATACTTTAGTGGAAATGATCAACTTACCGATGACATTAAGCAACTGTCATAGACTTTGACGAGGCCTCCACGTTTCATCATTAAAGTGAATCTAAAATTAGCAGAAAAGAATAAAGAAGAAATTTAACAATTAAGACAAACAATAGATGAAAGATGGAGAAATCATTTAAGGAAGAAGAATATTGGGTTTGGTAGAGGAACAGGAAATAACTAAAAGATTCTATTCTTTTCTATCTCTTATGTGTATTAACTTTTTCTGGTCAACATTTTGAGAGAGATGAGGAAAGAAAGTAACTTGATAGTAATAAATATAATAACATCCGAAGATAATAATAACACTGATGATGATGTTTTGATGGGCCAATAGAGTTTTCGTCTAATGAGAGAGTCTTTCTTTCTGTACATTGTCTTCATCGTCATTCTAAATAGGATAAGAAAGGGAAACCAGAGAAACGAGCGACATTTGAGACTCTTTGAATACTATGATAGATATTCAATGGATTAACTTTTAGCTTTGACTCTATTTTTAGTTGAAGATGATCATCATCAACATTGAAGAATACACGGATGAGAGAGTGAGATGAAAAGGAAAATCTTCCAAAAAGAAAGGGATGAAAGATGATGATGATGATGGTGATGATAAGTGGACACTCACTTGGTATCCTGATGAGGATACGAGGCCTGAATTTGAGCTGGACAAGACATATCATCAAGAACCACAACAGATCTGATTGGAATTCCTATAAACAATAAAGAAAATGATTAATTAATTGTTATGTTTGTAAGAGAACAAAATTTAGTTGATTAAGACAAAATAAATTCCAAAATGGAGACAAAGATTAAAACCAATTTGATTAATTGTAATTCTCCTCTTATAAACACTCATATGTATTTAGAAACATTGATAATTGTTGTGAGAAAATGACAACATTGTAATAGATGAACAAGGAACCACAAATTTAACCATCGTTACGGTCAACAGAATTGACCGTTTACACTTAAACACAGTTAACCAACAAACAAATTGGAAATAAATTGTTAAAACATTTTGTGATCAATGAAAATAAGAAAACAATTAACAGTTGAAACGATCAACCAAAAGAGATCAACAATTATGTCAACGGTTGATTCTTGTTGCATAGTAACCAAAGTGTCACATGATAATTTGCCTCTTTTGTTTCAGTTTTTTTTTGTTCTTTTCTATTTTTTTAATTGTGTTTTTAATTTCGTTTTAATTGTAATTACCTGTTTTACGAATAATTACTTCCATGGCAACGTAAAATAGATTGGGATCCGTGTGTTTCAATCGGAACTTATGGAGTAACATCCTCACCATATCAGAACAAGTTGTGTCTTCGGTTATTGAAAGTGTCTTATATTCAATATCTGAACATAAAATTTTGGTGTAAATTTTAATCACCGACGACTGTTGGAATAGTTAATTGCAATTAGGAAGATGGAAAATTAGTTAATTGTAACAGTTAAAGGTGAACATTAAGGTAACAAGAAAATCACAAATGGCTAATGAGAAGGTAAGAATTGTGTCAGAACAAGTGAGATTATCGCTTCAGGCCTAAAATGTGAATTGAGAATATAAAAGTTAACAGTTTTCACTAATGGTAAGTACAATTAATTATTTGTTCTTCAATCTTGTTTATATATATTTTTTTTAATTCTAAATTGTTTCCGTTGTTAGAATCAAATAAATGAGAGAGAGAAAACAAAAATTAAAACGGAAGCTTGAGATGTTTAATCTTCTCTATATACAGAAAAGATTAAACAAAAGGTAATGTTTACCTTGTTTTCCCTTGACTGTTATCCTTATGTAAACGCTACCGGAAAAAAGGTATTAATACCTTGGAGTTTTTGAAAAGTGGCCTAAGTTAATTGTGGCTCGTGGTCCGTGTCAATGGACAACACCCAAAGAGACCGGATAATAACATCTTCTAGTGGTGAACATTTGATTGTTCATGGTTTGAGTTTAATCTCAAAATTATTCAACATCAATTCCTAATCCAAGGTAATAGTAAATCTTTTCAATGGATTCCATTGATTTTCTTAATTTTTTAGTTAATCAATTGAAGATTAAATTGATTGTCTGTTTGTTTCTTTCTTTCTTATTGTCTAAATAGAATCCTAATTGTTGGTGATGATTAACCTCTTTTTGGTGACCATTGAGAACTTCATAAACAAGGATTAAGATTAATTGTCCAAGATGAGGATCGTTTATATTGTGTTCCAATTAACGGAAGTAATTAAAACGTTGGGATAATTTGATAACAATTAACTTATCTTATTATTCATCATTTTGATACTTTTGTTTTGATTTTTTCAGGGGAAACAAATTAAAATCTTATTGTATCAACTAGTGAAAGTTAATGTTACTTATCTGTTGTTATTAAGTTTACTTTTTTTAATTAGATTTAGTAAATTGGTGTTTTGTTTACACTTATCATGATTATCTAACTAATTGTTAGCTAACTTGATTAACTCTTATATACATTGTATACACAATATGTAAGGAAATAATGAAAACACTTAATCATCTTGTAATTAGTTGAATAGATTGTGAAAACTTCACGTAATTAACTTTGATCAACTTTGATTAGAACAGAAAAAAATTAGATCATAAGAGTTTAAGAAGTTTAATGAAAACGATAAATCAATTGATAATTATGAGAGAAAAACTGATTAGCCAAAGTTTATGATTAGATCTAAATGACTGAATTAAAATTAAACGAAATGAGAAAAAGTGAATCAACTAATTCTTACCTTTGTTGATCCTGTTGAAATGGAATCAGAAATAGACGATCTATCCGAATCAAATACCATGGTTTCAGAGGTAAATCCAAAAAGACAAATCAAATACACAAAGAAATGAACAATTAATCAACACAATTAAAAAAGAAATTAAATTAAAGGACAATAAAGAAATAAAAAAGTAAATTGTTGATCAACAATCGTTGTTGTTACTCAAAGAAAAGTTTGAGAAAAACTGTTTACAAAAAGAAGAGAGGAAAACAAAATGAACTTGAGATGTTGGAGTTTGCGCTGAGCGACGATAACAACGAAAATGGCCTTTTAAATGGGCTGGACTGGCCTGGCCCCGAAATCTTTCAATGGTAAAAGATAATGATAAAGGAAAAGACCTTCGCCTTTTGCTCTGTGGAGAGAGAAAGATAGAGAGATGCCCTTAACTTTCCCTTCGGGGGTTAACCCTCCTCCCACTTCCTTTCCTTTCATAAGAAGAAGATGATGATGATGATAAGGATGATGAGAGAGAGAAAAGAGAGACAGAGAGAGACAGAGAGTAATATTAATAGTAAAAGTCCAATGATAATATGTTGACAAAGACTTGACCTGAGTTGACACACCAGCGACTTTGGGGTTAACACTTAGAAATGAATATGTTAATATGTATGACAATTTAATCGGTTTCACGAATTGATTATTATCATTAAATTGTTGACGATTAGAGCGAGAGAAAAGTGATAAAACAATTTACGAAAATTTGATATTCTTTTTTTTTAAGTTAGAAAAAAAGATATTTAATTGATAATAATTAACAAAATACTTGTTCTTTCACAATTGAAGCTGATTTAATTGTTGTTGTTCTTGTTGTTGCTGTTTGTTGTTATCTAAATGAAATGTTGATGAAATTCTAATATTGGTTGTTGATGTTGGCGTTTGAATTTCCATCTCTCATCTTGATTGATGGATTAACTTGAGGTTGTTTCATGTAATTAACACCATAAGGTTGTGGTTGAGGATAAGCTGGTTGTGGGTGAGGAGGATGAGGTGGGTAATTAGCGGAGGGATTATAGTTCTGTAAGTATTTAATGTGTTCGTAGGCGAGATTAAGATATTTGTTTTCTTGTTGTAATCGAGCGTCCAAACTTTTCAAATGACTTTGCAAATAACCGGCCATCGACTGGACATCATGAGGATTAACGGTATAATCGTTGGCGTATAGTTTTTCCTTCACTTTATCAACCAACACACTAATATCTGGACACGAAGTGGACTCACCCTTTAATCCATATAACTTTTTCTCCAAAGCGATTATCTTTTCGAAACAATCTTTTAATCGGTAATGAAATCCACCGATTTTCTTGTGGTGTCCGAGCAAAATGTCCTTGACGGTGGTCACAAATTTCCGTAATTTCTCATGGAGTCCACCGCCGAGAGAGGACAAAATTCCACGAGCCTCAACTTCATCGGCTGAGGAACCAAAATCCTCTTTTTCGAAAGAAAGGAAAAAAGAATTTGATTTTTTCGATTAAGATTAGGATGGGGATTAGGGTTAAGGGGATTAATATGTTTTCTTACCTGCGTTGATTGAGACAATTTGAAGAAATAAATTAAAACTGATTATCAAAACTAAGATAATTGGTACTCTCATTGTGACTTGGTTTAAGTTGGAAACTCACAAAATCAATGGTTGATTAAATTTAATTTGATTAACTTTGATGTTTGATTACTTTTGATCAACTAAAAAGTGATTTAACTTGTTAACTGCTTTTAAATAGCCAATTGTTAATTGTTAATCGTTTTTCCAATGTAATTTGTTTTATGATCATTATTGGTATTGCAAATGAATCGTTTAATTTTCTTGGATGATAATCAGCATCTCATGAGATGAACAATTAACATTAAGACTAAATTAAGTCCGGAAATTATGATTTTAACATTTGACTTTTTATTTCCAATGATCAAATTGATTATTGGAAGTTTCCAATAAATGATTTAAAGGCAATTAATTGATTGTTTTAATGATTGTTTAATCATTTTTGTTGCTAATGTGATTAACAATCTAATGGTTAGTTTGATGATTAGAAACAACATCAACCAATGAAACTTTTGTCTCTCAGTTTTAGTTTGACTACAATTCGATCAACAATCAAATCTTACAATTTAGTGTTCAATTTAAGTTGTGATTGTCAATCAACATGAAATCAATTGTTGTAATCATCGTAATTGTAACTTGTGTGTCATCTGTAGTCACCATTGACGATTATGGTAAGTTTAATATTCAAATTTCTGTATAACTTGTTGATTGGGAAGAAAATTAGACAAATTAATCAACTAATTGTGTTGACGATTCCAATAGATTCGTTGGCCTCAATTCTCGAGTCGAGAGGATTAGGTGATTATAAACTACAAATGCCTTTTCATGGATTATTGCAAAAGTTTTCCAGTCTATTGAAAAACATATTCACTTTACATCGAGGTAAAATTGACGATTTGTCCGGTGGCCTGGACGATGCTTTCCACCGGGTACTGACCATTGAGGATAAAGCAAAAGAATATGAAAACAAATATCTTACATCAGTTATCGAACCATCATCTGGACCTTATTCGTCTTGTTGTCCGACCGAAGATCAAGTTTTTGATTACCTGAAAGCGAATCCAATCAATTTAGGTTCTAGATTACAACTAAATGAATTGGTCCTTTGTGGGGTAAAATTGCTCGATTGGATCAAACGTTGTACCAGAATCATAAAGTTTTACGATCTTATTTAGCGATAATCCGACGATATGATGAACAATCACAGAATCGTAAAGGCTACAGAAAATTGGATACTTCGGAAATAGAGAAATATTTATCCTCTAATTTTCCTAATTCTGAATCGGGTTAATTTAATTCATGATAATTGTTCTAAACGAAAGTAAAGATAATTGTGAAATTTTTCTTCTCAATGTTGACCAATGTCCATTTTACTTTACTTTTACCAGAAAAGAAAATCTGTATTCCAAGTAAATCCACTTCCTTGAATAGAAAATTAAACATTTACAACCTTTTTAGATCCAAATTGTTGCATGAAAAGAAAAACAATTAAAATAAATTTCAACAATTACAAAACTGTACAACCAAATGATCAACTGTTGAATGTTAATATTGAGAAATAATCGTTCAGAGTGGTGTTTACCTAGTGCAGGGAAAAGAGACTAAAAAATGGCTACCAAATCATGTTAGTTAATGATTTATGATATAAAATTCAGTGTAAATTAACTCCTTAGACTGAAATGAAACAATGAATTTAATCACATAATTAAATTTACCAAATTTTTATTGATAAACTTGCATTAAAATAGCACCAAGAAAAGAGGCGAGAACGATGAGAATTACATTGACACTCGTTATGACGAAAAAGAAGTTGAAATAATTTATTAAGCGAAAACAAAAGGAACGAAACTGATAATTCGCTTTATAGGCATAGAATTTCGTGAATTCTACCGAACTCGGTCGAACTCTACTGTTCCGATTGGATTAATCAAACTGAAATAATACAAAGAAAAAGAGTTTGGTGAAATAACACTGGTTTAGTTTAGAAACACGATTCGAAATAATTGTTTTGAACAAGAAAATTTTTGCTTAAATTATTTTATTCTCAGTGTAATCATTTTATCATCAGAAAAGTTACAGTTTTTGGATTAAAATACAAATTTTATATCCAAATCTTAATATTCTAGGAGCTATCGATCATCCGGGTCTTTACCAGTTATGGACTTGAATTAACCGATAATAAGTCATCTACGCCGGCTTGACGACATACTTTTCTCGCTTGATCTTCACGTGAGAGTTGCGCTGCGGCAGCTCCAAGAATAAGAGAAACAAAGAGTAATGAAGAAACAAGAACAATAAGGATAATATTTAAATTCATGATGATGAAGAAGTTGATTGATTTTACTTTTGAAACAAAAGAAATGAATCTGATGATAGTCGTCTTGAAATTGATCCTTTTTATATCATTTTATTCGGAAGTTTAATCGACAATTGAACTAACATTGATCATCTTATGCTCTAACTAACTCGAGATTTAGTATATTAATACTATTTACTACATTTCGGATAAGTCCTTAGTCATGCTGATATAAACTTGTTGTTACTGATTTCACAATATTTACTACATTCACAATATTTACATTGAGCACTAGGCATACTGCAGCGACAGTAACGTCTGAGCGCGTATATGCTGGAAAAGGCGAGAAAAGAAAGAGAAAGAAAGAGAAAGAAAGAGAAAGAAAGAGACTGAGAGAAAGAGACTGAGAGAAAGAGAGCGAAAGAGACTGAGAAAGAGACTGAGAAAGAAAGAGAAAGAAAGAGAAAGAAAGAGAAAGAAAGAGAAAGAAAGAGAAAGAAAGAGAAAGAAAGAGAAAGAGAAAGAAAGAGACTGAGAGAAAGAGACTGAGAGGAAGAAAGAGAAAGAGACTGCAAGAAATTAGCAGGTGAGAATTAGTTAGTCAACACAAATAAGATAAACATTTTACTCTTATTCATCTCATATACTGTTTACGTTTCCTTCATTGAAATTTAGAATTGAATTTTTTTGTTCATTTCCTTTGAATATCAAGTGTAGTTGTTAGTTGGTCATCAAAACAAATACAGTCACACCTCTCTAATTTCACCCCACACGACCCAAAAAACTTGTGAAATTTGGGAAATTGTGACTTTATGGAAATCTATTAATTCAGAATTATGAAGGTGAAAATCAATTTTTTTTGCATTTACTTATTGGAATCTTATTTACAACACCGAATTGATCCTTAACCCTCTTCATTATCTCTTGTTGAGTAACTTTTTCTCTTAACTTCGGAAATAGAGAAATATTTATCCTCTAATTCTCCTAATTCTGAATCGGGTTAATTTAATTTATGACAATTGTTCTAAACGAAAGTAAAGACAATTGTGAAATTTTTCTTCTCGATATTGACCAATTTCCATTTTACTTGAAGAAAAATCTGTATCCCAACTAAATCCACTTCCTTGAATAGAAAATTAAACATTTACAATCTTTTAAGATCCAAATTATTGAATGAAAAGAAAAACAATTAAAATAAATTTCAACAATTTCAACCAAATGATCAACTGTTGAATATTGAGAAAGAATCGTCAGGAGTGGTGTTACCTAGTGCAGGGAAAAGAGACTAAAAAATAGCTACGAAATCATGTTAGTTAATTATTTATGATATAAAATTTAGTGTAAATTAACTCCTTAGACTGAAATGAAACAATGAATTTAATCACATAATTAAATTTACCAAATTTTTTATTGATAAACTTGCATTAAAATAGCACCAAGAAAAGAGGCGAGAACGAAGAGAATTATATTGAGACTCGTTGTGACGAAGAAGTTGAAATAATTTATTAGCGAAAACAAGAGGAACGAAACGGTTGATAATTGGCTTGACAGGCAGAGAATTTCATGATGTATCGAATTCTACTGTTCCGATTAAATCATTCGGAACTTCCATTCGAATGATTTATCAAACTGAAATAATACAAAAAAAAATGGTTTGGTGACACGATTCGAAATAATTGTTTTTGATAAGAAAATTGTTGCTTAAATTATTTTATTCTCATTGTAAACATTTTATCATCAGAAAAGTTACAGTTTTTGGAGTAAAATCCAAATGGTATATCGAAATCTAAATATTCTAGGAGCTACTTGGTGGATCATCCGGGTATCTACCAGTAAAAGTCTTGAAACAATCTTTGTAAGCTTGACTTGCAGAGTCGTATTGATAACCACATAAGAATTTCGCATTAGCTTCTTTTGTTAGTTGCGCTATGGCAACTCCAAGGAGAGAAACTAAGGCCCATATTCACCAACCGTAATCAAAAGCTGTAATCAACTGATCCTGGAATCAAAATGATTCCGAGTTTAAAGCATAAAGTAGTTTCACCAAGCCTGATTAGTTGATTCCGGAATCATTGATTCCGACTTTAATTTGATTTAAGCTTAACTCAAATTAATCTTAATTCAATTAAGAAATTGTCCCTAAAAGGGCGTGTTTTTGTCTTTTTTCCCTATTTTTTCATTTTTACCCCTAATTTTTAATTAATTTTTTTAACCAACCGATCATCAAACAAAACAACGGTCACAACAATAAAAAATTATTTCTCTTTAGACAAAAGCGGTTAATTTGAAGTGGATGAATTAATTAATTGTTTATGGAAAAGACTTGAAATTGAGATTGATTTCCAAACAATTAACAAGTTATATGATTACACTGATCAAGTTTTCTAAATATCTTTGTTGAGATTTTTAAGTAAAAAAAAATCTTCTTTACGCTAGCGAAAATTGTAGAAAAATAATAGAGCATTATGGTATAAACCAATTCATTAAAAAAAAATTCGGAAAAAATGAGTTAGATTAGAAAAAAAGAGAAAAAAAAGTCGAAATCAAAATTTGATCATGGTAATTACTAAGATCAAAATTTGATCAGGACTTCTACAATCAAATTGGTTTGATTTTGGTTGGTGAAACAACAATTTGAGCTGAGATCAATTGATTTCGATTGGTGAAACTAGATTTTTTAATTCCGGAATCAAATTGATCCGAACTTAACTTTGATTAGAGATCAAGATTTGATTATGGTTGGTGAAAGACAAAAGCTGTGATTAGCAGATTTAAATCTAGAATCAAATTTGATTACGGTTGGTGAATACGGGCCTAAAACGATGAGAATAATATTGAAATTCATGATAGCGAAAAACAAGTTGATTGATTTCACTTTGAACACAAAACAAATGAAACTGATGACAATCATCTTGAAATTGGTCCTTTTTATTTCATTTTATTCGGAAGTTTAATCGACAATTGAATAAATACGATAATCAACACCAAGCTCATATTCTCAATATTTACCTTAAGTATTATCTTTATGCTTTTACTAACTTTAAACACCTTGTTTATTTTGATTTGAATATCAAGTGATAATTAATTGATCACCAAGAAGAAAATTAATTTACAAGAACAATTAAAAGTAGCAACTGATGAAAGAATCAACCAACATTTAAACTGAGCGTCTAATTCAGTGCCTTAGGCAACCGCCCTGGTGGAAAATGAATCAACCACCAGAGATTATGAAAAACATGTTGGTTTGTTTTCATTTGGTTTTCTGTTCATTTTGTTTATTAATTGTTACTATTTAATAATGTCCGCTAAACAGGTAAGCATTTTCGGTTTGTTTTGTTGCTGATTAAATAATTAGTCATTGTAATTGATCCTTTGTTTTACTTTTGATTGTCTTTGTCCAGGTTATTTTGACTTCCACTTTAAACTCAACTTATTGGTCGGTCAATGTTCAGGATCTGCTCACCGGTACACAAATCACTTCATTCAAGGAAACAATTGCCTGTGGTTATAACAGTTTGGCCTGTCTTTTTGATCAATACCTGATATGTTCCCAGAAGGATTCATCGGTTGTCCATTTGTGGAGTCTAAGGAAGAAAAGTATTGTCCGAACCCGAATGAAGTGTCCAGCAAACGTAACTGCATTGACTGTTACTCCAGACGGAATGTTTATCATTCTAGCTTTGGGTGAAAAGATTTACATCTACATGGTGAGATTAATTTCTCAATATAATTCTCCTTGGCTCTTTTTAATTGTGTTTTGTTTTATTTTCTTTGTCAGACTTCATCAGGACAATTATGTTCCATTCTAGAGAGACATTATCAACCTATTACTGTTATTAGAATGTCTAAATGTGGTTCCTTTTTCATCTCTGGAGGAGAAGATGGATTAGTCCTTCTTTGGATGTTGAATTGTATTCTAAGTACTGGATTTCATGATCAGCAAATTGGTTCGACTAATTCTCCAGATCTTAATCCTAAACACACTTGGTCTCATCATAATGGTCGAGTAACTGATATTCACTGTGGTTATACTGGTATTAGGGGTAAAAGTTGTTCCGTTTCAATTGATTCCACATGTAAAGTAAGTTGAGTGTCTCTATTTCCATTTAGATTAACGATACTGATTAAACTTTGATTTGTTTCTCTTAGATTTATGATAATTATTCTGGTAATTTACTGATTTCAATATCGTTTGATGAACCTCTTTGGTCTGTTGCAATGGATCCTGGTCAGAGTTTTCTATTCGTTGGCGGAGAGAAAGGAAACATTTATGAGACTAAATTGTACGATGAGAAGCAAATTATCAATGATTTGAATCGACCTCAACCAACTGTTCTAACTGCCCATAGGTAAACTACGAGAGTGTTTGATTATTCCAATGAATCATGTGAATAATTTTATTCTTCATCACCAAATAGTTCAAAAGTCACTCATCTCGCGATCTCGATTGATGGATTAGCTTTAATCTCTGGTGGTTATGATGGAAAAGTGATTGTTTGGCATACAATCAGTAAACAGCGAATGAAAACATTTGAAAATCGAGGTAAACAATTTACTAATTTACTAATTTCTTACAATGTAAGACGTGTTTTTATTTGTTAATCACTAATTTTACGATTGTCTTTTCTTCCCTTTCTAGGAGCAATTACAAATCTAATTGTCATGCCAACACCAAGAGGAATTTTGGAAGAGGAAACACCTTTGATTCCTGTTAAATCATTCAAATTAACAAATGATCCTGATTTAGATGCATTTGATAGAGATCTAATCCACACAATTAACGATCAATGTATACCAGATGAGGATGAAATTGAAAACAATCAACAAAATGTTATCAATGTAAGTTGATAATTCCGATAGTTTAGTCACATCTTATTTTCTAATTTTTTATTTTGAATTCAATTTCTCTAGATTAATCAACTTGAAGCAAATGATGAAGAGCCAGAATCCAATCCAGATGATATCGAGAAGATTAAAACAATTAACCAACAAATTTATGAATATTCAGTGAATACAATTTTCAAACAATTGATTAATAAGTAAAACTTTTCATTTTTGCTAATAAACTTTTAGTTTTATTTTCAATTCACGAAAAATGCAAATCAACATTCACTTTTCTTCTTGATTGCTCTGCACCGCAATTTAATGCCTTTAATTCACAGGCTCATTTTTTCAGCAGTTTGAATGAAATTCTCATTGAAAACGCGCAAGAATTTAGGCCTGTCGATCGATATAAAATTGCCAATTTAATCGACGTCATTTTAATCAAGTACAATACGAAACATTTTATATTTTTGACTAAAAAATCAATTGATAAAACAAAATTGCTAATTGGGTAAACCAAAGTAATTTAATATCCAACCAAATAAATTGTCTTTAATTGTTGAAATGAATTGAAGAAATTTCTTGTTGAATTCAAAGCCAAGAAAGGTTAAAATCCCACTAGTTTCAACTTCATCGACTGAGGAACCAACTTCATCTTCTCCGAAAGGAAAGAAAGAAAAGAAAATTTGATTTTTTCGATTAAGATTGGGATGAGGATTAGGGTTAAGGGGATTCATATGTTTTCTTACCTGCGTTGATTGAGACAATTTGCTGAAATAAATTAAAACTGATTATCAAAACTAAGATAATTGGTACTCTCATTGTGACTTGGTTAAAGTTGGAAACTCACAAAATCAATGGTTGATTAAATTTAATTTGATTAACTTTGATGTTTGATTACTTTTGATCAACTAAAAAGTAATTTAACTTGTCTACTGCTTTTAAATAGCCAATCGTTAATTTTTTAATTGTCGTCGTTTGGAATATAAATTTTCATCTTATTATCATCACTATTTCAACGGTTATAGTTTAGTAACACGATTTGAAATTATTGTTTGGATAAGAAAAATGTTTCAAGTTATTTTATTCTCAGTGTAATTATTTCATCATCAGAAATTTACAATTTTCGAGTAAAATCCAAATTTGATATCCATATCTCAATTTTCTAGGATCTACTCTATGGAGCATCCGGGTATTTACCAGTATAACCCTTGATACATCTCTGTATCCTAGGTAATTCTGATTGTTTAATCCACTGCATACTAGTTTCGCTTCGTCTTAAGATATTGCGAGGGCAGCTCCAAAGAGAGAAACTAGAACGACAAGAATAAGATATAAATTCATTGTAATGAAGAACAAGTTTGTTGATTTCACTTTGAACACAAAACAAATGAAACTGTTGATGATTCGCTTATGAATCAATTCTTTTTATATCATTTCATTCGGAAGTTTAATAGACAATTGAACTAACTTTGAGCTCATATTCTCAATATTTACCTTGGGTAATATCTTTATGCTTTTACTAACTTTAAGCACCTTTTTTTTATTTGAATATCAAAAGATAATTAGTTGATCATCAAGACAAATATTCCATTTATTAGAACAATCAAAAGCAGCAATTGATGAACGAATCAACTAACATTTAAACTGAGCGTCTAATTCAATGGCTTAAGCAACCGGGTTGGTGAAAATGAATCAACCACCAGAGATCAGATTGTAATGAACAGATTGTTTTCTTTTCATATTGTTGATTAATTGTTACCATTTAATAATGTCCGCTAAACAGGTAAGCATTTTTGGTTTGTTTTGTTGCTGATTAAATAATTAGTTATTGTAATCGGTCCTTTGTTTTACTTTTGATTGTCTTTGCCCAGGTTATTTTGACTTCCACTTTGAACTATCTATTTCTCCATTCTTTATTTTTATTTAGATTAACGGTACTGGTTGATTAACTTTGATTTGTTTCTCTTAGATTTATGATAATTATTCTGGTAATTTATTGATTTCAATATCGTTTGATGAGCCTCTTCGGTCTGTTACAATGGATCCTGGTCAGAGTTTTCTATTCGTTGGTGGAGAGAAAGGAAACATTTATGAGACTAAATTGTACGATGAGAAGCAAATTATCAATGATTTGAATCGACCTCAACCAACTGTTCTAACTGCCCATAGGTAAACTACGAGAGTGTTTGATTTTTCCAATAAATCATGTTAATAATTATATTCTTCATCACCAAATAGTTCAAAAGTCACTCATCTCGCGATCTCGATTGATGGATTAGCTTTAATCTCTGGTGGTTATGATGGAAAAGTGATTGTTTAACATACAATCTGTAAACAGCGAATGAAAACATTTGAAAATCGAGGTAAACAATTGATTAATAAGTAAAACCGAATTAGGCATTAATTGGAAGACTCGATAGAGACAATAAATTCAATGCCTGATTTACAGAATCATTTTTTCATCAATTTTAATGAAATTCTCATTGAAAACACGCAAGAATTTAGGCCTGTTGATTGATATTAAATTGCTGATTTGAGCGATGTCATTTTAATCAATTACAATATGAAATATTTTTTATTATTGACTAAAAAATCAATTGATAAAACAAAATTAAATAATTGGGTAAACCAAAGTAATTTGAAATCCAAAAGAAGATCCTTTAATTGTTGTCATGCATTCAATCCCGCAAGCCTCAACTTCGTCGGATAGAGGACCAACTTCCGCTTTTTTCGAAAACAAATAATAAGTTGAGCAGCAAAAATATGATTAAATTATTTTATTTCGCAGATTGGGTAAGACTCAAGATATGTCCGTCAGCTCGATATTTTAACTTAGAGCTGATTTTTTTTCGGCTTAAAGTTCAAGCTACATATGAAAATGAATAAGAATGAAGAGAATATCGAGCTGACGGACATATCTTGAGTCTGACCGATTAACCATAGCAATGGGAATCAGAAGATTAGCCATATTTTTGGTTAGTATTTCTCGCAGCTTCTAGACAATTTACGAGTTCATATTGTGTTTCTTTTGTATTGGATTTGGTTTTGAATTTCGTAATACATTCGATTCGAGCAATTTGAGAGGTGGATACTCTAGCTAAAGCATATCCAATAACGAAAATTAGAATGATAAAAAGAAGATGGAAATTCATGGTGATAATAACAAATAAGAAGAAAAAGTTTATGAGATGATTGATTTTGAACAAAAGAAATAAAACTGATGATAATCTTCTTGAAATTGATCCTTTTTATATTATTAATATTTCATTCGGAAGTTTGTGCTACAACTGCATAAACATTAATCTTGTATACTAAATATTTACCTTAAATATTATCATTATGCTTTTACTAACTTTAATTACCTTGTTTATTTTGATTTGAATATAAAGTGAGAATTAGATAGTCATCAACAAAATAATATAAACGTTTAAATAGCAATTCAATGATTAAATTTTAATTTCAATTGTAAATCTATTTGACTTTTGGTACATATGATTCAGTTCATATACTGTTTCCGTTTCCTTCATTGAAATTTACAATTAAATCTATTTGGTTTACCAAATGAAAGTTTAATTAGATTTAATCATCTAATCGGGTATTTAAATTGAAAGTTAAAACTTTTATTCAATTGATTGAGATTCAACAACAATACAGAATGTTTTAACAAGAGACTTCATTGTGTTTCCTTTACTCATTTCTTACAATAAAAAGTTTTACTTTTAGTACAAAAATTATAAAACTGCTCTGATTATTGTTCTTTAAATAATTTTATTCGAAAGTTTAAATGGAAATTAAATAAACATTATAATAGTTAAGCTCTGGTCTCTGACCCCTTTGGTCTGTAGCCATGGATCCTGGTCAGAGTTTTTGATCTCAAATATTAATAGATTCAAAAGTCACTCATTTAGCAATCTCAATTGTGTATGTGGATCAACTTTAATCTCTGGTCGTTATGATGGAAAGTGATTGTTTGTCAAACAATCAAATTGCATTTTTTCGCATTATCGCTGATTTAAGTTCGCTAATTGATATTTTAATCTTTTCCTCTATCTATCTATCTCTATCTAATCGTGTATCATTGTGTTTAATTTTCCTCATTTCTTTCAATCAAAAGTTTTACTTTAAGTACCAAAATCATACAACTGCTCTGATTATTATTCTTTGTATAATTTTATTTGAAAATTTAGTCGAAAATTAAATAAACATTCTAATAGTTAAGCTCTGGTCTTATCTTTATGCCGACTTTAATTATTCCGTCTAATTTGATTTTTTTGATGAAATCAGAAAGTCCTTCTTCTTGATTTCCTTGCACCATAACATTTTAGTTTACCTTTACCACAAAACCAACTGAATTAGGCATATGCCTAATTAATATTAATTGGAAGACTCGATAGAGACACTAAATTGTGCGTTATTTAGATATCAGATTACGAACCCAACGCTTGATTTAAAGGCTCATTTATTTGTGCATCAATTTGAATGCAATTCTCTGAAAACCGGGAAGAATTTCGGCCTGTCGATCGATATTAAATTGTCGATTTAAAATTCAAAATTCTCTTTTTCGTAGTAAGAAAGAAAAAAGAATTTGTGTTTTCGATTAAGATTTGGATATGGATTAGAAATGAGGGGATGTTTCAATAGCAACTTGCTATTAGCAAGTAAATCAGAAATCGTCTTCATATTCTCAGCATCAATTATATTATCAGCCTTCTGATCGTTTTGATTGCTCATCTTGCTACTGGTCCGGCAGAAGAAACCAGAGGATTTAGTAGTGAAAGATCCAGGATCTTAACTAATAATATTGTTGGGGATCGAAATGATTAAAAATAATTCGAAACTCATTTTTCACGGCTGTATGACTAGTGGCAAGGTGACCTTGATTTTGATTTTAATATCAAGTGAAAACTAGTTAGTCATCAACACGAATCATGTAAACATTTATACAGCAATTCAATGATCAATTAAAAATTTATGTGACTTTTGGTGCATTTTATTTAGTTCATATACTGTTTCCGTTTCCTTCAGTGAAATTTAGAATTGAGGCTATTTTGTTTCACTAAATGAATGTTTAATCAACTCATCAGGTATTCAAATAAAATGACAATAAAGTCTTATTCAATTGATTGAGATTCAATGAAACTACAAATTGTTTCAACAAGAGACTTTATTGTCATAAATAATAAAACTACTCTGTTTGCTGTTTCCGTTTCCTTCATTGGAACTTAAAATTAAATCTGTTTTGTTTTACCAAGTGAATGTTTAATCAGATTTAATCAACTCATTTATTTTAATAAAAGTTTTACTTTTAGTACCAAAATCATAAAACTGCTCTGATTATTGTTCTTTATTGGGAAGTTTAATCGACAATTGAATATCAAAAGATAATTAGTTGATTACCAAGACAAATATTAATTTATAAGAACAATTAAAAGTAGCAAGCTGATGAGCGAATCAACCAACATTTAAATAGAGCGTCTAATTCAGTGCCTTAGGCAACCGGGTTGGTGAAAATGAATCAACCACCAGAGATCAGATTGTAATGAACATGTTGTTTTGTTTTCATTTGGTTTTCTGTTCATTTTGTTGATTAATTGTTACTATTTAATCATGTCCGCTAAACAGGTAAGCATTTTTGGTTTGTTTTGTTGCTGATTAAATAATTAGTCATTGTAATCGGTCCTTTGTTTTACTTTTGATTGTCTTTGTCCAGGTTATTTTGACTTCCACTTTAAACTCAACTTATTGGTCGGTCAATGTTCAGGATCTGCTCACCGGTACACAAATCACTTCATTCAAGGACACTGTGGTTATACTGGTATTAGGGGTAAAAGTTGTTCCGTTTCAATTGATTCAACATGTAAAGTAAGTTGAGTGTCTCTATTTCCATTTAGATTAACGATACTGATTAAACTTTGATTTGTTTCTCTTAGATTTATGATAATTATTCTGGTAATTTACTGATTTCAATATCGTTTGATGAACCTCTTTGGTCCGTTACAATGGATCCTGGTCAGAGTTTTCTATTCGTTGGCGGAGAGAAAGGAAACATTTATGAGACTAAATTGTACGATGAGAAGCAAATTATCAATGATTTGAATCGACCTCAACCAACTGTTCTAACTGCCCATAGGTAAACTACAAAGTGGTTTGATTATTCCAATGAATCATGTGAATAATTTTATTCTTCATCACCAAATAGTTCAAAAGTCACTCATCTCGCGATCTCGATTGATGGATTAGCTTTAATCTCTGGTGGTTATGATGGAAAAGTGATTGTTTGGCATACAATCAGTAAACAGCGAATGAAAACATTTGAAAATCGAGGTAAACAATTTACTAATTTACTAATTTCTTACAATGTAAGACGTGTTTTTATTTGTTAATCACTAATTTTACGATTGTCTTTTCTTCCCTTTCTAGGAGCAATTACAAATCTAATTGTCATGCCAACACCAAGAGGAATTTTGGAAGAGGAAACACCTTTGATTCCTGTTAAATCATTCAAATTAACAAATGATCCTGATTTAGATGCATTTGATAGAGATCTAATCCACACAATCAACGATCAATGTATACCAGATGAAGATGAAATTGAAAACAATCAACAAAATGTTATCAATGTAAGTTGATAATTCCGATAGTTTAGTCACATCTTATTTTCTAATTTTTTATTTTGAATTCAATTTCTCTAGATTAATCAACTTGAAGCAAATGATGAAGAGCCAGAATCCAATCCAGATGATATCGAGAAGATTAAAACGATTAACCAACAAATTTATGAATATTCAGTGAATACAATTTTCAAACAATTGATTAATAAGTAAACATTTATTTTCATTTTTGCTAATAAACTTTTCGTTTTATTTTTTATTCACGAAAAATTTAAATCAACATTGCCTTTTCTTCTTGATTTCTCTGCTCCATAATATCTTAGTTGACCAAAAACCAACCGAATTAGGCATTAATTGGAAGCCATGAAAGAGACGCTATTTGAAATAATTGTTTGGATTCGAAAAATGTTGTCTGAATTATTTCAACACGAAAAGTTACAATTTTTCGAGTGAAATACAAATTTTGACTCTTAAAGTCTGAATATTCTAGGAGCTATCGTTAGAGTATCTACCAGTATAAGTCGTGCAACAATCTTTGAGATATTGACTTTATATGAGTTTTGTTGGAAGTCAGTTACTACTAAGGCAATTCCGAAGAGAGAAACTAGAACGATAAGAATAAGATTTAAATTCATTGTAATCAAGAAGAATATCTTTTCTCTATATCGGACTTATTCTTTGAATAGGCTGAAATTCTAATTTTATTTTCTCCTTCTCTTCATTACAAACCTAATGAGTTGACCGTTTTTGGACCTAATCTTCACCTTCGTAGCAATCTAAATTCATTGTAATGAAGAAGTTGATTGTTTTCAATTTGAACACAAAACAAATGATGAAACTTATGATAATCGTCTTGAAATTGATCCTTTTAATATCATTTGATTGGGAAGTTTAATCGATAATTGAACTAACATTGATCATCTTATGCTCTAACTAACTCGAGATTTAGTATGTATTAATACTATTTACTACACATTTCGGATAAGTCCTTAGTCATTAACACGATATAAACTTGTTGGTAATTTACTGATTTCAATATCGTTTGATTAACCTCTTTTCTTACCTGCTTTGATTGAGACAGTTTGATGAATTAAATTAAAACTGATTATTAGAACTAATTTGATTAACTTTGATGTTTGATTACTTTTGATCAACTAAAAAGTAATTTAATTTAACTTGTTAACTGCTTTTAAATAGCCAATTGTTAATTGTCAATTGTTGTTGTCGTCGTTTAGGATACTGGGATATAACTTTTGATATTATTACTATCACATATTCCAAGGGTTATAGTTTAGAAACACGATTCAAGATATTATTTTGGATAAGAAAATTGTTGCTTAAATTATTTTATTCTCATTGTAATCATTTTATCATCAGAAAAGTTACAGTTTTTGGAGTAAAATCTAAATTTTATATCCAAATCTCAATATTCTAGGAACTATCCTCTGGATCATCCGGGTACTTACCAGTGAGAACCATGAAACAATCTGCGTAACCTTCACGTCCTTCGGGGAATAAACGACGGCATTCTAATTTCGCATCAGTATTAGCTTTTCGTGAGAGTTGCGCTGTGGCAGCTCCAAGAATAAGAGAAACTAGAACGATAAGAATAATATTGAAATTCATGATAACGAAAAACAAGTTGATTGATATCACTTTGAACACAAAACAAATGAAACTGAAGATAATCGTCTTGAAATTATCCTTTTTATATCATTTTATATTTTTTGTTCGGAAGTTTAATCGACAATTGAATAAATACGATAATCAACACCAAGCTCATATTCTCAATATTTACCTTAAGTATTATCTTTATGCTTTTTCTGCCTTTAATTACCTTGTTTATTTTGATTTGAATATAAAGTGAGAATTAGATAGTCATCAACACAAATAATATAAACATTTTAAATTTCTTATGTATAAGAACAGTTAAAAGTAGCAACTCAATGATTAAATTTGCATCGTAATTAAAAATCTATTTGACTTAGTGTACAGTTTATATACTGTTTCCGTTTCCTACATTGAAATTTAGAATTGAATTTGTTTTGTTTTACCAAATGAATTTTTGATAAGATTTAATCAACGCATCGGGAATTCAAATAAAGCGTAAAAAAGTTTTATCAGAAATCATTTTCATCTTCTAATTTAATTTAGTTCATTTTTCTTTTAATGTAAACAGAACTATTAAATGACAATTAGTCAAAAAATTAATTATCTCAATGATCATAATGAACTTTGCTTTTGAAAAGTAAAAATGAACAATCAGCTTATCAAACAATAAAGAAAATTGAAGAGAAAAATAAATGATTTAATTATCACTTTCACCTAAAAATGGGTTCAATTTGTTTCCATGTTTTTTACGATTTGGGATGATGAGGTGATGTGACGTTGAAATGATTAATTAGTGTTGATTAACTGATTCCCAACACTTTTGCTCTGAGCTATAAAAAGGATGAGTTTTCAATTGAATTTGCATCAGTTCCATTCAACTTGATTTCCATCAACAACAATCAAAGTTTCACTCGTTTTACTTTCACAAAAGTGATGATTATCATCATGAATTTCAGCTTTGTGGAAGTCCTTGTGCTTCTCATTACTCTCATTGGAGCTACGTTAACCATCGTTTCTGCAAAGAGGTTTGGAGATGTACAGGATAAAGAGCACCATCACAAAACTGGTCTAAAAAGTTATCATTTACCATTGAAGAGACATTGTCTATGGAGATTTTTACATGAAAATTGATTCTAAATCAAGAACTTCATGAAAATCGGCTCTTTATGGAAAATCAATGGTAAATGATTTTTTGATTAAATTTAAATAAAATTTGAACTTGATCGTTTTAATTGTTCAAATTTATCCAATAGTAGCTCAAAAATCCAAAGAATATTTTGTTTTAATTTTAATCTTCGAAAGTTCAATATTCATCGAAAAAATGACCTCCGAATAAAAAAGATCGAAAAACAAAAATTCTATCACTTTAGATAAAATTAAATTGTAATTAAACTAATCATCATAAAATGATCATTTATGTATCATGTTAAAGCTTATTATCTAACCTCTCTAATTATACTAAATTTATTAATCAAAAATCTAAAGTTTTTTAACAATCAAGCAAAATGTAAGCTCGAAAAAATTTTGGCCATTACTTAGTTGTTTACCTAATAAGTAAAACTTTTCATTTTTGCTAATAAACTTTTAGCTTTATTTTCAATTCGCGAAAAATTTAAATCAACATTCACTTTTCTTCTTGATTTCTCTGCACCGTAATCACTTATTATAATCGTCTTGAAAAGGATCCTTTTTATATCATTTGATTGGGAAGTTTAATCGATAATTATTTTATTCTCAGTGTAATCATTTCGTTAACAGAAAACAGTTGACCGTTTTTGGAGTAAAATCTAAAATCTAAATTTTATATCTAAATCTCATTATTATAGTGAATACCCTTTGCCCCATCTGGGTGATTATCGGTGATAGTCTTGATACACTTTTCGTAACCTTGACTTATTTCGGGGAATAGATTGCATTTTAATTTTGCAATAGCTTCAGATGTTAGTTCCGCTGCGGCAGCTCCAAGGAGAGAAACTAGAACGATAAAAATAATATTGAAATTCATGATAGCGAAAAACAAGTTGATTGGGCTCACTTTGAACAGAAAACAAATGAAACTGAAGATAATTGTCTTGAAATTGATCCTTTTTATATCATTTTATTCGGAAGTTTAATCGACAATTGAATAAACATTGATCTCATTTCCTGATGATTAACCTTTGATATTATCTTTATGCTTTTGCTAACTTTAATTACCTTGTTTATTTTGATTTACATATCAGGTGAGAATTAGATAGTCATCAACACGAATAATATAAACATTTAATATACACTTTCACCTTAAAATGGGTTTATATTGTTTCCATGTTTTTTACGATTTGGGATGATGAGGTGATGTGGCGTTGAAATGATTAATTATTGTTGATTAACTGATTCCCAATGCTTTTGCTCTGAGCTAAAAAAGGATGAGTTTTCAATTGAATTTGCACCAGTTCCATTCAACTTGATTTCTATCAACAACAATCAAAGTTTCTTGTTTTACTTTGTAAAAGTGATAAAATTTACTATTGTAGGTGTGGATCAACTTTAATCTCTGGTGGTTATGATGGAAAAGTAATTGTTTGGCAAACAATCAAATTGCATTTATTTCAAATTATCGCTGATTTAAGTTCGCCAATTGATATTTTAATCTTTTCCTCCAATCGTGATAAGCCAATGCACAAGATTATCCTATCTTTTTGTCCTCGAAAAATTCAATGGTACACGAAATGATTGTTTTGAATAAGAAAATTGTTGCTTAAAGCATTTTATTCTTACAAGTTGTCACATTATCAGTGTAATTCATCAGAGGGAAAGTTACAATAATACGAGTGAAATATAAATTTTGAATTATTTAAATCTTACGGGTAGTGAACATTAGTTTGCATCCAACACTTTTTGTAAATTTCAGTCATTAAACCCAAATTTTTGCTGGTAGCGCTCCGGTAGCTCCGCTAAGAGAAACTAGACCGATAAGAATAATATTTAAATTCATTTTGCTGAAGAAGTTGATTGATTTCACTTTGAACACAAAACAAATGAAACTGTTGATGTTTTGCTTGTAAATTGATCATTGAATAAACATTGATCTCTTATTCTAATGATTGCCTTTAGTATTATCTTTATACTGTTACTAGAAAAAGAAAAAGAATGTTTTTTTCGATTAGGATTATGATGAATTGAATCTTAAAATAAGAATGATTCCGAATCGCGAAATAATTGGTTGAATGACAAAAATATGATTAAATTATTTATTAGATTTTATTCGTTTCATATCATCAGTGATTACAGTTCGTGGATTGAGGTTTTTATCTCTTTCATCAATCGTCTGAATCATCCGGGAATTTACCAGTATAAGTCTTGAAACAATTTTTGTAACCTTGACTTTTTCTGTCGAATGCAACGCATCGGAATCTCGCTTGGGATTCGGATATTTGCGCTGCGGTAGCTCCAAGAAGAGAAAACAGAACGATAAGAATAATATTGAAATTCATGATGATGAAGAAGTTGATAGAACACAAAACTAATGGAACTGTTGATGATTCGCTTGTAAATTGATCCTTTTTTATATCATTTCATTCGGAAGTTTAATCGACAATTGAATAAACATTGATCTCATATTCTAATGATTGCCTTTAGTATTATCTTTATACTGTTACTAGAAAAAGAAAGAGAATGTTTTTTTCGATTAGGATTATGATTTGAATATGGCTCTATGATTTACTACACATTTCGGATAAGTCCTTAGTCATTAACACGATATAAACTTGTTGGTAATTTACTGATTTCAATATCGTTTGATTAACCTCTTTTCACCTGCTTTGATTGAGACAGTTTGATGAATTAAATTAAAACTGATTATTAGAACTAATTTGATTAACTTTGATGTTTGATTACTTTTGATCAACTAAAAGTAATTTAATTTAACTTGTTAACTGTTTTAAATAGCCAATTGTTAATTGTCAATTGTTGTTGTCGTCGTTTAGGATACTGATATAACTTTTGATATTATTACTAATACATATTCCAAGGGTTATAGTTTAGAAACGATTCAAGATATTATTTTGGATAAGAAAATTGTTGCTTAAATTATTTTATTCTCATTGTAATCATTTTATCATCAGAAAAGTTACAGTTTTTGGAGTAAAACCCAAATTTCTTATCCAAATCTTAATATTCTAGGAACTATCCTCTGGATCATCCGTGTATTCATTGGTGCGGTATGTACACTGCAAATTATATTCCTTTCCTTTGTCGCGATAACATGGTTCTCTCGCGTCATCTTCAGGTTTAAAAAGGTTGTTTCGTTTAAAAAAGATCAAGGTAAACAAACTAATCAGTAACTTAACTCACTTAAAAAGATGATGAAGATGAAGGTGATGATATGGAAAAGGTCAACACTTTGCCTTTGATCTCTGTTGTTTTTCATTTTCATTTTCATTTTCACCTTCAATTTTATTTTGTCTTTTTCTTAATCATCATTGATATACAGTCCATTCACTTAGTTTAGGAATCGTCTTCTTTTGGGTCTAATTCTCTTGAGAGTTGAGATAAATTTATGAAATTTTATATTTTTATTTCCAGTAACATGGCCTATGCATATGCCGAATATAAAATTCTCAGCACTAAAGGCCATTTAATTATTAAATTTCGAAGTTTATTTTATTGAAAATGATATTCAATTAGTTTAGGAATTTGGCCTGAATCGAGGTAATTCTTCGCTGAATTGATCTGATCTTTTTTCTTATGATATAATTAGTTTATTGTAATATTCAGGCCAAAATTCAGATCAATTGGTCGAATAATTAACGAAATAATTAGAAAAATAAATTAACATTGATTTGTATGGGAATTTAACTTTCGAGTTCGAACTTTTGTCCATAAAAAAGCCATTTATCGACATTTTTCTCTGAAATTTTTTTCTAAGGTCAAATAATAGTCCAGTCATAGGATAAGATTGGTTTTAAATCGTCTAAATTCTGGAAAAAACTTTTATTCAGTTTTGAACATTCGAAAGTATTTTTTTACATTCGAGACATTGAATTTCCATAAAATTTCGTCTATTTTTGTTTAAAATTAGATAAAAGTTTTTCTAGTGTTTTGACGATTGAAAACTAATTGTGAGCTATATCTGGACTATTATTTGACCTTAGAAAAAAATTTCAGAGAAAAATGTCGATAAATGGCTTTTTTATGGACAAAAGTTCGAACTCGAAAGTTAAATTCCCATACAAATCAATGTTAATTTATTTTTCTAATTATTTCGTTAATTATTCGACCAATTGATCTGAATTTTGGCCTGAATATTACAATAAACTAATTATATCATAAGAAAAAAGATCAGATCAATTCAGCGAAGAATTACCTCGATTCAGGCCAAATTCCTAAACTAATTGAATATCATTTTCAATAAAATAAACTTCGAAATTTAATAATTAAATGGCTTTAGTGCTGAGAATTTTATATTCGGTATATACAGCCATGTTACTGGAAATAAAATATAAAATTTCATAAATTTATCGCTACTCTCAAGAGAATTAGACCCAAAAGAAGACGATTCCTAAACTACAGTCAAACCATTTAGGTTGAACCAAGTTTCTATTTAGCTCAGAATATTTTCTATTTAGTTTGAACTTGCCATCGGCTAATCCATCGGGTTAATCCGTTTTCTCTAGAAAGGTTGAAATTTTCTCTATTTCCTCGAGAAGATTTTCTATTTAGTTTGAACATTTCCTTCTGATTTCTGAAAGAAAAGAAAAAATTAATTGTGGAAAATTATAATTAATTAATATACAATTATACAATTAATTGAGTTCACATTAACTGATAACAATGAAGAGATTTGATTACTTTTTAAACTTTTATTATAATTTTCCACAATTAATTTTTCCTTTTCTTCACTGATTCGAACCATGGTTATGAACAGAATGAGAAATCAGAAGGAAATGTTCAAACTAAATAGAAAATCTTCTCGAGGAAATAGAGAAAATTTCAACCTTTCTAGAGAAAACGGATTAACCCGATGGATTAGCCGATGGCAAGTTCAAACTAAATAGAAAATATTCTGAGCTAAATAGAAACTTGGTTCAACCTAAATGGTTTGACTGTAAGTGAATGGACTGTAATTTTTTTAGGTAGATCGAGGCATTGATAAGTTTGTTTACTTTTGTCTTTTTCATCCGAAACATGTTTACTTTGCGCTGCTCCAAGGAGAGAAACTAGAACGATAAGAATAAGATTGAAATTCATGGTAACGAAGAAGAAGAAGTTGATTGATTGATTTCACTTTGAACACGAAACAAATGAAACTGTTGATGATTTGCTTGTAAATTGATCCTTTTTTATATCATTTCATTCGGAAGTTTAATCGACAATTGAATAAACATTGATCTCATATTCTAATGATTGCCTTTAGTATTATCTTTATACTGTTACTAACTAAAATTACCTGTTTATTTTGATGTGAATATTAGGTGAGATTTAGTTAGTCATCAAGACAAATATTCGGTAAGACTCAAGATATGTCCGTCAGCTCATTTTCAATTTCCAGCTAAATGTTTTCCGGTTTAAGGTTCGATTTGATTGTCTCATATGTCTTTGGTCATAAGGACCCCTAATAGTGAAGACCTAACCTAATTTAAACAAAAACAATTAACTTAACTGAATTAAGTTCATTCTCATAAGTAGTTTGAACTTTAAGCCGAAAAAAATCAGCTCAAAGTCTTCACTATTTAGGGTCATTATGACCAAAGACCTATGAGACAATCAAATCGAACCTTAAGCCAAAAATTGAAAATGAGCTGACGAATATATCTTGAATCTTACCAAATATTAATTTATAAGAATAATTAAAAGTAGCAACTGATGGACGTTGTTTTACTTGATTTAAATATCAGGTAAGAATTAATTTGTTATCAACACAAATACACTGTATAAACAGAATACAAAAAATAAACATTTACATGGTAATTCAATGATTAAATTTTCATCTCAATTAAAAATTTATTTGACTTTTAGTACAGTTTATTCAGTTCGTTCCGTTTCCTTTATAATTCGAAAATTAATTAACTGATCTGTTTGATCTTTGCTTAAATCGATTATTCAAGTTTGGGAGATTAGTTTAGACATATAAAAAAAAATGTTCGATTGAATTAATCCGTTTAATTTTCGAATCGATCGAAACGAAGACCATTTTTACACAAAAACTAATGAACCTCTATGGGTTATCATTTTAAACTAAACTAAATCTTTTTAGAAACTGGAGTAAACTTGAAGCTCAGTTCAAGACTATCCTTCAGAAAAAGGCTGAATTTTGTTCATTTCTTCAGGGAAAACATTTCAGACACGTATTAAAATGATCTCCCAAATCTTATCTACAATTTGGTTCCTTTTTTAATTAATAAAAATCTTTGACTCAAAAGTTGTCATCAAATTAAAGTGTAAAAATAAATTGACAATCCTGTATAATTTATTTTGTTTTACCAAATGAATGTTTAACCAGATTTAATCAACTAATCAGGTATTCAAACTAAAGGTAGAAAATTTTATTCAAATATAATACAAATGACTGAATAATAAACTATAAGCTTCATTTTGTTTCCTTTTCCTCATTTATTAGGTTGACTAGAAATTAATCTCGGTTTTTTGATTATTGAATATTTACTAAATTAATTATCCATAGCAATTAAGAAATATTAATGACATTTTTAGATGCTATTTTTATTCAATATTTTGAGGTTTTTGGTAAAGATTTCTACCATTTCAACGGAACTTTAGGCCATTTTTGATTTCCGACCAGTTCCGGAAATGGCCTTACAATTTCTGTTTCAAACAATTGATTAATAAGTAAACATTTTCATTTTTGCTAATAAACTTTTCGTTTTATTTTCAATCCATGGAAAATACGAATCAACATTCACTTTCCTTCCTGATTTCTCTGCATTGTAAAATCTTACAATTGTTAGTTTATCTGTTAACTCAAAACCAACCGAATTGAGCATTAATTGGAACACTCGATAGAAACACTGAATTTAATGCCTGATTCACAGGGTCATTTTTTCATCAATTTGAATGAAATTCTCATTGAAAACCGGCAAGAATTTAGGCCTGTCGATCGATATTAAATTGCCGATTTAATCGACGGCATTTTAATCAAGTACAATACGAAACATTTTATATTTTTGACTAAAAAATCAATTGCTAAAACAAAATTGCTAATTGGGTAAACCAAAGTAATTTAGTATCCAACCAAATAAATTGTCTTTAATTGTTGAAATGAATTCAAAAATTTCTTGTTGAATTCAAAACCAAGAAAGGTTAAAATCCCACTAGTTTCAACTTCATCGTCTGAGGAACCTTCATCTTCTTCTAAAGGAAGAAAGAAAAGAAAATTTGATTTTTTCGATTAAGATTAGGATGAGGATTAGGGTTAAGGGGATTAATATGTTTTCTTACCTGCGTTGATTTAATTTGATTAACTTTGATGTTTGATTACTTTTGGTCAACTAAAAAGTGATTTAACTTGTTAACTGCTTTTAAATAGCCAATTGTTAATTGTTAATCGTTTTTCCAATGTAATTTGTTTTATGATCATTATTGGTATTGCAAATGAATCGTTTAATTTTCTTGGATGATAATCAGAATCTCATGAGATGAACAATTAACATTAAGACTAAATTAAGTCCGGAAATTATGATTTTAACATTTGACTTTTTATTTCCAATGATTTAATTGATTATTGGAAGTTTCCAATAAATGATTTAAAGGCAATTAATTGATAAATAATTAATTGCTAATTAATAATCGCTTCTACTCCTCTATTCTTGATCCAAGAGGATTAGTTGGTTTATAATCACAGCATAAATCCCAAAACTTATAACCAATTGTCAAACTATTACTCTTACTTTTATTATTGTCAATACTTAGTGTTAAGAATTTTTCCTACTAATTACAGTTTTGGGTACGGACAATTTCAGGTACTTGACTGTACCAAGTTCGAAATGAAGTTATTAATAAGATAAAAAAGTGAATATTTTACCAGCTGATTTTGTTGAGCTCAATTTCTAGAAATAATAATTTGATTAAATTTTCCGCGTAAATTGTTTCTTTCGGCTTCCTAATAGATGTCACCCTTTTCGTAAGCATGTGGATACAAACACATGATCACAATTACTCATTTTTCAAGTGAAATTATTTATTGTGATTGGTGTTAATTCAATATTTAATTAGTTGTTTTAATTTTCATCATTATGGAAGTTAGAAGTGAAACTCAACCAGAAGTTAAACCGAAACCCAAATTACATATTTGGAATCAAATATTGGAAGACGACGAGTTGTCTGAAAAGCTAAATGCGTCTATGAGTAAATTGGGCGATGAATTTGCTCGAAGGTTTATCCGAAAGAGAGGAAAGAAAAATAAGAAAAAGAAAAAAGGTAAAAAAAATTCGAATTCCATTTCAAATGTTACTAATAATGAAGTTGGTAAAACCAATGGAGCCACAATTAGTAAATCTAAAGATTTGAAACCAGAAGTTAAAAGTCAAAATGTTGGCCATTCGCAGAAACCTCAATCGAATCAAGCTAATCTCAGAACTGAGAACAATCAACAAAGAGGTAATCTAGATTTCATGAATCACTTTAATTTCTTCCTCATCTCTTAATCCTTGAATCATCAGTCATTAGTTCATTGACTTAAATTTAACCACTTAAAATGTTTTCTCGCAAATTCTAATTTCGAATTCTTTTTAATGACTCATTTGTGTTGCTAATTGTTCTTTGTTTTTTTCTCATTAGCTGGTGGAGTTTCTCAGAAATCGAAAAGGAAAAGTAAACTACCGGATAATGTATTACAAGCAGAGGCCAAAAACATTTGTAAAAAACTCAAAGAGAAACGAATTGATTTAATAAGTAAGTTTTTCTCATCGTTTACAATTGATTTATTTTCATCGAAATCTTTTTCACATTCAATATTTATTCTCGGTCCTTTCATTTCTTCTCTAATTACTCAATAGTTCGTACTATTCGCCATCTTGGTCTTGATGAAGCGATGAAACTTTGCTCCGAAGTCTTGACCATCGAAGAAGCCGGTGGCTTAATGACGTTGAATGGAATCAGAAGAAGAACCCCAGGAGGAATATTCTTTCATCTTATAAGAAGTAATGGTCGATATGAAGCCAGTATTGTTAGTAAAATCTTCAAAGACGGCGAAACCAAAGAACCAGTAAGTATTTCAAGTTGATCATGTTCGACCGAATCTAATTCATTTTCTTGCTTAACTATCTCTTTCTATTAGGTATTCAAACAACGAAATAAGACAAGAAACATTATTGCAACTGCTAACAATGTTACTGATGTCAAAGTGACTAATGAAAAGTCAAGTATTATGAATGGTTCGACAGTTCAACCCATTGAAGAGGCTTCATCAAATGTACCAGTTCCAATGGTTTCACCTTTTATCTCGATTGTACCGATCGAATCGATTAAACCGATTGAACCGATTTCACCTTCACCATTAACTCAGTCAGCTCAACCAATTGAAGAGCAACCAGTTGAATCTATCAATCCAGCTACTCAAGCTCCTGAGGCTATTAATCCTGATACGAGGATGGATCAAGACGATGACGATTATGAAAATTCAAATCTAGTTATCGTTGAATATGATTCAGCTGCCATAGAAAATGGAAACGCTAATCCCAATTCTGAACAATTAGTCAAATGTACCTTTCCAGTTAACCCAATTTCACCAGATCTCAACATTTTATACCAACAACCATCATCACAAACCGTTAACTCAAATGTTCCAATATTTTCATCAAATCGTATCTCCGTTGACGCTTGACTTTTTCAAACTTCATCTCAGAATCAAGTCTTATTTTGAACTCCTGTAAAAGTTATATTATCCTGACGCTATTATTTTTCCTTTTTTCGTGCATAACTATTATAACAAACGATCAACTAAATATTGTAATTTTCATTAATTACCCTAATCATCACAAACTTGAAGTTTTAAGTGCGAAAACACCAAAGAAGAAAAAAGGTTTCACAATTTAAACAATCTATTTAATCATTTCGAAATCCTTGTCAATCAACTAAGATTATCATTGTTGTCTCAAAGCAGTTAAACAATTGGGTTGATTGTTAAAACAAAGATGTAATTGTTGATCGAAAAGCTAAAGAAATTAAATTTTTCTTTTTTTCGTTTAAATTCATTTTTTTTCTGTTGACTATTTAATCATGTAAATTATCACCAATGGGTGAACGAAAACAAATACCAACCAAAAGCTCTTACGCTAATACTCCGTTAATTAAGAGACAATCAAGTTTCGGTGGCAGATCAAGAGAGGCTAATGTGAGTGGTGGTAAATCTAAAATTGATCAACCACATTCGGTTCAATTGTTAATCGATCGTGGATACGAAGTGTTGGACAAAGTTGGAATCGGTAACTATTCAACTGTTTTTCGAGTTCGATCAACCACCAAAAGAGAAATGGCCGTAAAAATAATCGAAATGGAAAAGGTTTCTAAGAATTACAAGTTTCGATTTCTACCAAGAGAATTGGAAATTATTGCTAAATTAAAACACGAAAATATAATTAAGGTAAGTTGACCTTTTATCGACCAACAATTAAAACTTCGAGTGGAAAAGACAAATGAATTGAATTGATTTTGATTCTTGTGAATTTCTCAGGTTTATGCTATTCAAACGACGCATCGTTATTGTTATATTTTCATGGAATTTGCTCCGAACGGAACTTTGGGTGATTTTATTCGCAGAAACGGAGCGATACCCGAATGGATGGCGAAACCTCTCATGTTACAAATCGCAAATGCCTTACACTATCTCCATGCATCTGGAATCGCTCATCGAGATGTTAAATTAGAAAACATTATGTTGGATAAATTTCAGAATCCAAAGTTGACTGATTTCTCTTATTCTCTGGTTTGTCTTCGTGACCCAACAACCGGAAATTTCGCGATTAACAAAACCTTTTGTGGTTCATTACCTTATATGCCACCGGAGATTTTAAAAACTCCTTATGACCCAAAAGCTTCGGACATTTGGTCTCTTGGTGTTTGTTTGTTCATCATTCTAAATGACCGAGTACCTTTTCGATTCAATGATATTATGGCCATGGTTAAATCGCAACTTGCCCGTGAATGGGCTTTCAAGGGTCACATTAAAGAGGCCACTTCCGAAGAATGCAAAGACTTGGTTAATCGTATGTTAGACCCAAACCAGGCCACTCGAATCACCGCCATTCAGATCACTGAACATCCCTGGTTCCAAAAATCCCCACCGTCGACTCCAACCACCGCTTCATTGACCAAATCAAAACCAGCAACGGGAAGTGAAGGAGGTGTTAATCCAACCAAATCATCTAATCAAACTTAACCCCACTGGCAATTAACTGTTAACATCAATAATTTAATCTGCTCTCAACAGCTAATCAACTTTTTTTGAAGCCTTGTTAGTGAAACAACTAAAACAAAATCAAAATTGATTTGATGATTTTTGCTCTTGTTAAAAAGCGCTAAAAAAACTGCGATGAAAGCGATTTAATCAACAGATTTAATGATTAACTATAATGATTAGTGATGAATTTATTTTAACGTGTTGATTATCACCAGAATTATCATCAACCTTTCATCTTGTTGTATTTTCATGAAATTTCAGGGTTTGGCTTTTATCAAGACAAAAATTCTTGTCATCATTTTAATCTTCAAGAAAATCGCTCATCATCATCATCATCTAATTGTATTTATCAATTTAAAAAAGTTCTTATCAACCAAATGAATGTGTTAATACACAGAAAAGTTGAATGTGTGTACCTGTAATTAAGTTCGTGGTGTGTAATTGATGTGATACAAGAATCAAACAAAAATCTAATCCATTGCGTGATCAATTCAACTAATCGGATAATCATTTTAACTCCAATCTAATCCATCAACAAACTGGTCAAAGAAAAGGAGAAACTGATTTTAATGATGATTATTATATTAATATCATATTATATCATCTGATAAATATATTTAATACACACACACACAATTCAACAGCACTTAAGAGGAGGAGGAGATGAATTAACATCCGATGAAGAGAGTTCAATCATAATTAAGAGTTAGTTAGTTAACTATCTCACTTTTTTTTATGATTAAATATTTAATGGTAACAACAACAAGCCAATGAAGGATAATCAAGAAAAGGTCAACCTAATATTGGATGTTGACCAAAGTGTAATCACTCAATTGGCTCGATTGCCGTGTTATTAATTTACCATCATCATCATCATTATCTTAATCTCTTCAATCTTTATTACTTTGATTATTAATCAACAACAAAATGCTCAATAATACATAAGCATATGTAGATTAGTCTGTTATTTATCAACTACTATTTAAGAAACTGTGATCATCATCAACTCCATTCTGATCAAAGTTAAATTAATATAACAACAACCTGAGGCTGTGTTATAAAAGGAGGAAAGACTTTAACTATTCGTTAATTGTAATAGTTAATAAAGAAGAACAAAAATTGACGGCTAATCAACCAGCTACGAAAACCAATCCTCTGCAATTAATCTTCAATCTAAATTGGCTCTTACCCTAAGGAGAGAAAGAGATGTTTCCAATCTACTCAAGATTCGCAATCAAAAATCTAACCTTTTTTCCTCTAATTTTGGGTGAAAAAATAAGAAGAAATTTAATTTTCTATTCTAAATTATTGATTATCTCAACAATATCTTCAATCTTTAAGCGATTATCCACTTGGAATTGATCTTGAGATTCTATCGTCTATCAATCTACATATTCATCAGCCTGATCAGTGGTAATTACGATGATTATCAAGCAACAATCAAAGAAATCAAATAAAATAGTAAAAGGAAAATGAAATCAAGAAAAATCCATTGATGAAAATGTAACTTTTTCATTCATTTCCACAATCAACTGTCAATTTAACCAATAAAATGTTAACAATTTGTATTCTGTTGAAAGCTAGTTAATTATTTAGATGTTTCTCTCTCTCTCTCAATTCGATTAGTGATTAACTAATCATATATGGTTGGTTGATTCACAATTAAATCAATTGATGAACAATTTTTATTGTAACTATTACAATCCTGATTGAATGTTAAAGAAGAGAAAGAAAATGAAAAAAATTAACTAAATTAACCTTTAAATTGTTATCATCTAAATGTCAACTAACCCTAATCTCTTAATAACATGTGAACACAATTAGATTATTCAATTTAATCCACTTAAATCATATCATAACATTTTAATATACCAACGATAATGTAACCAATAATTACCATTGATCATAAAAAAAAAGCAAAAGCAAAAACGTAAAATTAGTTACAACGATTAACTAAATTGTTATACAAAGTTAGTAACCATTAATCAATTGGCTTGAAATTACATCAAGAAAAAAAAACAATTGTGGGCATAGTTACACCATCTTAACAATAGATAAATTAACCTTAACAATATTAAGCTGTTGTGGTCAAATTGAATTAAATTATAACAATCAATAAGGTAGAGTAACAATCTAATAGGATAATCTATAGACAATCATAACAACAACAGCTAATGATCATTAGGTTTGAACATCAACTTGATTGTTGACGACGCCCTTAAGATTATCAGATTAAGATGATGATATGATGATGATGATGATGATGAAAAAATATGCAACCATATGATCCTACTGATGATGATGATTATGTTGATCAACATGATATCTGAAAGATCAGTTGTAATCATATTAATCCGACTCTCCTAAGGGCCCAAAGCCCTAACCATTAGGGTGCACAAAGGTAATTATCCCTAGACAAATATACAACAACAATCAGTTAATTTTTATCATTATTAAATATTATCATGATATAAATATAATAGTTAAGGCGTAACTATAAACAGAAAATGTTAATCATAATCAAGGTAAGAGGAGTGAAAGGTTAATTTGATTCACTTGATTACTATGGGATTTGTTGAGTCTCTTTCGTTGTTGGTTTAAATTGACAGATTTAAACTCTCACTTGGATTATGATGATGATGCACCTAAGATGATGAGGATGAAATGATGATGATGATGATGATCCTTAATCTGGAAGATGAGGAAAAATAAATAAAAAAATGACTGAATTAGTTGATTGTTAATCTAAAGGCCTCTTGTTATCCTCTTTAGGCCATTAACTATCATATTGTTATGATTAAAAGACTTACCCAAGTTTTTTTTGTTACAGTTGAAATATTAATAGTTAATCACAATTAAGGATCAAATTGTTTATATTTTGATTGTTCACTTGATTGTTTTACAACATGATTAAGGAAGATGAATCAATTGAAACGTTTTCTGGTCGCCATCATGATAATTAATTTACTGACATTGTTTATCATTTAATTATTATGATTAGTGGATTAATTAAGTGATCATAATTAAACAATGATGATGATGAATCTTGTTAGTTAACAAGTTGATTAGTTTGCTTGATTAACTAAATTGGTTAACTTTTTTTTTCTTTCTTAACTTTTGGTTACCTCCTCTATTATATTTATTATTATGTATTATCATTAACAATCAACTGATCATCATAATCATTATCATGTTTTAATTGACTTTTTTTTTGGCTTGACTAACATCACAATTAATTGTAACATGTTTTAATTAATGTAACAATTAAAGGGATATTTCAATTGATTATTGACTGATGATAGATTAATTTATTGGTGTATCATTAATCTATCAAAATAATTAACTAAATTAACGTGATAATTAAAATTTCCTATATAGATTATCATATATTGATTTTAATTATCAACAGTTAATTAAGACTTGACATTTTTATTATATAAGATTGAAATATAAATGTTAATGATTAACAAAAAGAAAGGTTTAATTGCTCTGGGAAACAGTAATTAAATGTAATCTCAATGGTTAATTGTTGTGATTAGTGAAAAAAAAAGTTCAATGATAATTGAAAACATTTTTTTATACTTTTCGTTGTAAATAGTTAGTTGATTGTTAAATGAAAGTCGTTGATACTTTTGGGTAATTAAATGATTGATTAGTGTGTTTAGTAAATTATTAGTTGAGAAATAATTTAAATAGTTAATAGTTAATTATGAAAGAAAATTTGAAAACAATCGATCAGAATCAACCTGGAATAAATTGACAGGTACAGTTTGTTACAATTAAGAAAAAGTTAATTGTGTAAGGTTATTTTAACACTAATCAAACAATTATAATCAGTATGATGATGATAATTGATTCGGTAAATTGTTTGAACAGAAGCCTAACAAGATCAGGTTGATTAGTTGAATCAATATTAGTGCATTCTAATTGTAATAATATAATGATGATGATTAAAATTGCAAGTTAATGCTTGTTAATCATTTTTTTTTTCTTGCTTGATTATTTGTTTTCTTTTGATTTGAACATTTGTAATTGATGGATTAATTTAAATGACAATTAACATTTAAACAAGGGAGGGGCAGAGTAGACAACAATTAATGTAAATTAATTGACATTCAGCATCAAATTGATTACAATTTTCATTTGTGTGTAAGGTTAATTTAAGGTTGGGATAAGGTTGATTGTGGTTTTAATGATGGAAATGTAAATTAATCAACAATTAATTTATATTGTTGATTGGACAGAAGCATTTATTTCATATTATTATATGAAGATGGATAGATTATATTGGATTAGGAAATTGCTGATTGTTTCAACTGATTGGGAGGTTTTTAGTTTGATGTTTTTTTTTAACATTCTGATTGTTGACCAACTTGAATTATCATTAAGATGATAATTGTAATCAATCTCAATCAATTATGAGTTGTTTTGATTCGTTAAGCTGGTGACAATTTCATCAAATGATTGTTAATTGTTTTTAGTTAGCTAATTGTTGATTATTGTTTTATCAATCAAAATGATAGTTAAAATTAGTGTGGCTAAGTTAATTTGGTTAAGGGGTTGGCATGAGTTTCATGTAACTTGTTGGGTAAAATTTGATCAAGTCGAGATTGTTAAATTAAGTTAATTGCTGACGGTTGTTCTTTGTGTTAATCACTTGAAATCTCTCGTGATCGTGCTTGAGGATAACGTGTTAATAGTGAAAGATGATGATAATGATAACAAGAAGATGTAGATGAAAACAAAGAGAGAGAGAGAGAAGATTAAATGAAGATGTTGACCGGATAGATGAAAGTGAAGACGCTGATAGGTCAATTGACCTGCGACAATAGATACAAGATCATACTAAAGGTGAAGAGAAAGCCGTGATTCCAAGATGAAGGTTATAAGTTGTCATCTTCTTGAGTCAGAAATATGATAAGATAGAGAAATGAAGAGAGATTTTGTCCTCCGTGGTAGGTAAGAAAGATGAGTGATTGTGAATATGATTTGAAAGTAATAGCGTGAAAATCAAAATCAAGATATAATATGAACATGTGAGAGGCCACCAAGAAGAAGATGTGGAATCCGAAATAGAAAAAAAAGAAAACCATCCTTTGAATATATTGAAGAAGATGAAGAAGACAGGGGCTGATGGCAGAGATGATAATGATCATTTTGATTCACCTCCAGGGTCGGGCACAGTAACCAACAAGGTTGACCAAGATGGTTCACCATCATGGTGGTGGTGGTGATCATATTATGATATAAGAACCACGAATTTGGGAAACCACCTTCCAAATGAAATGTAACTCTTGACAGGTCTCTCTTTTCCATACCTTCCTCTCCTTTGATCGCCATCTTGTTTCCTTCCGATCAAGAAAGTGAGAGCAGAGAGAGAAGATTATCTTCTTATTTCTTTATCGTTCATGGTTCCATACATTATTAACTTGACAGGTAATCTCAAGGTTTCCTGAAGGAATTTGATCAACACTTTAGATTAGTTAATTTCCAAGTAACTGTGAGGGAGAGATAAACAACTAAACCAAACGACCTGAAAGAAGAGAGTAAGAAAGGAGAGTTAATCTGATTGTGAGGGAGGTTTAATTTAGATATCTAATAAGTTACCTGATATATTATATTGATTTCCATCTTCATAGAATCATCATCTTGTTGATAATCACCTGATTATAATCAAAACCAATGTTAACTTTCCCATTACATCGAAATAAATATAAAATGTAACATCTTCATCTCTTGTAGGCCTGAGTTTTTTTCCCTTAACTAAATGTTCATCTCAATCACTTTTTCATCTATTGATCAAGATGATTAAGATTAAGTTGACCAAAAGGAACGTTGATAATGTTGAGTATACACTGTTAATCATTGAATCTAATAAAGCGTAAATAATAATAATATTAATAATCAAGAGAAAGAGAGATAATTAAAATTTATGATTACATGAGAAGTCACAGAATAAGAAAAATTCAAAGCTTATGTTGAGAAAAGACTTGTTTATATTTCACATTTATGAGATTCTTTTAACAAACTGACACATTTAACTTTAATTTTCTTTAATCATTTATGTCAATCAATTGATTTCTATCATAATTCAAGTAATCACAAGGTTACAATCAACTGAAAAGAGAAAGAAAAACATTCTAATCTTTTTTTGTCTTTTTTTCTCTATAATTTAATCGAATCTCAAATTTGGCGCTTCACTTTTTTCTTCTTTTTTATTGTTTCCTTTTCCCTCCAATTGAATTGAATGTGTTTACATTTCTCTTTTTTTCTCATCTTATTAAATTAATTATTCTATTTTATTTTAATTAGATTAATTTTCTGATGATGGATTAAGATTATCATGGAATATGTCACACGGTGTAATTGGATTATGGTTGATCAAGGATCTAATTTACTGATTAGAAATGTAAGAAGATTATGTTAGCCTAATTTTTTAGATTTTCTTCATTTTTGTTTTTTTCTTTTTTCTTTAGATTTAAATTGATTAGATTGTTGGATGTTAACATGGTTGTCATCAATTGGATTGCTACTTTGAATACTATGTTTTATTGGGATTCCATTTGAATTTGCTTTTATTCAAATGATCCGTAAGTTGATTTATTTCTTTTCTTTTCAACTCTGTCACAATTTGTTAAGATTAACAGATTTCATGTTTCTCTCTCTCTCTCTCCTTTTATTTTTTTCTTTCATTTTCATCATCCATCTTGACCTCAGGTTGAATTAATGTCCTCACTGATTTTCTAATCAGATACATGCTAATGACTAATGGTAATATTATACATTGATCAATGATGATGACGTTTGGATGATAATGTGTTTAGATTTAATGATTACTTATAATCCTTTCTTGTTTCTTTCTTTTCTCTCTCTCTCTCTCCTCATCTCAGCTGGAATATTGACTCGATTATTTATCATTTGATAAGATGGTGTAATCTATTATTGTGACCAATAATTCAACTGTCTCAATCATCATTCAATCAACAACTCAAAAGGATGAGAATAAAAAAAATCATCTTCAGCTAATACTCAGAGTGGATGGTGTTTTCTCCTCACATATTATTCATCACATACTTTAGTGAAAACAAATATAAAAGATCAACACAAAGAGAGATTCAACTTTAAATCTATTAAGTGAGAGAGATGAAGTGAGAGGATTAAACAATTAAGAAAAACTGGCCAACAACATTAAGGTAACTCCAAGGTAGCCAAAGTAAAAGGGTGAGGCTATTTGTGAACACCTGAGGTAAAGGTGTAAAAAAGTAAGTTTAAAAAGTAACAGGTAACAAATTCTTTTCACTAATGAAGTGGATGAAGGTGGAAAAAAAGAGATAAAAGAAAAGAGCAAAGAGTAAAAAGGAAATCATCAAAGATTATGGTTATTCATGGACACAATCAAGAAGCTAATCAACTCGTGCAACCTTTTAGTTTAATCCAGATAATCGGAAAATCAACTAAGACCTGTAAATGCAAAGCAAAAGAAACAAGAGGTTGGCCTGTTTGACGTTAAATCAGATAAAAGTGATGTTTTATTAGGCTCCTTTTTTCCTCTCCCTTTTTATCCAACCATTTTCTATTCTCTCTCATAATCATCATCAAAACCATCTTATATTACTCATATATTCATGAGATCGAGAAGAAGAAGAAGAAAAAAAACAAAATTCAAGGTAAGAAGTGTAAATGTTAACAATGTTAAAAAGGTAGCTGAATATCTCTATCTCTCAGCATCTTATTTCAACAATTTACTTTTGTAATCCAAAATGATGCCGCTGTTCATGATACTTATTATTATCATTATCATTACAACACTTACCTTTTCTCTTTCTTTCTGATATCTCTCAGCATCACGCACTCATAATAACACTTATTACTTGTGCTTCTTAACACACCAACAGTTAATAATCAACAAAGGTAAAGCTTCCGTATAATAGTTTATTTGTATTTTCCTATTTACAACATTTAGAGTTGACATTAATTCATTGTATTATTATTATTATTATTATAGGTAATATACTAACTTATCATTTGCTGGATTAATATTATTGTTGATGGAGATTAAATGATGAATAATTTAATTTATTCCACTTGGATTGATATTCTCGTAATCCTCCTATACATAAATTGGTAGTAACAAATAATACGATTATTATTATCATCACCAAATACTACAATCAACAGGGAATCAAGGTTTTACTATCAACTCTTGTATCATAATCTGATTCACGAGTCGCACAAATAGGAAAAAGCGGAATTCATGCTGAGAGGAATCAAAGTAATCGTGTTATTCAGAATGATAATCACAACAAACAATCAACATAATTTAGTTCCAGTTTCTTGTTAATCTTTTGTATGATTATTATTTACAAACTTGATAACATAGTAACTGTAATGATGATAATGATACATAATAACCATTACAATTTTTCTTGTATTTGGTAATCTTTATAAATGTTAAATTCATTCATAATTTATAAATAATGATCAATACAATGATAATTATATTCTGATTATCTCTTTTGTTTTAATCTTTATGTAAATTATAGTGAATTATTTTTTAATCCAGTGAGTAAATCAAACTGATTAATGATAAGAACAACAATAATCTCCATTAATTAGATGGTTTAATTTTGTTTTATTTCTTTTCAAAATTAATAATTTGCAGAAAAATTAATCAAGGACAATCAAGTTTTGCAGGTAAAAATTGTAAGCGTTGAAACAATTTACTAATTGTTGCATATAAATCATGTTACCCCCTCCATCTCAGCATAACCATTAAGTTAAATGTTAAAGCTTCTAACAAAAATCATCTCAACAATTTAACTGAGTCAAAATAATTTAATCAATTAATTCTGTGTGAAATATGAATTAGTGAAAATGTTGACTGTTTTTAACTTCTAATTAAGACAAATTTGATTATCCTAATCTTTTAATTTCTTTTTCATTTATCTTTATTCAGGACAAAAAAAACATCAAAACCAATGGTGGAAATTACAAAAAAAAATAAACATGATGATACTCATGACATAACCAAGAAGATGATATAATTCAGTTGTGTGGCCCTGATAATAATCAAAATCAAATTAAGATAATCTTGAGCAATAAGATGAAGATAAGCTTCCAGTCGAATCGGTAATTGTAACTGATGACAGATTAATATCTGGTGACAGTTGGATGAACACGGAATCCAAGCTTGAGGCCAGAATATTTACCTGGAAAATAAAGAAAAGAAAATGAAGATAATCATGATAATGATGATGATAAAGATGATAAAGATGATAGTCTAACAGCTAATTACAAAGCCACAGTAACGTTATTGTGGTGATACAAAATAATAATGATGATGACAGGATGAAAAGTGTCCAGGTAAATGGGAAAGAAAAATATGATTTATTGCAAAATTAATCATATCAAATAAAAAAGGTAAACCAATATGATTTAATGATAATTATTATGATGTTCAATGACATTTGAAACAATCTTGTTTACTATTACAATTAAGCTTGTTATCTAACTTGTTAAACCTTTTTTGTTAATTAGATCTTAATAATTATCTTTTTTTTTCTCTCCCATTAATTAATGGTTTAATAGGTTTCAGGACACTTACCTGTAATCAGAGACGATGCTGAAATACATGCGATTTAATTACAAGCAATCAGTCAGAAATTAAAATCTTCCCAACTTGGACCAATAAATTAGTGCTATTGATTCATAAATGGTTCGTATAATTTTTTGACTGTCAATAGTTTAATTATTGAAAATCAAACATAGAGAAAGTTAATTTTTGTTAATGTTAATTGTTTCAAGTTTCTATCATTAAATTTACCACTAGTTAAGTTAGTTATTAGATTAGTTGTAATGATAAATCAACTGTAGTTGGTTGATTAAAATCTGTATCTAAATTTTGTTATGATTATTTAGTTACCAATTTTTTGTTTATTACTTGAACTTGAAATTGAAGATTAATTTGAGATCTAATTTTTTTTTTCAAAAAATCAAGAAAATTTAATCAATAGTATTAGTTAGTTTTATATAACTTGATTTTATTTATTATATTGATAGTGAATTGAAATTAATAAAGACAAGAAATGAGTTGATTGAATTTTTTTAATTCACTTTGATTTAAAAGTGAGTTATTACATTCCTCGAGGTTAACCAAGACACAATTAGAAGGTTAATTAATTAATTATCCTCAATTTTCATGTTATTTTTTGTTTACGATTAATATGTGACATTTTAATTAAGCTGTGTATGACACTAATTAACTAAATTACTTTTACTTATTCTAACAGGAACAACTAAATCCTAAAAGGAGACAACAACAATTAAATGAAAGTAAATAGAGAGCCAAACAATTATCACAATCAAGCAGAAAAGAAACCCAATATATCTGGATATGGATTTTAAATCAATGGATATCAATCAGAATTATCAATTTTGTGATGAGAATCAACTTACAAAAGAAGATGAAGTTTACTATCATATTATCATCTATTGATTATCATTGATAACCTTCAATTATTTTCATCTCTATAATAATAATGATAATCGAAAGATAGTAAACAATAATGATGCGATTTATGTAAACATGGAAACAAGCAAAGATATTAATGTATTATTATTATCAAGGAGAGAGATGAAGAAATCAAGCCAAGGAAAGAAGAAGAGAAAACGATTCATGATGATAAATAAACAAATTTGGGTGTAAAATGGTTGGAACAATAAAGCCAACAGGTAAAAGAAGACGAGAAAAGTATAATTGAATGGTGAACATACTCGTTAAATCAACTCCACCCTTACAACTTGTAGACAATCAATGGAATCGACTGATAATATAATTCTCGAAGGAAATAACAAAAAGTAAAAGGACCAACCCCCATTAATACAATTCACTTTGTATCTTCATCATCATCATCATTTCTCCTCATCCACTCATGTCCAATCAAACAGAAAGTATTACCAGCCTCCCAAATAAAACGGGCAATTACAGTTGGCAGCATAAAATTATATGTAAGTTAAAAGTGTGTGAGTGATAACAAAATGCATTTACATGGTGTAACAATTTACGCTTATTGTTGTAGATGATGATGATGATGATAAACCATCATTGAAAAGGAGAGAGAGAGGGAGAGAGAAGGTCAGAAAATGTATGAACTAATATAATGTATTAGTAGATTCATACAATGAAAGGTTGAGCTCATCATCATCTACAATTATAATAATCTTAATATTAGGATGATCAGAAAGTTCTGCACGAAAAGTGAGTCTTAAATTCAACATGTAATTAAACTCGAACAATTATTGGCCGAGAATTAATTTTTTTTAAATATTGAAATTCAGAGTTAGTTGATTGGAAATTGTGAAGTTGATTAAAATTTTGAACATTTTTTTCAGGCCAAAAATCGCGACAAAAATAACCGAAAAAGTTTTTAATCGTTTATTGGTGAGTTCAGTGGCCTTAGAATTTTTTCTTCGGAAATTTATCATCTTCATGATAAAAGTAAATACTTTAACCATAATTTTTAAAATTTTCAAAAATTAACTAATCATAATTATTGAGAAAATTAAATTTGAAATTTCATCTTTTTTTCTTAAAAAATCAGAAATTCATGATCAAAAAGATTTTTTATCGTTGAGAGAATGGAAAGTTTTTGATTTCATGATGAATTTCTGATTTTTTAAGAAAAAAAGATGAAATTTCAAATTTAATTTTCTCAATAATTATGATTAGTTAATTTTTGAAAATTTTAAAAATTATGGTTAAAGTATTTACTTTTATCATGAAGATGATAAATTTCCGAAAAAAAAATTCTAAGGCCACTTTAGACCTCACCAATAGAAGCGATTAAAAAAACTTTTTTTTCGGTTATTTTTGTCGCGATTTTTGGCCTGAAAAAAATGTTCAAAATTTTAATCAACTTCACAATTTCCAATCAACTAACTCTGAATTTCAATATTTAAAAAAAATTAATTCTCGGCCAATAATTGTTCGAGTTTAATTACATGTTGAATTTAAGACTCACTTTTCGTGCAGAACTTTCTGATCATCCTAATAATATAGTATAACAATTTATTGGTGCAAATTATTTCTTTAACGCCTGTTGTGTTACCCAATGTTGAGAGAGAGAGAGAAAAAAAATTTCCATCACCGATGTTATATTATTATTATTATATTATTCATATTCAACATGATAATAAAAGATTATGAGTAATATCTTACATGTAAATAACATGGTTAATACTCATAGTGTGATGTTAATTGTTGATTATATTCACATAACACCGTGAACCTGTTAAGGTGAATAAGTAATCACACTTAACTAAAAAAAAATAATCGCTTGGGATCATCATCATCATTTTCATCTTCATCTTCATTTTCTTAGATATAAATTGAATATCAGTTATGATTTTTACCTGTTGCATATTTAATTATACACCTTTTCTTAGTAAATATTTTCATCGCTGATTAATAAATATGGAGACTAATTAATTAGCTATAAAATTTAATTTTTCGTTGATGATGTTGCTGAAGAGGATAGTCAATGAAGGAGGGGAAATTAAATGATTATCTAGACACTATTTATGATATAAATTGGTGTGGCTAATCAACTCGATGTGTATTAATGATAATCAGTTAATGATCAATTTATTGATATACTTGTAGCAACAATAACAATACAATTTACCTGTCAACTAATTAATATTTACTTGAATACTAATTTTTTATTCATTATTTTAATTATGATTTTTTTTTCTCTCTCTCTTTTTACAAGGTTACCGTATATGTGATGTTTGATTTAATTACCATAAACTGTTGATTAATAAATAGACTCACTAAGAGGAGGATTAACGGAGAGATACCAAGGAAAACAAAGGGAAACAACAATTTGTTGTTATAATCGTTTAGCATCATAATCATCTTGATCATCATCATCATCATCATCTACTTTTCATCAACAATCAACACAATAACAAGAAACACATTAACGTTTTTTATTTAAACGGGAGACATGAAAAATTTTGATAAATGTTGTATATATTGCTGATAGTGATCAACAATGAGGCTCACCCTCAGTTGAACAATCAACTGTTTTTCATGGCGTTTTCATCATCAAGATAAACTTAGCTTGAGATCAGGTAGTCGGATCAGCGGTGGTCAATATGAAGCCTCTTAAGAGAGTGTTAAAGAGATAACCTTTTCCTTTGCATTATCAACAATATCTACACTTGGGAAAAAAAACAACAACAATCTTAATAACAATGGAAACAATGTTTAATCATAAATGGGAGGAAGATCTTAATTCAGTGTTACCTTGATTACTGGAAAAGATGATGAGTTAACCTGATCCATTGGATAAAAGACCGACATGATTGGGATAGTAAAATGTTCAACAGGTTACCCTATACGATGATGATCGCACCTTTACAAGGTTAGGCTCACGTCGATTTTTTTTCCATCACTTTTATCATCATCATCATCTTATATCATCTTACATCTTCTTCTTCCCCTTCTTCCGTTGATCCTTTTTTCTCTCTATCTCTCTGTTGATCATCTTAATCTAATTATTTTCTTCTTGTTGCTATTAAACTTCAAGCATCAATCAAGAAAGATTTTGGTCTTTATCTTTTTAAATGATTGTTCCTGACAAGAGGATTAAACGTTTTCCTTGATCATTGGGATTGAGAAGAAAAAAATTTACTTGAATCTTACCTGGTTTACGTTAATCTATAACCCTGACCCAGCAGGACCCAATTGAATCTTGATCATCAATATCTCTCGTTTAGGTCCATTTATATGTCCATTTTTCATCATCAGCATCTCTCTCACTCGCTCACTTGGGAATCTTTATCATCTTAAACCATCATCTTATAAATTTTCATCATCATTGGTTAATCATGTGTCGATTTCTGAATCAATGTTACCACTCACCAACCCTGTTAACATTAAATTACTTGGGAGATGATAATACATTTGGATTAAATCTCAGGTGAGATCAGATGATTATAATTGTTACTTTAATCCTCTCAAGGTAACCTTTTAATACAATCAACAAAACAACTGATCAATTAACTTGTCTAATCTAATCTGTATTTCTTACTATCTCCAATAACAGATTAACAACAACATTGATTTATCCTTCTTAACTTTTAATTGTCTCATGTTATCAAATCAACCAATCAAGAAATCAGTTTAAAAGGTTAAACCATAATAGATTCAAACAACAGTAAGTTGAAACTTTTAGTTTTGCTAAATTGTTACAACAATTTAACTTAACGATTATTTAATTTCAAGGATTATGTATCAACTATTTATTAATATTTGAAATAACACTAATCCAATCTTAAATTGTCCTCTAATTTATCACCAATGATCAACTACAAAGTCTGAATAGTTTTAAATTTTAACTCCTATATAATCAAATCAACATTAATTGTTAACCAATATAAGCAGTTGAAAATATTGACAATCAATTAGGGTTAATTTTGATTTCTTTACTTCATTTACCTGTTAAATATGGGTCACACAATTAATCACCTTTGATTAATTGTTTGATCAGGTTTGATAATTTTTCTTTCAAATAATCAACAATTCAGGGCAACATGTTAACTTGATTTATTCAACTAATTAAAGTCTACAGTCTGTATAGTAATTGTTAGTCTATAGTTGCTCAGTTGACAGTTGATTAAATAGCATGACAAGAAATTGGAAATGGGAAACAAAATGTCAAGTAAAAGTTAACTTAAATTGTTAATGATTAACCAAAAAAATCACAATTTAAATCACGTCAAGGTGATAAGAACATGATCTAAGTCTTTTTGATTTGTTTTTCTTCAATTATAATCCAACAGAGAGAAAATTGAATGAATACATTTTGATTATATCACATTGGTGACAGAAAATGGGAGGAAGATGAAAAGGTGAGAGAATTTGCAAGAAGAAGATAATTTAGTAGGTAGAAGAGAAGTGAAGATAATTGTTGAACAATCGAGAGAGAAAATTTAATCCATGAATTAATTGCATTAATCTTAATCTCTTAAGGTGCAAGGTTAATTGCAATTAAAAATCTCGAGACACCAAGAATCAAATGGTTACCTTTTACCTGTCGATACTCATTCCAATGTTTACATAACAAACATACACTTATGGATAATAGATGATGATGAGGATGAAAAGGTTGGGTGAGAAGATGGAAGACTCTCTCTCTCTCTCACTCACTCTCTTTATATTTATCTTCATCTTAATCATCATCTCATTTTCAATTAAGATGATGACATAAATCAATGGACATTTGGTGGTTTCTCCTCTTTTCCATTATTATGATTAACTTTTTCTCTCGCTTTTTTGATTTACTTCTAATTGTGATTCAATCTTCGCAGGATTATGATGATTTTGATAATAAAAATACTCTAGTTAAACATAATTAACAATTAGAGTGATTTAATTTCTAACTAACAATCTAATCTAACTTGAATTTGATTCATTTGAAACGGAACTGAATCAGGATAAAGTCTTAGTCACGATTCTTAGTTTTTGATTAAAATTACTACTGACTAATCATCATCTCTACGCATTAAAAGTCATTCACTGATTATTTCAATTGGTTATTTTTTTCTTACCTGTAAAAACTGTCAACAATCAAGTTTACAATCAACTGAAGATCAAATCGAAACTACAATTAAGGTAAAGAAAAAAAAAGATGAATGAATGTTTAATTTTTTTTTCTTTCTACTTGTTGATTGAAGTTGATATTATTTTTAACAAGCCATTAGTTTTTATCTTATCATTTGCAGGTAGGAAAAAGACCTTATTATCAACCACAAAAATTATCATCATTTTCATCTTCATCTTCATCATCATCATAATCATGGTAAAAGTTTTCAACTCTCATGAGACAGATATAAACATGGCGTCAATTTCAAGATTATGATCATCTTGCATCTAAATGAACGCACCCATCAGTTCACCTAAAGTCATTGGAGATGAGAAGATGATGAGAAAGAAGAGAGAGAAGAGAGAGAGAGAAAGAAAGAGCGGGAGATAGATCAAGTCAAGGTGGGTCCTCTTTGCAATGGAGAGAAGATGGAAGATGAGAAGATGATGAAAAGGGGAATGGCGATTGATTAAGCAAAAAGAAAATACAATTTAGTTGAATTGACGATCGCTGATGAATCTGTTTATGAGTTGAAACTGATGATTGGTTTTACATTTTGGTGAAGAGATGAAGATAAAAATGATTATGATGATAACAGAGAGAAGATAAAACTAACTCTCTTTATTATCAATAGAGAGAAAGGAAGAGAGAGAGAGAGAGAGAGAGAGAGTCAATCTCTCTCATCTTCTTGCCAGGTAACTTTAACTTCGTCTTCCAAATCATCATCAATAAATCATTGATCTTTAATTTCTGCTGATTTTTCAAGGTCAATTTTAAGTCTTATTTTGTATCATCTTCATCTCATTCGTGTGTCTTAACCATTTCATTTCTTTTCTTCATCCTCATCCTCATCTTCATCATCTTCAGTAAATGTATCATTGTGTGTATCCTGAGATGTCATCAATGGTTTGATATTAGTCGATTCTGAGGTTCATCATATTATTGAAATCAAACTAATTACTTTTAATCACGTAACAATTTTAAAGGAAAGAGAAAAATAATTTAACTTATCAACTTGATTTCATTTTACTTTTTTTTTCTCTCTCTCTACAATTAATTAATTATAAGCAGAGAGAAACATGATTAAATTAATTTCTTCATTTAACCATATATACAATATGATAGTCTCTTGATTATTGTATTTAATTTGGTTTAAATTGTCTCTTGATTATTAGACCTCCCAAAAGCTTATTAATTGACCTTTTCATTGATGATTAAATTTGATGATAATTATCATTATGTTGTTGTTGATATGATAATGATTAAGATGACACATACATTGAGACAGTAATGATAAATACAGTTGATTAACTTTCAATGATCAAATTATCATTATACTGGTTACAATTTAATTTTTTGTCAACTTGATTGTAACATCATAATTTTTTCATTCATCTTAATCAAATACAATCATATTTATTAATATATAAAAAACGATTTTAATTGATTAATATTATTTATTGGAAAGTCAAGATGATTAATTTTATTTCATTTTCACAGATAATTAACTTTTAAGGAGACAAAACCAAGTAACAATCAAGGATAATTAATAATCAATGTGCAGCACTGGAAGGTTATAAACTACAATTAACTCATTGTGATGATTATAAATCAACTTTAATCTTATTATTGGCTGGTAAGGGGACATTTAATTGTACTCTGGCAGTTTCGAATTGATTTTTCATTAGATGTCGATATTGAAAGAAAGCGACGATCTCCATAGCAATTAACGACAATGCATACATATCAATGATTAATTGTTCCATTGAGCAACTAGAAAAGTGTATTTTACCAACTAAGTGAGAAGAAAATGACAATCAATCAATGGTTGTAACAATTAAGAAAGAAACAATTAGAAAAACTTACAAGGTAACAACACCAAGGAAAATATAATAACAAGACCTGCTATTGAGACTCCATTGAAAATCAAATAAAGGATAAGAAGTGTTGGATTAGCTAATTTGGATAAACGTAATATTGGAAGTGCAATTAACTGGATTAAATTAGTGTAACCAACAAGCATCACAAATGAATCAGCTGGTTCATTGGCTAATCCAATAAGAACCGCAATCATGAATATAATATAAATCAATGTAATCGCCGAAATCAATGGAACCAATTTTGTACCCAACTCTTTCGAGTGAAAAAATCAGTAATTGATTGAACATAATCAGATGAACGAGGAGGAACCGGAGTTGACATGATACGACTTAAATAATCAACTGATTGACACAATTTAGACAACAAACAAATACATAATCACAATGTAAATCATTTTATTTTGTCTCGAGGATAATTTAATTGCAAGCAATTAAAACAAAAGGATTCTAATTTTTCCCGGTCAAAATCAAACCAACAATTGCCATTTTTGGACAATACAAACAATGTAATAAAGGGTGTTTCAGAAGTAGAGAGACAAAATTCAAATCGTTATTTCTCAGAATCTGTAACAGCTAGAGAATTGTAAATTTCATATTCAACAGGCACGAGTTTAAATTATACATTGAGCTTTCAATAACTCAAATTGGTTAATTGCATAAGATTTTTCGTCATTTTGTCTTGATGTCGGGCGAAAATTTTTTGCCAAAGATTTTCGGGGCTATTTTTGCTATTTTAGTCAGAATTATGATGAAATCCTGAAATTTTTTTTGTACAAAATATTGATATTTATATTCTCTTTAATATGTCATCAAAAAAAGGTCAATCAATTAAGCCTGAGGCTAATTATTCATCTTAAATAGTTTATCTGTGAATTCAAATGAAAAATTTTTCTATGGGCTAAATCATCGATTTGGCAAAAACGTTCATGAGGTAGCTCGTTTACGACACGTTTTTTGGACGTGATACAATATAAGGTGACAAAAACTTTACACCAAAAGAAAGCTCTGATTTCAAGCTTCATAATAGTCCAGCTAAAATTTTTCTATGAGTTTTAGTTTCAGAGAAAATCTATTTAATTAAATTGTCTCTTTACTTCTGAAACACCCTTTAGTTGATCATGTTCAGAACAAGTTGAAATGGTCGCTCAGGTTTAAGCCTAAGGTTGAATCTGAGGTGCATCATTTTAATTATGATTATTTTGTAAATTTGTATTAATAAGTTGAGAGGATGATGATTCTGTTTAAATTTGGACAAATTTAGGAGAAAACACAAAATAGTAGCTGAATTTTCATCATCTCCCTTGTTAACTTTCCTTGTATTTTGAATTTCAGGGTATAAACATCAACAGTGATCAGTAAATCAAAGATGATGATAAATATCATTGATGATATTTAAGGATAAAGATGATTATTATTATGAAATAAGCTGTTAAACGCTAATAATAATAAACTATTGGGTGAAACCTTTAAGGTTATCATTAATATATTGATAGATATTATGTCGAGCCCTTTAATTTTTTGCTGCTTTTCTTAAAAGATGATAACAATATAATAAACACCATCATTAAAAATGATTAGGATGATGTTGAGTTTCTGATTGGTGTTTATCATCAAGCCCAATAGCGATGCAATTAACTTAATTGGTCTAAATAATTGATCTCTATTATCTTCTTGTGTTGCTTATAAGTATCATAATAAAAGTAACCTCTATGGTGAATTAACCAGAACATAGATGGGAACGTTTAAATCAGCTTCTGATTTAATTGTTAACTTACTGCTATTAATAAGAAAGATCAATTGATTTCAACACAATCCAAAAGATTAATAATAATACACTTTGATCCAATTTAAGGACTAAATTTTAATTGACATTGGGAGTTAAGGTGGATCATTGATTAAAACATTTCGAATTGTTAACTAATCATTTTGATAATAATAATCATAATCATCTTCACTCCCATGTTACGCCTCTTCAATAACAATTAGAGGTAAAGTTTTAATCATAATTACAATTAAATCCTGATGATTTGGTCAACTTTTTGTTTTCTAACATCAATGATAATCAGATGAACTTTATTTTTTTTTTGTTACATTTTGTTCATAAAAGTGATTAACTTAATTCTTATTCTAGTGAATTGAGAAAAGTAACTTAAAAAAAGCTGATTAGATTAACTGGGGTGGATGATGGTGACAAAATGATTAACTTGATTACAATAATTTAAATCATGTGGTTACAATTGAAATTGACTTGTTTGTTTATGTCCAAATACCCACGCTAATGAATCGCCAACGCAATTTAAATCATAATCATAATCATAACCATTGGTGATGATAATCAATCCACATTTAAACTGAACGAGTGATATATTAAATTGTAAATTGTGATTATAAAGAAATAAAGTCTCCACGCAATTGGGAAGACAATTTTCTTAATTCACCCACGATTAACAATTAATTCATTTCTTACTTTCTTATTTCTGGCCTTACCTCCAGCGGTTTGATGCCATTTGAAAATTTACTTTCTCATTACAATTAATATTTATGGAGAAACTAAAAATGAGCAAAACAATGACATTTAAACGGGCTCTTTCATCATTGACCTAAAATGACCTATGATCTTCGTTTGTAAAATGCAGTATCGGTTAAATTCACACTATTCAAATCTTTAGGACTCATAGTTAACGAGAAAAGTGACGAAAATATCTGAATATGTAGACTTTTGGAAGACACGTATTTGAATTGTCTCTTCTCGATCTATGCGAAAATTGTATCGATGATTTTAGCCTTAAAGTAGGGCCATGATAAGGTAACTCTTTCATCTTCTTCTCACAAAAAGGTATAGATAATTATTAGATTAACACGAAAAGCGAAACACGTGACCTTTTTGTCGCAAATTTGTTGAGCAAAAACTTATCAGAACTAGAGAAAGCCTCTCGGGTCGTGGGTGAAATCAAGACGAAAATGTGAGACTTGCAATAAATGTTGAATGAACGGATTATTTTAATGTTATCATATTAGTTTTAAATCAATTCGAAATTGACATAGATAAATAGATGTGTTGGAGGATTGTTTATTTGGCTCCGATAGGGATAGAGAAGGACAGAATGTTAATTAGTTCAATTTATTAATTAGATGTCACTCCTGTATTGGCCATAGCTGTTGATCACTTCGTTCGATCACTCGACAACGTCAACTTGGAGATCTGCCATAGTTCGGGGACCAGTACCGACAGCAGCTTTAACCGTCTCTCGCTTTTCGACCACAAGTCCCATGGCTGTATAGAGAAGTGTAACTAGTGTGATTATCAGAACTTGGATTAGATTGAAATTCATAGTGAATATAACGTAAGGAGGATGATCGTCGAAATTTAGTTTTGAGTTAAGAGTTGAAACTTGTTGGCTGTTGATGATGGAGATCCAATTGGTTGAGACTGATAGATTTTTAGTTGAAATTTCATCCTTTTATACCATTTTGTAAGGGCTTCAAAAGTACAGCTGATTAAACATCGACAATTAACATCTACAAGTATCGAAAATTTTTCCAACCAATTGATCTAAAGACAAACTCAGACATCATCTGAAACAATAGGAAGTTAATGCATTGAGAGTAAAAGTATTGGGAATCAGCTGATGACTATTATTAATAATATGATTTCGATAACTATTTTGTCAATTTGTTTTACTGATCACTGTTGATGTTTATACCCTGAAATTCAAAAATCATCCTCTCAACTTCTTAATACAAATTTACAGAATAATCATAATTAAAATGATGCACCTCATATTCAACCTTAGGCTTAAACCTGAGCGACCATTTCAACTTGTTCTGAACATGATCAACTATTACATTGTTTGTATTGTCCAACAACAGTGAACAGTGATCATGAGGATATGATGATATTATTAATAATATGATTTCGATAACTATTTTGTCAATTTGTTTTACTGATCACTGTTGATGTTTATACCCTGAAATTCAAAAATCATCCTCTCAACTTCTTAATACAAATTTACAGAATAATCATAATTAAAATGATGCACCTCATATTCAACCTTAGGCTTAAACCTGAGCGACCATTTCAACTTGTTCTGAACATGATCAACTATTACATTGTTTGTATTGTCCAACAACAGTGAACAGTGATCATGAGGATATGATGATATTATTAATAATATGATTTCGATAACTATT